TCTCCCTCATACACTTCGATTTTCAAGAGAATTATCGAAATAACATCTAACATTAACCTGCCGAGATGCAGCGCTTTAGTTATCTACAGAACTGGAGGCGCCCTTCGCAGGCTGACAAGCCACATGATCCAGTGCTAACAACCGAAGACGAACAATTCTTACAGTCCGTTACCGCTCAACCTACAGAGGCAGAGGCTACATTGTCGTTGAACGGTGATGAGAATGTCCGTCCGCCTGTCGATGCCTCAAACACAGAGGCATATAATATTCCCCTACCCATCTCCCCAGTCGAGGAGTTCAAGGAGCTTGGCGAGGAGGAGCGAAGAGCAAGCAATGCTGGAGTCATCCGTACAGATTCGAAGCTTTCTCATGTTGAGAGCACTTCACCTTCAGACAAGAAGAAGGGGCCATGGTATTGGTTGCGGAGGAGGGGCACAAGTTGGAAGAAGAAGGTAGGGTGCCATTTCTGTGAACATCGTCGTTTCGAAGTCTTGTAAGAAGCGTGTTCTCACCATGACTCCGTTTTAGGACAAAGTATCGACAGCACCGGCAGGGCCCAATGCCTCGCAATCCCTTCAATCCTCCGACCCTGCCAACAGCGAAGCGAAACAAGAGACGGATGACATGACGGAGATCCTGGAGCGTCTCAACCTAGCTGCAGATAATAATCGCGTCTTCTCGATCAGCGACGAGACCCAAGAGCTCCTGCGCAAGTTCACACTCATTTTCAAGGACCTCATAAATGGCGTACCCACCGCTTACCACGACTTGGAGATGCTTCTTAGCAATGGCAATAAGCAGCTACAGCAGACTTATTCGCAGCTTCCGGCCTTTCTTCAGAAACTGATTGAGAAACTTCCGGAGAGGTGGACCGAGACATTGGCGCCGGAAATGCTCGCAGCGGCTAGCGAGAGGGCCAGCCGAAGCGGCCTCAATGTTGAGAATGTAGGCAAGGCGGCTGCAGCTGCTAATAAGATGGGCATCAAGGTGCCAAGTTTGAAGGAGCTGGTTGGTAAGCCTGCCGCCATTGTGGGCATGCTGCGGTCCATTATGGCATTTTTGAGAGCGCGATTCCCAGCAGTGCTGGGAATGAACGTGCTCTGGTCTTTGGCTTTGTTTAGTAAGTATCTTCTACTAGAAAATTACCTCTGGCATACTGACGGCGAATGCTTCACACAGTCCTCCTATTCGTACTCTGGTACTGTCATAAACGTGGCCGTGAGGTACGCCTAGAGAACGAGCGTCTGGTGACGGAGGAGGAAATCTCCAGATTGAACGAGGATTCGACCGACGGAAGAATACGTCCTACAGAGACACTCGTCACGACAGCGGCTCCAGGAGCATCAGTCGCTGAAATCCGCGAAGGGGTCAAAGAAGCACAGCAAGCAGGACAATCAGCCACTGCTACCGCTGACAGAGGACAAGACGAGATCACCCCTACTTCTGCGCCGAAGCCAACAAGGTCAAAATCAATCTTATCTATGTGGCCAAGGTCCCAGCCGAAACCGACCCCCAAAGTTGAGCCTTATCCAGGGACGTGAGTCCGGACACTGAGCAGTATCCTCCCGGAACCTACAGCCCTGTCTCATCGTTCATTTCCCGGCTTCTCTTTTTGATCTCTTTTTGATACCACTTTCTGGCAAGTGTTACTTTTCGGTATTGGAATTATCAATTGAGTACTGAGTCACGCAATAATGGTAATGCTGCAATGAAGATCCAGACATTGAAATTGGCCACTTGTTTAGTACTGGGGACAAACTAGGACGTTCCATCGAACATCACGAGCCATGGTAGTGGATCGGACGGCTTGTAAAACGGCGGCCTTGACCCGAGTGGCAATCACCCCTCTCTATCTAGCTTCTTGAAATTGGTCCTCATTCCCTCCTCTGTTGCCTGGAAGACACTCCGTACTCCATAGCCGGACAATAGTCCTACTTCCAGACGATGTCCTCAGAGTGAAATCATTCTGACATATCTGGAGCCCAAGAGATAAAGTTCGCTCTAACGTTGTGGCCGGGCCCAGATTTACGGAGTACTGCCATGTGTACACCAATTATGCCATTTCCGGCTATGGACATGGACATGATGCAGCAGAATAGAAAATTTGGCTACTGCGGGGTGCAGCTGATCCATTGGCCAATTAGAGATCGTGGATTGTGCCGATCGCGTGTAAGCAGGATCCAGCGGGTTAGGGATTTTGGGTACCGTAAGATCCGGCGGTTCTAAATAGTAAATTTAGTAATAATATTCGGCCGGCCAAGCCAACTGCACTGCATGTACTCCGTACAGCAAATCTGTTTGATCTCTGCAGCAGCCGTCCCTTTACCGCTCTTTTGAACCAATAGCATCAAAGTGCAATATGCATGTCGAAACGGGAAGGTAAGGTATGCCTGAATGTTGACTTGCGATCTGCAGGAAGGTAAGGACGGAGATTATTCTCAATGACGCCTCTGGTTGTCTTTGCTTCCCCGTATGTGATTGTATATTCTCCTTCCCGTTCTGCATTTCCACCGTCGCCACTGCTGTGGAGAATAGAGGAGGAGAGTCTTCCGCATGCTATTGAGAGCCGAGGGCAGCAGGGGCAAGGGGCGGACAACTCAGCATCATTTCAGGGACTCCAGTGGTATCAATTGCCTAAGGACAGACGAGCTGGGATAATCTATGTAGATTAACCTGAGGGAGATTGGAACACAGGATCAAAAATTTACGTGAGAGCTTGGCCAATGGCCACAACACCGATGGAGGAGTCAAACCTACAGCTTAGAAGTCTACTGGGCAGTCTTACTCCGAGTTCTATATATTTGGCCGTAGGCGTAGCCGCTAGTAACAATCCTGCCAGCCGGAGCAAGTACGTTTACTTATCTACGGAGTAGAGCGTTTACAATTCCCAGGGTGCATGAGGTGCGACGCAATATACCATAGCTAGAGTGTCGAATCTGATAGATCATTTCCGAGTCTGAGAGGTAATTTTTGGCGGGGTCGATGATGCCTTTTTTTTGCATAGGACACGGATCAACTAGCATCCTGGGCTTGGGAGGCGTTCACTATCAGTAGTACTAGTAGAACCTAGTACTTACTGTATGAGGTATCAGGCAGTCGAATTTGCTTTCTTCCGCTGAGAGCCCCTCCTCAATGATCATCGTCAGAGACTTGGAGCGTACTCTGTAGTCTAGGAGTCAGAATCTGAGCGGATTCTACATTTTTTACTTGCATACGGAGGACTCCGGCTCTGCCGTCCCGTTATGAGGGCGACAATGAGGCTATTCTCGATGAGCCAATCTATGTCTAATCAAACGGTGTTAGATTATCAAATTGAATGACATGGAGACATGCTTTCACAATTTGATGGTACATCTGAATAACTCTAGTACACATATGGGGCGTGAAGTACTATGCAAAGTGAAGGTACTTTCTACTGTGTTCTGATTTCTGAGTTGGGTAAGTGTGCACAAGCCGTACGAACTGCATGGGTTGATCCTTGACAAGAATCAATACTGGCATGTAGTCATAATGACTTGACCTTCAAATTCGGTCTCGGATCATCAAATGAGTCACCCAACTTGTTAGCGCACTCCAACTACGGTTTTCTGATGGTCTATTGGACGGGAGCACTACCATGTCCCTGTCATGATTCAGGATTATCACCTATTTGCTGTCATTTCTTAGTTTGACTGTAGACATGAATGCTCTCTGAAATGTTCACGCCATCTGCAGTCTAAGCTACCCGACCTTAGGTAACACCACCTCGATTTGCGGGCGTGCCTTTACACATGCTCGCGCATACACCATGCTATTATATCTATGTTTTCAAAGGGTTCTATTGTTCTCAACCACTCTAGTTAATGAGTAAAAACGGAGTTGACCTGCTCATCTTGACTCGATATTGACGTAAACCACCCAGAGGATATATCCATTAGCACTGTTGTATTTTTCCCCGACTGGAGCGTTTCATCGTCCTTCCTTCAGGCTTTTGCAGTATCTGAACAATGATTGGCTCTTGGACGATTAGAAAATTGCTGGCAAAAAAATTTGAGAAAGGAGAAAAATGAAGAACGGAAAATGCGGTGAGGTTTAGCCAACCAATAAGCATTAGCCAAAGGGAAGCTTTTATCCAATCAACGCACGGATTGCTGAGCCTGGTTATTGAAGCCCCACAGCAGTTGGAAAAATTGGTCCGCCCCAGCAGTCTGTCTCTGCGTCCGAGGTCGTTTTGCGCTGTAAGCCTGTAACAGCCAGTCTGTCCGCCCTGCCCAGCAGTATGGGCTCCGTACTCCTACCTAGTGCCAAGTTCGGCCACCTCTTCTATGATCCTTCTTTTCCCTTCGTCCAATTCACCCCATTTCATTCTCCTACACCAACACCGTGCTTCTACCATCTACTTTTTTTTTAAATCCTCCATATACTTTAAACCATCCTATACCAGATTTCGTCAAGGTTTCAGTGCCAGAATGGCTTTCGTTGAGCTGTAGATCACTCACTGGGGGGCATGTCCTATGCTCCTCAGTCCAGCAGCTCCGAGTAACTCCCAATTTGACTTGACGATATCTGTTTCTCTTTCGACGCAAACTGTGAGAAAAGCGTCGAAATTGCCCCTTAGCACATTCACAGAGGAAGCACTTTTTGACGTCCGTTGAGGACTTGGAGGTGCTTTTGTGGTCAACGAAAAGTCTTCGTCCTTCCCCCCTCCTCCGATCCCTTGTCATCCGTCGTCACGTCTACCTATTCCTCCTCTCGAATCTCGATCTACGATAACGAACCAAACTTCCTTCAACTGAAACGACGCTTTACGAATTGACGGTTGAAACTTTACCTTCCTTGCTCCTCCGGTTTTCGAATCTCGAACCTCCGGTCTCCTGGAGTCTCTGACGCAATTGATCCGCTCATAACGGATATCAAACTTTGTCAACACCTGGGCCGCCGAAACCCAAAGCCCAATACAACAAATAAAACTGGACGAGCTCTTTCAATTAAGCACAAGCAGTTCTATTGCTATCAACACAATGACGCAAACTAAATCTCACAAATCACCAAAGGGTGCTATCAAAGATAGCCGTTCTCTCAACATTATGAAGCACTTGGACCCCAAGTCTGCGAGCTCGTCGTCACGGCGGTCCAGCAAATCCCTCCCTCTCAGCTCCTTTACTACTGACCGTAAACGAAGAGCTTCGAGCTCGTCGATCTCCAGCGTTTCCTCGGTTTCATCTATCGAGGCCCTCAGTGACGATGCCAATGAATCAGAAGAGGACGCAGATGATGAAAAGGAACAGCCAGCTGCTCGCTGCCCGTCTTACGGTAGACGTGACAAGGGCCGTAAGTCGGGCATGAAGTCTACAGGCCGGAAAAGGGTGAGGCTCTCCGACGGTCATGGTTATGACGGTCAAAGAAGCAGCGATGAAAGTGATTCATATGAGAGCTCGGACGATGTATACGCTGCCGTGGACGATATAAGCGACGGAGACGATGAAGATCAGGATGTTGAAATATTGGAAGAGCTACTTATTGTCGAGTCAGAGGACGAGCACGACGTCGACGACGTCTTCAGGACTTCGACTGTGTCTGAGCTCGAGTTGGCCGGTGCCAACACTTTTGAAGATCATATGCTGCTGTCCGCTGCCTCGTTCTTCGACGAGGATCAGCTCTACAGTGCTATGGAAACCTTTGGCGAGACTGACTTCGCCAGCGAGGCGGCTGCGGAGACGCCCATGCCTAGGCGTGTCCATTTTGAAGAGGATTCCGATTCCTCGTCGGATAGCGACTCGCATACAGAGGATGAGATCCCGAGTGATTTCTTGCAACAGGACAGTCTCGATCCTCAACTACGTCGCATGATTGAGAACGACAACGAGCACGACAGCAGCCGCCGTCGCCAGTCCGATGAGTTGTTCGCTGAGTCGGACTATGGCCATTCGAACATTTACCACGTCGAGTCCGACGCCGTTTCCGAGGGATCCGAGTCGAGTGGCTATGAGTGTATGCAGCGTACCTGGACTTCCCCCTTGATCCTCCTACTGACCTGTTTGAAGCCGATGATGGCGAGACCACAGATGAAGACCTTCCACCACCGGCAACAATCACTCACCCCGTTCCATTCTCCGCCGCGATTCCTCTGCCTCGCTGCCTCCCGCCGACGAGAACAAAAGCCAACCCCCTACTCGTCGGCGCGGTCCAATCTTGGGTACTTTTGTTGCAGACCCCCACAAACCGGTGGCCTTGGTCGACTGCACTGGGAAACATCTTGTGATCATTCCAGCCTATGCCTCGTCCCGCCATGACTGGCTTGAGTCTGCCACCAACAGCATTTGCGGCACTGCCAACAATAGCCCACGTGCCACTACTATGCACCTGATCGACGAGAGCGACACGGATGCTCTGGCCTCGCCGAACCGTCTCGACCTGAGTCCGATGTTGGCTTCGAGTGCTAATCTGATGATGACGGCCCTTGGAAACGACATTGCCCGGGTGGTCAAGTTTTGGGTCCTCCGGAGGCATTTTACCCCTCTCGTGATTTTGCTATTGATAGTTCCTTTGAGGATGACGACGACGACGATGATGATCCGGAAGCCGCCTTGAATGTCGAGGATTTCATCGACTTTGGAGACGGCTCCTCAGACGAGGAGATGGGCAAGGCATCTGACGAAGATGCGATTGCTTCGCCAATGGCCACTGCATCCATGACAGTCGTATCCGGTACTCCTACCCCTAACCGTGGAGGTGATGTACAACAAAACAACAGTGCTGAACGCTTCCTGAACCATCTGGACCGTGGCATTGTGACGGCCTTCCGTCGCAACCACAACAGATATCAGGCTCTCTTACGGTTGCCCCAGCACCGAGAATTCATGCCTGCCAATTCGCCGTCCCGGCCTGCTAGCGTCTTCCGTCATGCCAGACATGCAGACCAGCGCACTCCTACTCGGAAACGCAAGGCTAGCGGATATGCCGGCGGCGAGGCTGTGCGACGGAAGCTCATGGATGCCCACCGGCGCACTCAGATTCCTTTTTAGATCTAGCGATGCTACATGTTCAGCCACCACTCCTTATGGACGCCTTGAAGGGATTAGGATGAATCCTGTTATTTGCCATCTGTGTCACGGCATAGACTTCGTCTAGCGGTCCTCTAGATATTGCGCTGTGGGCTTGTTACACATAGACGAGTATTGATCGACCTAGCGAGTCAGAGTTGCTACTATGGATACATGTTCGAGGACCAAAAGTTGATGCCTTTTGAGTTGTGGTGTCTGGTTCAATTTGTCCAATGTAGATCTGAGATCTACCCATTTGCCTACTTTTGGGTTTTACTTCTTATGGCGCAAGCAAATACCTCATGGGTCCTGGATTATGTTTTCGTTTATCCACCTTTTTTTTTTTTTCTCCATTTTATGTCACGATGTTATACCAGTCATGTGAGAGTCATATACCAGCAATTCAAAACAGATTCAAAAGTTAAGCTTCTGATTGCTCCATGTAACTCATTTATCTCCGTACAATGTTGTCCTGCCGAGACTGGCTCCAGGATTTTACTCAATAGTTCTAAACTTTCAGAGGTCAGGCAATAGTCGCATGGATAATAGCTAAGACGGTTTCTGCCGAGTGCCGAGAGCAGGCATCGTGCGACACTGCCAAGAACACCGTCGATGCCTAGAAGAGTCTTCGGATCCTAACTTGAGATATCCCCAGAGTAACAGGCTGAACAGCTGGACAGAAATGCTCCTGGTCACTAACTACAGAGTACTGAGTACTATCGTGCTATCTAGTCCGTAGTCCGTGCTGTAAATAGAGTCAACTGGCCCACCATCAGTTGACCAAGCACTGACGCTTGACGTGAGAATGGAGCGACTCTCCGGGGTTGAATCAGGTAGTTGAATCAGGTAGCACTAGCAGAGTAGTACTGCTAGGGTAGCTACGGTAGTAGCTACTAGCACCAGCTAGACTTGACCAAGCTAGAGTCCGTCTTGCATACATTAAGTGGCTAGCTGTATGATTCCGAATGTGACGCTCCGAGGCCGTAACCGTACTACGAGTCTATTGTGGTCAGTAGTGTACCTGATCCATCCTGAGCATGGACTCGTGGTCGAAGTCGAAAAGAGGGGCACAGTCCACGCCACAGCGGGGAGTAGTCCATAGTGATACTATACTATTGCTATTACTCGGGCTCTTGACCTTGACTTCACTTCACTTCGTCTGCATGATCCCGTGAAGGAAAGTGACCCTGACCCTGCCTACTCATCGAGGTATGCCGAATGATTCGTTGAATGTGAAGATCATGCGGGTTCGAGCTGATGGCGGCTATGGTGAAGAAATCGAACAGTCTGAGGAGGGTGTTGTTCTTGACCATTGTCTGTTGCTTGTTTGGATGATGATGGGTGGTCCACGGAGGACTCGGAGTGCATAGACACCTGGTCTTGGAGTCGGTAGAGCAAGTAATCTATTTTCTATAAATATAGCAGCCGACAACGCCATTGGGGGAGGATGAGACTGGAAGAGTTTCAGGGCGAGACGCCAGCGGTCTTGGCTGGGGGCTTGCTTTTGCTTCGCTTATTTTTCAATTTGGATTTTGTTTTTCTTCCTGAGCCAGGACATGCGATCCTTCTTTTGTTTGTCTGCATAGGCTGCAGGCTGCAGATTGCCATTGAATCTGCATGCTGTAGCCTGAGGATACTGGTAGAGAGTTGTGTTGCTGGGTAATTTGACGTGTCTATGGGCAACGGCATAACAGGTGATTTGTCGAGAATAATAGCTGCGGGCTTTCTTTTCCCTTCTTCTTCTACTTCCCCACTATCTACCTCATCATCATCATCGTCCAGTTCAATCCCGTCCAGCCGTCCGTCCATCCATGCATTAGCCGAGTGACTTTTAACTTTTTGTTTTGTTATCATAGTGATGATAGTCATGATGATTTCCATCTTTGGCATTGTACAAGCTTACCACGAGCCCAATGCCGGATCTGCAGACTGGGCGCCTGCTGAACCCCTACCACCGCATCTCTGCATTTTTGCAATTTCACAGCGGTGTGCCTCCTCTTCTGCATGACCATGACAGTGACAAATAAACTGCCATATACATACCATAATAAGCAAACCGCTGCAGGGAAGAATCAAACCCTCCAGGGAGTCTGGGACTGAGCCCGGATCTAGACTGAGCGGCCCGCAGACGCCGGCATTCTCGCTTTAATTAGTTAGTCCAGTCGAGGTATGTGAGCTCACCTCCATTCGAGTAGTTCGTTTTACATGACTCCTATGAAGTAGTCTGGTCTCCTCGATCTGGACAGCGCTGAGCAAGATGATTGGTGGTTCTTCGCGCTTCCCTGATCGCTTTCTGCTTTCTGCTCTGTTCCTGCACTAGCGCGCGACTTCAGACGGCTTGCATTTCTAGTGCATGCCGGCCCATTGGCCCCTGAGGGGTTTCCACTCTGGTCGCTCATTGGCAACAGGGCTCTAGTCTGATGGTTTCACCAGTTAACTTAGGCACCGCCTGTCAAACGGTTGCTGGATGTGTTGAAAAGAGGCGTTTCTCAGAATGTCTTACTTGCTTTTTTGGGCTCAATGCTTGACAAAGATGCTCCGCCGGGTGTCCTGTGAATGGCCCGTTTGAACATGCCCATTGTCCCAGAACCACCAGGGCCTTTGTTCCTTTGTCCCTATTGATGGATCATGAGGGGGCATGTGGTTGTTTCACTTGCACCTCCAGAACCGGTCAATGGCATGCAACGTTGTAATGCTGTGGCTCGTTTCATGTTGCCCAGGGCCCTGCGGCCAGCTTTTAAAAAGAGCTGTATGCCCTCTTCCGCTTCAAGAGAACTAAGCGTTTTGTTTTCTGTTTTCCTAATTCTATCACTTTGCCTTGGCTGTGACCAAGTCGACCTTCGCTTTCTTTTCTATCATTGTCGTTGCTCTTTGGTGGACTGTGATCCCACAGACGCCCATTCACCCGTCGGACTCACTCTTTGTGCCTTCGGGATCATTGCCATTCTTCTATTCATAGACTCTGCCCTCGAATTATTGTTGTCGCTGGTGTACGATATCAATAATAGTAGTACTATTCTTCTGGATCTTCTGTCGGTTCAACGCAACTTCGACCTCAACTCTTTCTTCCTGTCTTCATCTATACTGTCTGTCGCTCTAACGCAAACACAATCTCAACATGAAGGCCGTTTCGGTCACTCTCGTTTCTCTTTTCGCCGTGGCCCAGGCCACTGGCTCGGTGAGTGTCCTTGGAGTCCCTGAAGGCTCTTGCTTGTATACCTTTCTGACTTTCTCCAGTGGTGGGTCACGGACAAGTGCTACTCCAATCCCGAGAACACCGACAACGAGTGCACTGATCATCAGAAAGGTGGTTGGGACTGGTCTGACCTTACTCCCGGATCTTTCTCCTCATATGGAGGCTTCGATTTCTCTGGTTTTAAGTGCAGTGAGGGCTCCACCGGCTGGGGAAAGCGTACCTTCGGTGGCGTAAGTCGGCTCAATCTTTTCCTTCCACATCACAAAAGCAACATGCTAATGGCGCACAGGGCAAATCCATTGAGGGAAAGCTCTCCTCTGCCCCCAAGTTCTCCTGCGGCCAAGAGAAAAAGGGGTTCTCCATTAGCAAGCTGCATCTCTCCACCTCCAAGGAGACCGACGTGCACATCGTCTATGGCATGCCCGATGGTTCCACCTGCCGTAACGTTGCTTCTTGCTCGCCCGAGGGCACCCAGGTCAGCAACGACCAGTGCGGTGGTGCCACCTCCGTGAGCTTCGAGCCCCCGAGGGATCGGAGGATGATGACTGTGACATCGGTGTCCACAGCATTGACTTTGACTGCTCTCCTGGCAAGACCACCTCGACTCCCACCGCTGGTGTGCCAACCGAGACTGGTGTCAGCCCCGAATCGTCCTCCACTCCTGTTGACTCCGAGTCGTCCACTCCTGTCATTCCCACTCCTGTTCCTTCCTCATCTGATGTAGTCCCCACGTCGTCTTCTGCAGGCATCACGACGCCCGCCCCTGTCACCACTCCTGTCCAGTGGACCACCTCGACCGTGTACACTACTAGTGAGATCACCATCACCAGCTGCGCTCCTACGGTGACCGATTGCCCCGCCAACTCAATCAGTGTCATTACCTCAACCATTGCAGTTTCGACCACTGTGTGCCCCGTTACTGCCACCGAGACTGCCTCTGTCTCTCTGCCTTCTTCTGTCGATGCGGGTTCGAGCTCTGGAAGCCCAACCCCCGACGTCACTCCTTCTGAGACTGCTACTGAGACTGCTCCGTCCGAGACCGACTCCGAGACTCCTTCCGAGACTGCTACTGAGACTGCTCCTTCCGAGACCGACTCCGAGACTCCTTCCGAGACCGCTACTGAGACTGCTCCATCCGAGACCGACTCCGAGACTCCTTCCGAGACTGCTCCCTCTGAGACCTCTCCTGAAAGCACCCCTACTGGCAGCTCTCCCGTCGAGTCCAGCTCCTCGACCCCGGCCATCACTTCACCTGCGACTCCTGCTCCTTCCAGCACTGCCCCTGGCATCACTGGGGATGTCACCACGACTGTTGTAACATACGAGACCGTGACCACCTGCCCTGTGACAGAAACCATCTCGACCAGCGGCACCGTCACTACCTCCACTTACAACACTGTCTCTACCGTCACCCTGACTTCCACTTCGACCATCTGCACTGCTTGCGAGGCCAGCACCACTCCCGCCCCCTCGTCTGTCGCCCCTGTGACCACTGGCCCTGCCCCTGAGGACTTGACCACTACCGTGGTGACGTACGAGACCGTGACCACCTGCCCTGTGACTGAAACCATCTCGACCAGCGGCACCGTCACCACCTCCACTTACAGCACTGTCTCGACCGTCACTCTGACCTCAACCGCCACCATCTGCACTCGCTGCACTGCGGGAAGCACTACCCTTCCCTCGGGCCAGTCCCCGTCACCGCCAGCGAGACCAGTGACGTGCCCTCCGTGACCAGCACTCCCTCGTCTGTCCCTCGGCCCTTGCCCCAACGTTGTGCCCAAGTGTATCAACACCTGGCTCAGCCTGCTCCCCAAGTGCGACTCCAACAGTGACGCCAGCTGCTTCTGCCCCTCCTCCGAGTTCACTGACAAGGTCATCGCCTGTGTGCAGTCCTGGGGAGCCTCGCAGGCGGAGGTCCAGGCCGCTCTGTCCTACTTCACCGGTATCTGCGCTGCCTACGTGCCCCAGAACCCCGGCATCGTGACCGCCATCCCGACCACCATCACCCTGGTCCCCACCGTCACCCCACCGGCGTTGACGCAGTCACCGCTCCTACTGGTGGTGCCACTGCCACTGCCACTGCCACTGCCACGCCGACCGGTGGTGCGGCCGTCACGCCCGCTCCCGAGGCCCCTCCGCCCCCTGCACCACCATCACCTACTCCTCTTACACGGTGACGGTGCCCCAGGTCGCTTTCTCAACTGCCTCCGCTGGCTCGACCACTACCGTCGGCCTGATCCCCGGCCCGGCCCCCACCTCCGCAGGCACCACAAGCCGCATTCCCAACCCCTGGCTGTCCTCCTCGACACTGGTGACTCACCCAGGCACCGCGTCGGCTACTGCCTCTCCGACCGCCGGTCCCATCCTGTCCAACGATGCCTCCTCGGGCTCTGTCTCGAGCATGGTCTGGGCTGTCGCTGTCGCGGCCCTCTTTGGCGCTCTTTACTAATCTGCCTGCGAAAATGTGCTTTTTTCCGTCCTCAACGTGTAACTGTCTGCTACCTTCGTTCTTTTTACATCAGATAATCACTGCTAAGTAATACTGTATTTCAATCTCTTGCGTTCTTCCTTTCCTGGATAATACTAGATAGATCGTCGAGAGCCTTCCAGCCTGCTTGAAGGATTGAGGAATACACTTTCTTGCCCATGTACCAATGTGTCTTGATTCCCTTTACTCCGTAGTTCTCCTATTCAAGTTGTAAGCATTGTTGCCCTAGTTAGATGTACAAGATTGCAGATAGCAGCAGCTTAGTTTACATCCTCCGCGCCCAGTACCCTGACTTATTATAGATCCGTCAGAAAGACAGCACACCCGTTTCCCCAGGGTACGGATAGGATCAGTGAAGATGATTAATACGTAGCCCACCTCAGTCCTTGGGAGGCCGGTTCGCATTGATATCGTTTAGAATCTCCCCTGCACCAGCCTTGACCAGTCTCGCCGCAAGTTCCTCTCCGAGCGCGTTTGCTTCGTCGACAGTCTCGACTTTTGAAGTGATGCTGTCCTCGACGCTCCGGGTACCGTCCAGACTGACAACGATAGCATTCATCCTCAAGTCCCCGAAGACGTCCACTCCGTCTCAACCCCAATAGGAACACTACAACCACCCTCGAGGGTCCTCATAAGAGACCTCTCAGCAAGGCACGCAAGGGTAGATTTCTGGTCCGCCAGCCGGCCCAGCAATTCCTGCATTTTAACGTCTCCCTTGCGAATCTCCAAGCCCAGCGCGCCCTGGCCAACAGCATGCAGGATGCCCCCGTCCTTGGAGCCCAGGTACTGGTTGATGCGGTGCTTGAGGCCTACCCGCTCAAGGCCCGCAGCGGACATGACCATGCACGTGTACTCGCTGTCCGGGTCGTCCACCTTGGCGAGACGCGTCTCGACATTGCCGCGGAGATTGGCGAAGCGGAGATGCGGATAGAGATGGCGGAGCTGGGCTGAGCGCCGCACGGAGGAAGTCCCGACTACCGCGCCCTCGGGGAGGCTGCTCAAGCTCGTGTAGGGCAGCCCGGCCTTGACGATCAGGGCGTCCCGCGGATCATCACGGGGTGGGATCGCTGCCAGCTCACAGGTGTCGGGGAGCCGGGTCGGCATATCTGGTCCCGTCAGAGTTTGAACTTGGTCTACGCGTAGTTCATCAAAAGTGATAGAGGGAAATGAGTATCACCTTTCAGACAATGCACAATTACATCCAATTCACCGGAAGTGAGCTTTTCTTCCAGCTCGGTCGTCCAGAGACTCTTGGCGCCAAAGTTATACAGCGCCGTTAGCTGGTCTCGGTCGCCCAGCGTGCGGAGGGCTTCGATCTCATAGGATCGCTCCGGGGCTATCTTTTGCAGGCTCTCCCGGATGCCCTCCGCCTGGACCATGGCCAGATTGGATCGTCGGGTACCGATTCGTAGCGGCGGCTGGGGCGTTGAGGTTCCCACCATATTTTCGGATGATGAGGGGGTTGGAAGTGAGATGACCACATCCCGACGCTAAACTACTGAGACGCTTAGTATGCAAGCGATGATTTAGCGCTCGATCCAGCGGTGTATCCGACGATTAGCGTAGATTTCCACCAACTCATCATAACGATAATTACCAACTCAAGCTGTTTTGTATTCCTTGCCTCTTTGAAGACGGCACGTTATCTCCCAGGGCCTGGTCATGAATCTGGGTGGACTGGCTATTCATGGCATGGACACATGTTTGTTGCGCATGGAATTCATTACGCTCTGAAGACGAGTTTGTAAGGCATTGAGCGTCCATTCTTTTCATATGCCACGGACTGATAGTCATATTGGAAGTGTTATCCACAGAAGGACTAAATATCCCATTGCAGGCGTAATAGGGATGGAAGTCATTGAAGCTACGTCACCATGTAAAGCGGATGAATTGGCTGCATAGAACTGGGAGTCACTCGTGCAGCGAGGGAACAGTTCATACTACATAGCTCCTGTCGAGACGAAGACAGACATCACATGCTATAAACCCAGCAGCATCATTGATTCCGCCCTATCCCGGTTTAAACACGAGCACAACAAGACCAATTCCATGCCCTCTACATATTAGGCCACTTCCGAAACAAATCCGACAACCGATCTATCGGCGCCGTAAGCAACCCCACAGCAGTCTCAAACGGCGGCGTCGAAGGCGCCCCCGGATGCGCATGCGAAGGCACAAAAAGCTTCGTCCTGTTCAGCGACTGAGACAGCCCGAGGCTCTCCTGCTCCGAGAGTGCGTCCTCCAGCAACTGGATATCCTCCGTTTCTTCGTGATGTATATGCTCCTGGACATCTTCCCAGAGGGACTGCAGCGTGGGGATGAAGCGCGGGTCCGTGGATTTCATGTCCTGAAAGGTCTTGAGCTTTTCTTTTACCTGTGGCTAGGCTGTCAGCCGGACGCACTCACTCACACTACATATACAAAGGAAAGGGATCAAGATCCAACCGTCTGATGCTCGGCCCTATCCTGCCTCGCCAACTCTTTTCCGTCGTCGAGGTATTTCTCCAGCGCGGGGTACACGACTAGTTCCTCGCCGACTGTGTGCCGCGCCAGTTCCCAGGTGAACTGGTTCTGGTATTTGGTTTGTTCCTCGGGATCGGTCGAGCTGACGATCAGCTCGTAGAAGGATTTGATCTCGCTGTGGTCATGCTTGATTGTGTCGAGGATGCGGAATCGGCGGGCCTGCGACCAGTCTGTGAAGGCTTGGACCTGGTGGCTTATGTTGCCGCGGAGTACGTGAGGCTCGGAGACGTTGCTGTCTGCTGTGGATTTTCGTCCGTGTGTGGCCGCCATGGATTGAGCATTAGATCAATGGAGGGGAAGTGAGAGGAGGATGTGATGTGGTGTTGATCGGAGGAATACTCCTGCAGTGTAGACAAGACATCATAGTAGAAACCGCGGTTGGATGTCTCTTGGGACCGTCATCACTTCATCACAGGGACAACACTGTACAATCTGATGAACCCATTCATTATATTAAGTTGTACTCAGTAACCAAAAAAAACGCCTGTACAGCTATGCAACATCATCGTCTACACTTGTCTCCTCAATATCAACCTTTCACGAGCCGCTGATGAGACTCGCTAACGCTCGCTCAACCAATCACCAAAGCCCTCACCTCAATACTCTCCCTCGGCTTCGCGCCCTCCCTCGTCCGCGGATCCCAAAACGCAGAATGCGGCACCCGCTCCGCAATCCCATCCCCCTGTCCCGCTTCCGCTTGCGCTGCCGCAAGACTATCCGAGCACTTCAACAACAGCCGCTCGTCATTCTCCATCCCAGAGAGATACATCCACCGCTGGTTCGGATTGTACTTGACGGCCATGGTCTCGCCCGTCCGATGCGGGTAGCGGTGCTCCACAGCCACGAGATCGTGCTCGTTGTCGACGGACAGGGCCGCCGCAAACGCCAGCGGCGCGGACTCCACGCGGCCGTTCAAGGGCCGCCACACGTTGACGATGCGGTAGCGCACGCCCTGGCTGATGATGCGCTCTGCCTCGTCTGGATCAGTGACGTGCAGGCGGACGCGGTCCTGCGCCGCTTTGCGGGTTTGGTCGACGTGTGCTTTGTTAACTGGCTGGCGGGGGCGTTGGGGTCTTGTCTGCGGATGGTGTGGTCGAAGAGGATGATACGCTGAGCGCCGGGGATGTGCTGCTTCAGCAGCTGCTCGACTTCGGGGTAGTAGAGGCGTTGGACTTCGGCGTCGGAGTCGAAGGTGGAGTAGGTGGTTGATGTGGGGATGTGTTGGAGGACTTGGACGGCGTGTGTGTCGAGGGTGTAGTCTGCTTCGTGGCCGCGGATGTCGGTTAGGGAGACTTTGTGTACTTGCTCGCCGTAGTTGCGGGGTGGGACGCCGGCAGGTGGAGATTCCACATAGTTGTAGGGTGTAGATCCGTCGGCTGGGGGCTCGTAGAAGGTTAATTCGACGTCGACGGGCCGCGGGGGACGGGATCGACGTTGGTGGTGGTGGTGGTAGTAGTAGTAGTACTTGTGGTAGTGGTCGACATTCTGAAGTTTTGAAGAACGTGCGTTTTTAAGGTCGGTTCATACAGTTATAGACTGCGATGATGTTGTTGTTCAGCAACACACATCCTACCCTTATATACCGTGCAGACTGCTGTATCATCCTGGGGCATTTGTAATCATACACGATGACTCCAAAAGTGTCCGCCATGTGTCGCCCTTTTGCAAATGTATTCCTTCGATTTCCAATCATCCCCAGACATGACGTGCTTAGAAACAACCAATCACGACAGCCAAGAGCATCGCCTTTTGCCAGCCCTGACGTTATATAAGCCAATCAGAAGTAAGACAAATGCCAAGAAAGACGTCACAACGGATTGGTAATCCGGATACATTTCTAATAACGTGATTGGCTGATTGGCTGCGTCAGTCAGCATGAATGAATTGATCCTTTAGACACAGGCACATTGGAGAATCGAAGGCGCGGAAGTGCATCAATGACTTGATTATATCCGTGAGTGAACTGTCAAATTAGAACAAATATACGAGTCTGTAAGTTCAGCAAATAGAATCTTCCTGCAAGTGTAGAATCTATGTTCGACACGCCAATCTCACAAAAGTGAGCATTGAAGACATAGATCAATCACGAAGTGCCAATGCTAGCATGGTCACCTCGCATAGGCGCGTGCTCGACAACAAGATGAAGTCGTTGACCACCAATAACACCAACAAGCAAGCCAGAACGCCGACATGGTATTTCCATGCCCCATAAACCCTGAACCCCAATCCAAGACCATAGACAACGCCAGAAAGAAGTAGATGAGCGAGAAAGCATTACTGCTAGCTTGCTCTGGCCTTCTTGGTGCGCTCGTAGCTCTGGAGCTCCACATCTCTGCCATTAGTCTTGAGCGGGTAGAGATGCACCCCATATCGGTGGGAAAGTCGGGGTGCAACAGACTAAACCGGTGCGGGTTCTGAGGTACCCCATCCACCTCGGCCGGGACCCGCTCCACAAGCAGTTCGATCAAGCTACGGTCAACCCAACCAGCAGACCTGTTGTGCAAGCGGTCTAACCGAGCACAATCGTCTTCTACCTCTTCGTTCATCAGAGACGGCAGCGGTGGTGCATTACTGTTCGGTCTAGCGTGGTAATTGGCGAGAACATTATATGGCAGGTTCGGACGGACCGCGGGCTTGTCTGACAGCTCGGCTAGCGCATTGAGCGCATGGTTGCCGTGCGTCCGTGTGGATCGCGTCGCATGGTAATTCTGGCTGGCGGTGCGCATCATGTCGGCGGCCGGTGTGCCATTATCTTCCTGCCCGGTACCGTCGCCCGTGCCTGACTCTTCGACATCAGTGTTATTCCCGTTCGTCGTGGTGCCCGAAGGCTGATCAGCCCGTTTGGATGTCGAGAAGAAATGCACAGTGGCGACGTGAGCTTGATTGGCGTGTGCGCTGAGTTCCTTTTCCGTGAACAGAGTATGGATAGCATATGTCGGCGCGTGCTGCTTCTCCGCCACCTGGGACTTGGCCCGCTCGGCCGGGTTCGGATCGCGCACCGGCGAGCCAGTATCCTCCTCAGGCGCTTTCCTCTTCCTTTTATTGAACTCTGACACAATTCCGTTGCCCAGTTCGTCCAGGTCGACACGATGGCGGGTATGCCGGGTTTTGCGATTGCCGTGAACCCCACCAGGACTGGCGGGATTGGTGATGCTGAATTGATTGGGATGAAGAAGGAGAGCATTAGTGTCAGCAATATCGAGCTGCTCCTTTTCCCGCATCAACCGGGCCTTCTTCCCTGAAATTGTCTGCACAAGCCGTTCCCGCAGGGTCGAGGAGAGGTTGTTGTATTCTTCACCGGCGAAGTGCACCCGGAAGGCGTATTCGCGTTGGAACCTTTCTAGATTGTTATTATGACGGTGCTGCACACGTTAGCTTCCAAGCATTCTAGACATAGACAAAAGTAAGCAGAAGAAAGGGGAAAAGAACTCACCACAAGCGCCGCCAACTCCGCATCCCGCTCCTCCTTAACCTGATTCACCTCCTGCACAAACCTTGAATACCACATCCCAGACAAACTAGCCATCTCCTTCGCAAAAGGTCCCCCGCCAATCGTCTTCTCAACCAAAGCAGCGATTTCCTCCGCCGAGTCGGGCAGCGGACCCGGCGAGTACGGATCCGCGTTGTTGATCAATGTCATATCGCACTGCAACGTATGCAGCTGCTGGCGGAATTGCGCGTCTCGATTCTGGCTGAAGGTCGCCGTGAGATCGTGCAGCCGCTCTTGTAGCGCTCCGCGGCGCTTGTCCCGTTTCGAGAGGGGAGCATTCGTCGTGGGGCTTGGGGATCGGCCACTAGGATGAAGGCTGCTGCTCAGTGTTTGTCCAGCTGCGCCGGTAGCTGGCGATACCGGTGCCGGAGAGTAAGCCATGGTTTAGGTGTGTTGTATAGGAAACCAGGGCAGTGTGAAGATATTGACGGGTGAGAGGCGGGTGCTGAAAGGTTGAGTTGCGGGTGGATCAGGTCCTGAAGTTTGATAACAACATAAAGAGGCCTGTTGAATTACTAGAGATTGAAAGAAAAGCCCGCATGAACGGCGAACAGAAACCAGCTTTCGTGGCAGAGCGATGCTGCGTTTGGGGAGGAGAACCAGCAGCTGGTAATGGAGAAGAAAGCGGGAATCCGGCGGCGCTCCCGAACTGGAATAGCCCCGGGGACATTTTCACCGCCCAGTTGCCTCATTCAACTCCATTCATCATAGAAGTCTCTCGCAACAATAAGGACGATATCTCCTCTATACTCCATACCAATACAGATTGCCCTGATCGTACAAGAGGCTTGAGACAATTGATGCCCATCTTGTCTTAATTGATCAGATCATGTTCGACAAAACCCTTAATCCCAAGCAGTACTACGAACGACTTCTCTTACAGATATATGCTTTATGATTATTGACCAATCCTAAAGTCTATTGGTATATTGTGTATAATTGCTCAGCAATCATACATGATGAAGCTAGTCATACATTGTAAGCCATCTTCTAGTGTTCTAGACATGGAGCAAAGTTGCATGGCCGGAGCCATCCAACCCATGCCCAAGAGTCATTGATTTCAAAAACGACAAAGTATAGCACCCGGGTATTGTTGTTATCCATCCATCCAAGCAATGCACGGTATATGTTCCCAGACATTTCTTCATGCAAAATCCCATACCGTAGCCCAAACACCGTAGACGCCGCCATAATCACCTAGGCTCAATTTTCTAATTCAGAGGTAAAGCAAATAAACGAAAGCAGAAGCAATGAAACCGTTGTCCGGAGACCTGTGAGACGCATATCGCATCTAGTGTGAGCGACGAATGACGAACACTCCGAGTTCAATCCCATCTCGAGGCTCGCTCTCGTAGGGCCGTTTGCGGATGCCGTCAATAATCTCACCCAGTAACATGGCCGAGGTTACTTCCTTGTCCGCAGCCAGGATATAGGGATTTGCGATATTAGACGTCGCCTTGTGTGTCGGCAAGCGACGACCATTCTGCCAGTAAAGGCTGAGCACTTCTTTCATACGAGCCTTCTCTTGGTGGATGTACCACTCAGTCCAGAGGTTGCGATCGAGGTAGGCACTGCCCTTTCGGGCATCAACAATGCTGAATTGAGAGGAAGAAGAGCTCAGAGCACGACATAACGTGGAAAGATTGTTCTTGAGGGTGTCAAAGTCCTCCATATGAGAGACGGAAGACAACTTGCCCAAGTATCGACCAATATCGGCGGAGAGCTCGTTGACCACGACGAGCTGACGAAGCAGAGGGTCGAGGATCGGTCCGAGGTACTGAGATTTGAAGGCGGAGCCACCCCTTCTGGTGGGGTAAATGAACAGCAGCGAACCGCCATCCGGAGAAAGTTCCGAGAGACGATCTACCAGGAAAGATGGCCGCGATGGGGAGAAGAGATCATTGTATTCCTGCGCCGATGAAGGTGGTATGTAGCGCTCCAGGACCGAGATGTGTACCGACTGAGGCGGAACAATTGGCATTGGAAAGTGTTGTGAAACTTTCATCTGAATGGGCCCTCGAAAGTCATGGTACGCGGAGACCACGGCTGCGCTAGAAAAAACGGTGGAGTTGAAGTAGTCATTGTTGGGGAGCATACAGCGCGGCGACCCCGGGGGTGAAGTAGGAAGGTTGGTGAGACTGAACTGCTCAGGAACCGCATGTGTGACATTGATGTAAGGCGACTGTCCTTGACGGAGGCGGTTCTGGATTACTTGGACAAGGGAGGAGAAGACTCCCTCGCGAGTGCGATGCGGCGTAAGTTTTTCTGCTGAGTATGGGTAGGGAAGCGTTTGAGAGACGAGCTTGACGGGTTCTCCGCGGGCATTCGAACCGGGTAGCGATGATACTAAGGATCAATCGTTTAGTTTGGCAAAAAGAAAAGGGGGACTCATTTAAGTAAAAAAAAAAACATACCGGTCGATTCGATGGCATTCTCCAACCATGAATCATGATCGCAATCCATATCTCCTCCCGGGGAGTTGTGGCTTTCATCTGAACTGGAAGGCGAGGCATTCGACAGTCCGTCCGACGGGCTTCCCAGACCGACCGGAGCGGCTCCTCCCGGTGAGTTATTTATATTCGGACCTTCGTCCATGGGCATCGGCCCCGGATCCCGATTCAGGTGGGAATCAAACAACAACATATTAGACCGAGTGTTCCACAATACGTGCTCGTCGTCCTCGGGAGGCGTCGGTGGAAGGGCCGCGGGGTAGTCGCTTTGAGGAAAGTCCTTGGGCGAGGCGCTCCACGCAGCCGGAGTAGACGGGGATGTTTGAGTTGCTTGTGAGCTCGACGCAGAGGTTGTAGTGAGGCGAAGGCGGGGTTCAACGGAATGTGTACGGGACTCGATTCGGCTGGAGGGTTTCGAAGAGAGTCCGAGTTTCTCGAATGGAGGAAGGTTCAGCGATACGTTGCCTCTGTTCAAGAACCGGGACACGGTCGAGGGTTTGGTGACGAGGGATCCCTGGGAAGCTCGCCGCTTCAGTCGGCTGGAGCCTCCGCCCGGGCGAGAAGTCGAGTATTGTTGGACGGGAGAGAGTGGACTAGTTGCGTGGTTGTCGAACGAGTTCAAAAGCATCTGACGCGAAGAACAGCCTTCCCACGAAGCATTTGAAGGTGAGGTTGACGAGGATGGTGAACGCATGACCGAGTTGTTTTGCACCCCAGTGGTAGACCAGTCCAGTCCATGACACTGCGTCTGATTCATTCAGGCGATCGACCTGGGTCTCCAATTGACAGGGAAGATAGCCGACGTCTCGTCGTCAGTGACTGCACGAGTTCACTCTGGCAGTTTGACGGGACGATTGGAATTCGAGTCGATCAATGTATCTGACTGACAAGAAGCAATTATATGAGGCGGCAGGCTGGTGGATGCGTTGGCAGGAGGACTTATAGAAGGATCGAGAGGCGGCTATGCGGCGGGAGAAAAGGTTGAAAGGAAGAGTACCGGTCGTACAGAAATGACAGGGATGTGAAGAGTGCGAGAAGGATGTTGAAGATCCGACGAGGACGTAGGTAAGCACCCAGAGAGCACCTTAGGAAACGGCACAGTGGAGAATGGGTGAGATTAGCAGGGTGCGGAAATTGTGGTCGTTGAAAGCTGCCAGACGGTGGGATGGGAGTAAAGTTGAGTTGGGTATGCAAGGTTAGAATGGATAGAAGGAGGGAGAAGAAATGGAAGAGAATAGAGGATGCTAGGTTACTGTTATCCAGTCAGTAGTCTAGATAGGTATGGATAAGTAGGTAGCCCTGGTAAGGTAGGGTAGGTAAAGGTAGGTACCTTAGTTTAATGACGCTGGGACGTGGAATTGAAAATGAGCGGGCGCAAGTCCAGAAGGGCCAGACACATTCGGTCGTTCAGCCAGCGGGAGAGCCAAAAAAGGGCCCCTCGGGCTGCGACTTTCCACCAGCGTTCTAGACCGGGCAGCCTTGGCCTGATTGGGGAGTCCATGACACGAGGACGCCCGCTCGGCCCAGTCACAATCCAGTCTGGCCCAGTCAGTACTCAGCGGTAAAAACTAATAATCTTCGGAAAAAGAAAAAGACCTCAATTCATTATTATTCTGCCTGCATAGGATCCATGTAAATGTGCATAACCCACATACCTGGGCTTTTTGATATAAGTTACAACAGTATGAATCATTACATTTCTATTGTACGACATACCCACTTCATTCAACTTGATTCATTTAAATCAAGACCTAACCAGGTGGCCATATTCACTCGATAAAATGCAGCGAGCTTTCCTAGATCGACAGCAAAAAGAAAAAGCAAGTCTCCCCAGCTTTGGTCATAGCCCAGACGCCGCCCGACCTGTCTAGGCCTCCATAGTTGCCGATCGGGGAGTACGGACCTATTACGGATTTACAGTGCTCCGTAGGCTAGATATGTATGTATTGAAGGATTTATGGATAACATTTACACGGACCAATTCGCCTCCCAGAGATTAGTCTAGTCGCACCCCACTCCTTTGGCAGGGATAGGATCCAGCAGCATTTAGAAAAATGTTGGCAGAGTTGGAAATTATCAACTCAAATAATATCTATCCACTTGGTCGCCTGAAAAATTACTATTATACTGTTCGTCATTGTCAGCTTGAATCTGGATCTACTGTCAGCACGCCTTATCAACCTAAATAGTCTCCCAATGTGAATACATACGCAGGTCGACTCAAATACTCAACTCACGCTACCTCGTCTCGAACAGGCAAACAAACACAGAATCGGCCATGCAGTGCTGTACTACGAGGCTCAGGGGTCAGGTTTGAAATAACCACAATGTTCTACGGAAAAGGATCCCAGATGTAATCATTGGGAGAGCTCTTCTCAGAGGGACAAAGGACTCTCCGACCATAGAACGGCACAGTCTTGATGGGCTCATTCATGGGATCTTGATTCCAGTAGAAACTCTCTGCTACTGTGAAATCTTTAGTACGTGGCCCAGACAGTAGACATCATGGAATTTAACTTTCCATCACCGACATGACTCGCGAGGTATGCTGCGGGCCTGTCTACTACCGAACCTAGTCTTAATGTGTTAACAAGGCCGCAGCATCCATAATCAATAATGGATGAAGGGTGGGATATGTATTTCTACTGCGATTCAAGGATTTGCCTCGCACAAATCAGCAGTCAAGTACCGTACCTTACAGAGCCTAATCACCGGACTCGATTGATATTTACCACTTTGCACACAATCTGGCATAATATGTTAATGAATAGGTAATAAGGAAATTTATCACCCCTCTTCATGCCGGTTATTGGCCTTGACGCCTCAGAACCATGGTCGTATCAGCCGGCTGATCGATGGTTACCAGTTGCCAGCAGCGATGCAATCCAGTCCCCAGTGCCGCTTGCGGGCGGGTGACGCCTAGACCCTTTTCCGTGCTGCCGAAGTGATCCGCTAAAGTATCTACTCAGTCTTTTTTCACCTTTTATCTTCTATCTCCACTGTGTATCTTTTCATGAGGAAATACGACTCTGCTGGAAATGCCGTCAAAATAGCATGTCAAGTGACTCTCGCAGATCCGGAGTTTCCTCGCCTTGTCGAGCCTAGATCGGGCGGACAGGCCTTGTTTCTACCCCCATCCTGCCCTGTTCTTCAGTCTTCAACACAGATCCATCTTGACTATTTGGTCAGAATAGCTTCACCTTGTGTCGAATATTATATGGCCTATATACTCTGTATCAATGGCCTCGCGTCAAGATGGTAACCACATTGCACTTCCCGGGCGCACCACTCCGCAGCACGGAAATCCCCCCTCTTTGGGCATCTTGCAGATGCATTAGCGGCATCACGGCTGGGCATTACTGATCTGGTTATGAATCAGGTTACTCCGTACTCTACAGCCTTTGCCGGTGCTCTTCCCAGTCACTACCTTACTACCGCTACGCTGTTATCAGGCGATAGCAGACACCACACCATCTTCCAAGAATGATTGCTAACTACCATATCCAAGAAAACCATGGATGATTACAGGACAGTAATCTCTACCTTAGCTCTAGACCTCCGACATATTGCAATGCAGTAATAATAATCCTTGGATAGTCCCAATCCCAGTCCTAAATCTCAAACATCAAGAACCATGGAACCCCCGCACAGTAATCAACCCTACCATATATGCCACTGCTAAGGTAGTCTAGTCATCAACCGTCATGCAACCAACTTGGCTTGATCGCCGGAGTTAATCTGAGAATCATATTACCATTGCGCAAGCAATATGCGTCTATCAATCTTCGATTCACTGTTAGTGGAAATGGATACTGGCATTGGCTGAAGTTATGATCCACCCTCGTCTCAGGTAGAAGAGTGAAACGACGCAGTTGCCGCGGCACCTTTTATTTAATTGGATTGTGGTGGATAGATAGCTGTCGCTGTCGCTGTCAGTGACGCGTGATGGTGATGGGATGGCTATATTATTTGAAGAGGCCATGTATACATTGTGGATATCAGAATTGCGTGGTTTACATAACATGAACGTAGCAGGTTGAATCTGCTTCTAGCAATATTGAATATGACGGAAGTTTATTGGTGGATAGAAAAGATATCCTGCCACCAGGTGTCGTTATTGTGTAACAGCGACTGTTGATGCCTATTGCTATTGTTCGTTGTACAAGAGTTATCTGCCAGCCTTGGCTGTTGAACATGAGACGTCTATCTGCTCTTGAATCCAGCCGTGAACGGCAGGTCTCTTATTAAGTACTATGGATTCAAAGTTAATCAAGCCATGTATTAACTTTGAAGCATGATGCCATGCCCACTTGTATTAAATTAAGATTAGGAGTATGTAGTATAGAGACTCATTACAGGACTCAACCTGTGCACATTCCACCTGCCAATTTCAGACATGTGCCTTCCACGCTGTGTTCCAGGTTTTAGGCAGCCCAAACCAAGGCCGACGACTTGCTCCCGCAGTATGCTGTGCGATAGTCGTGGACAGGAGTGACCTTGCAGCCTCGCAGGAACGGTTGTTCGCTAAAGTCCAGACCGCAAAAAGCCCTGCACTTTCAGAACGGATTTCTATGCCAAGCCATGACTTGACAGTAATCCGTGCTCTAGCCCTGTGGATGTTGCAGCCTAATCGACTCGGCGTTCCGTAATGCCAAGCGTGTGGCTACATACACCGATGACCTTACGTCAGAGCCAAGCTCCATCTTGCTGCATATAAGGTCCAGGCCGGGCTGTCTGTGGCAGGCCCGCGTCAGCATCTTCCAGCTTGTTCGCCTCGGCAGCTTGGAAGAGCGAGGCCAACTGGGGCGACCGTTTGGTCGTCTGAGTCTGGCCGCTAGGGTAGATCCGGTAGATCGGTAGATCTGGGGCGAGTAATTGTAGTGAACGTCCAAAAGAGACGTAACCCTACACATGCTCAGGAGGTGACAGTTCTTCTCCGGGATGCGGCGTGGCTGCGAGGGTGCAGTGCCTGAGTTGCGTCACTGTAGTGAGTCTGCAGACACCTGTTGGCAGACACCTTAGCAGCAAGACACTTGTGCTCCTCGACCGTCTTTTGAGAGTGCTTGCGGGCGAAATTTGACGACCTCATGGCAACAGTGTGGCCCGTTTGCTGCTGCGTTAAGTCGCACCGAACATAAGTAGCGGGGTTGTACAGCGATTGAGACTGCAGGCTCTGGCGCTCCACAGCGGCTCGGAGTACCAGACACTGCACCACCAGCTGCTTGACACCATCCGTCAACGTACGCGCGCGGTGCTCAATATCCGGCCAAAAGTCACTGCCCCAGAAAGGGTCCTCTCGGACTGCCCCTTCCAACGCATCGAAAAAGAAATCGAAGCTGGGAAGTCGCTTTTGCGCGTCGATCGGGCTTAATCCTTGTAGGTTGTCCGACAACAGGCACGCCACGGCAACAAATCGGATGGTCGGCTCAGAGTTAAGGACGTGTAAAACGATGCACGCTGGGCAGCGCTCTGTCTGGTACCAGTCGTGCTCCTCCCTGAGGATGCATTGTAGCCAGGCGTAGGCGCTGCGTGCTTCTCCCCGAAAAGCACGTTCGCAGTCCGTCGATTTGATCCCGGGTAAGGCGCTGGTCGCAATTCGGGAGGCCTGATGGTGGAGGAGGAACAAGGGGAGGAGAATGGTGTGGATGATATCCCGATGGAGACGAAACTCCTCCTGGTCCCGGTTGGAACAAGAGCGACGGTGCAATGAACAGAAGCTGTAACCGTCCAAGTGTCAGATTGAGCCACAGATATATGTCATTCCGGATGATCATACCTAGGAGCATCCATTCCCATCTCTTGGCGTCTCAGGTGGTCCCTGACCGCTTTGAAAGCATCGTTGCGATTCAGCTTCTCCGAATCCTTGTTCGAGATCCGAAACGGTGACACAATGGAGTTGTTCGGCATTTCTGTGATACGGTGGGCTTGTCCTCCAGCCACGAGTCTGTCGTTTCGAGCAGAAAATATGATTTCAGATGATGGCTGCTGCCAGAGGGGCTTGCGCCGGCCTGAACGAGGTACCCAGGAAAATAAGAGTACACAATCAACAGTATACCGTATTGGTGACGTCGGTCGCCAGTAATGAAGAGGCTACAGATCCAGACCAATCAAGCAATACGGAGGCAGACGGAGCGAATAGAGAGTCGAGAGCACGGCGATATACAGAGGAAGTCCCATGGATTGCATGGTCCAGTTTCAAGAAAAAGGAAGTTGGTTCACGTCGGAAGCTTCTGGGAGCTTGACAATGAGGGGGAGCGCAGCAGTTTAAAGTTCGATGAATGACGGAAACAACAACAGTGATGGATTGTTCGAGAAAAGGAGGAGCAGAGGAGAAGATAAAACTATTGTACGGAGTATAATTAAATCTTTCGATTAATGTTCGCAATTGTCAGGGCTTGAAGTTGTTTTTTAAGGAGGAAAATGAGGAGGAAATCCGTGCGGACAGGGGTCTTGGAAGGGCCGTCTTCCACGCAAGCTGCGATGTCGATCGTCAATATCTCGGAAATGAAGATAGAAACGGATGAGGGTAACCTGAAACTAGTCGCATAATCTGTACTACACTGAGAGCGACCAGGGGAAAAGGGTCCCTTTTTGTGTCTCTGCTAGTGGTAGGAAGAAGACGTCAACCAAGGGGGGAAAATCTCCTATTGATAGATAACTTCTACTCCAGACTAGGAATTAATGCTTCTCTGCTTTCTTCTCCTCTCTGCACAGCACAGATCTCAGACATTCAGACCGACTGTCATTTCCCTGAGCATTTTGCGACCCAACCAGCAGTCAGAACCTGGAAGCAGCCAAAGAGATGATCGGAATGATGGGATCTGCTGTGTGTGGTGGACCCGACACGTACAATAGCCCGCGGTCTCGATCACTGCCAAGAGACTACGAATTAATTGTCTCCAACGCCATTCGAAGGAACGGTTGGTTCTCATGCCATGATGTTATCAAACTAAGGTCATCTGTCTCAGAGCCGAGAGCCACCGTGAAAGTAAGACTACAGTCTGAACGGAGGATGGCGATATCTAGTCTACTCCATATTGATAGAGAGGGAAAAAAGGGGTCGTGTTGCTGATAACTTATCAATGAGGATCGAGCACGGCCGAGGGGCAATGCATGGATTCTGATTAGATCAGGGTCTGTTTGCCGATCTCATCACAACAGGAATGGAACAGTTAAGAATCTGAGCTGATCTCTTCCGAACAAGGGATGTTATCCTGTTGATCCAACGGTCTAGCCGAAGAAAGTAGTGCTAACGGAGTCCTCCGTGCTGTACTCCAGACTACGTGAGGACAGTTGAAGCCCTCGAAGCACGACCCCCAAGCAAACCAAGCAAGTGTCATGTGATAATTCATTGCTTGTGGTGCGATTGACCATGTTGCTTTTGCTGACTACTTGGCTCATCGACAACCGAATTGTCACTTGTCAATGTTAGCATTCTGTACGAAAAGAGAGGTGGAGAATACTGTAGATTTCTTTACGAGTTCTCCGTTCCCGGAGATAGCACCGAAAACTTTGCCGGTCAGCAAACTCGAGTATTAAGGTCGGGATAGTCTTCAATGTGACTTCGAACTTGATTTTCTATCTGCCTGAGACGGTAGTTGGGCACATCTGCCGTCCTACTAGCAGCAAATGCCATCTGATCAAGCGCATTAGTGTTGCTTGGATCTAGGGACCGTGAGGGGTGAAAAGTAAGGTAGCCTGAGTTGTCAGGCAACCGCTAGTCATGCTGCGGACTTTGGAACCATTTCTGCCTCGGGCATCACTGTTACCATAACCTCAAATAGTAGATCCATCAACACCAAGCTCTGTACGGAGTATATCAAGATCATTCTGCCCTTCGCATCTGGTTAAACTCACTAAGTACCTGATCTTCAAGTACGAACTCTTTGCTCCCCATTGCCCTCCTTGCGATGCTTCCACATCATTTGCATTTGATCCCTCTTGGCTCTCCCTGATTCTCCCTACATTCCTTCCTCCGCCTACACCGCGTCGTTTTCATGGTCCCAGCCGAGTCAAAATGCTTTAAACGCGCGACAACTTCTTCATCCAGAAGGGATCATAGAGAAATTCCATCAGGGGCTGACAAGCAATGCCATTGACGTCATTTCCTCTAGGGGCTAGCATGCAGTGCTTGTCCCCTTCACTGAAGTAACAAGATTCGAGCGAGGAGAACGATTTCCAATAGCTGAGCCAGGAGGCTGAATCGGCTTCCTAAGGACACATATATCAAGGACGGATCTCTCATCTATCTATCTTGTCTGCTGGAGACAACGCGACATCCAGTTTCATTCTCAGAGAGACCCGTTGTGTTAGCTCCTTCCTTAGCGGCTGTTTGACTGCCGAATCAGGGAAGTGACTCGGGCTCTTTCCAAGTTGTGTACTTGCTGTTTTATTTTGATAGCCTCAAACTGATCTGGAGCCTCTTCCATCCTTTCTCTTCTTCTTTCTCTCAACCCACCTATTTCAATCCCACCGAGATATCCTCTTAGTCTGCAGTAATTAAAACAACAGAACCATCTTTGAGCATAGTCTATCAAACGGGTTCCATCTGCAGAAGGCATTCAATATGCTTCGCTCCTCGCTTTCTCTGTCCATGGTCTCGTTGCTGCTGGGAGGCTTCTCCCCTGTGGCTGTTGATGCCGTACGGACAATTTCAGCTGTTGGTTCCCGCTTTTTTTACGAAGACGGTACCCAGTACTTCTTGAAAGGTGCGAGTTCATCTTCCTCAGTCTTTCTGGCAATTTCACTGACACAAAATACCCTTATCACAGGTATCGCGTATCAGCTCGTTCCTGATGATCCACTCATCGACACGGAACAATGCACTCGCGACGTGAAGCTCATGGCCGAGCTGGGGACCAACGCCATTCGCGTCTACCATGTCGATCCCCATGCCAATCATGACGGCTGCATGAAAGTTCTGGCAGATGCTGGCATCTACCTGTTCGTTGATCTCGACACTTTTGACACACAGATCGAGCAAGTCAGTTCTCATTGAGGGATACATATTCATCCACAAGCTAATCCCGACTGACTCGAGCAATAGACTGATCCTCACTGGAATGAAACCCAGTTTGACCGGTTCAAGCAGGTCTTGGACGAGTTTCAGAAGTATGAGAATACTGCGGGTGTCTTCGTCGGAAATGAGGTCCTCACCACAAAAGAGGGCTCGGCCGCTGCTCCCTATGTGGTGGCTGCGGCCCGAGATATCAAAGCGTACCGCGATGCACAGAACTACCGAAACATTCCTGTGGGTTACTCTGCAGCGGATATTGCGGAACTGCGTCCCATGTTGCAGAATTATCTGGCTTGCGCGAAAGATCCTAATGATCGCCTGGACTTCTTCGCACTCAATGCCTACGAATGGTGTGGAGATTCCGGGTACGTCCAGTCTGGCTATAGAGAGCTTCAGAGAAACGCAAGCGGCTATCCGATCCCCATCTTCTTCTCCGAGACTGGCTGCAACGCCGCACGGCCTAGAACCTTTGGTGACCAAGCTGCCATTTTTGGCGAACATATGTCAGATACCTGGTCCGGCTCTATCGTTTACGAGTGGATCCAGGAGGTCAACGACTACGGTTTGGTCAGCTATGGTCCTCCTGCGCCAAATGCTCCTCCGACAGACACTCTTGTTTATGATGGCTTCCCTCGCAAAGGTGTCCCGACCCCCGTGTCTCCTGACTTCCACAACCTCAAGACCCAATGGGCTACACTGTCACCCACTGGCGTCGCCTTGTCTGACTATATTCAATCCACCTCTACCATCAGCCCCCCGGAGTGCCCTGCCTACACAGCTGGGGCTTGGGAGGTCGACCCCAGCTCTCCGCTGCCCACCCTGGGCCAGACTCAGACGAAATCCGGCTCAACATACCAGGTCACTAATGTAAGCGGTTCTGGAAACCTGCCAGCCATCAGCGCCACAGCCACCAGGTCGACATCCTCGACCCCGACACAGGTGCTCCACAGCGGCGCTGCCAGTCCACTTTCTCTTCCACGGATCGCTGGGTCAAATTATATGGTGAGCGCATCCTTGTTGGTCGGATTTGTGATTGGTATGGTTGCTGTGTTGCTATGACATTATGACTACGAAGCGTGTTTGAGACCTTGATTGTGTCTATTCCCTTATTGTCCTGTTTTCGCATGTGTTATTTGCTGTCTGGCCTAGCCGCCCGATCACGGCCATCATACGTTACTTTGTATCAACATGAGCGCTGGTCAGCCATGTCGGTAATAAAATGAATTCCAGCTTCCGTTCGTTCATGGTCACCCATCGATTGTCGATCTCTCTCGTTTCACTCCCGCTATCGGAACATCGCAATACGGCGAAGGAAAGACGGTTAAAAAAGCTATAATTCAGTATAGTTACAGAGAAAGCCAGAATATTTCAAATCACGAACATTGACGCTCGTTCATCTCAGACGTCGGGACCGCCTAGGAACCCCGTGCGAGACAGACAACAAAAGACCCCAATCAAACACTACTCTGGCAGCAAGAACTAAATAGTAATAATCGGATGGGTATACAAGAAATGACCTCCAGAGATACTGCTTCAAGAAAATGAAGAGGCAAAAGAAAAAAGGGATAAAAACAGATACGCTCAGCTACAGGGGATAACCACAGTCGGACTGAGGTATGTTAGGGAAACAATGGCGTGCGAGGAGCAGACGCCTTGAGCTGCGTTAGGATACAAAGATGTGATGAAGGATAGTTGTGAGTGAAACTCTATCAATCAGTGATTGCAACTCCGTAGCCTAGAATAGAATCCCGGGAGGGCGCCGGTCTCAAGGGTCCGTCTGGTGGCATTGGCCAGGGGACCCTGAGTGACGAAGAGGAAGGGGTGTATTCGCTGCTTTCCTGGTCGGAGTCGTCGTCGCTGTACGTGTAGGTGTCTGCCCAGTCTGTGTAACCGGCATAGCTGGCTGCTGATGGAGATGGGGAAGGGTGTCGCAAGACAGCGGGTGATTGTTCCGGCTGATGAGGGGAGTCTGTCCGTTGCTGTGCTGGTTGGGGAGGGCATGGTGTAACAGTGAGTTTGGGTTGGGTTGAACTAGGGGCCGTAGTCTCCGACTTAGAAAATTCGCGCTGCGGCATGGCCTGTGTCTTGGATGCTTCGGCGGCGTGGATGTGCAACTTGGACGTGCAGTGCAAAGTGACTGAGTCGTCTATCTGGCGCAGGGCGGCGACGAAGCGGCTTTCCACGCGCGTGGCCGAGGGCCTGTTGCCGGGTTCCTTGTCCAGCATGCTCCGTACTACAGCGAGCATTGGCTCCACGGCGCGGAAGACGGGATCCTTCCGTTTCCTCGCGTCGTGTTCCAGTAGGGCGATCCACGAACTTACCTGGCCGATATTCCGGTCCAGATGGAACGAGCAGTCCGCAACGCCTCCTCCGCGGCCGGCGGTCCTGTTCTTTGCGCCCCGGTGGTGCGCAAAGGCGGTAATCTTGCGCTTGCAAAGGTGCGTGAAGATGTCAAGGATCACGGCTCCGAGAGAGAATATGTCCGATGCCTCGGGGTCTGTCTGTCGGGACTGCCAAGTCTGTACCACGGCGGTTTTCGATCGCGTGCCTGGGAGTCGGGCGGGATCGAGGACCGTAGAAGCGGAGCGACCTGAGGAGCCGGAGGAGTTGGACGAGGTGATAGATGGAGTGTATAAGATAGGCCGCTTGACTGAGGCGACAACCCGTTTGCGAGCGCTTCCGCTGGATCCGGAGGACGATGAAGACAGCGCGAAAGAAAATCGCGTCGGTGAATCGGGCAGTCCTCCAATGCGGATGGCGGTGCCATGGGAGGTGACAGACTCAGCTCGTGGGCTCAGCGAATGGTCCACCGCGTCATCAGAGCCCGAGCCTCTCGAGAACAGGCTCAGTCTTCCAGGGCGGGATGATGGCTGACGTCTACCCGTGCGACCACCAGATGGAAGAGCTGTTCGAGTCGGGCCGGTATCCTGAACGGTAGCGGCACGTACCCAGCGCTCCGGGGCTCCGTACTGATACGACTCGACGTCGTCTATTTTGGCAGGTGGCAGTAACGTATCGAGTGCCTCAAACTGGCCGAGGAAGATACGGTATTCTGAGTCAATCAGGACATTCGACGGCCGGATGGCGCCATGGACTTGGTTGTGAGCATGCAACCATGCCAGCCCATCAACTAGACAGTGCGGCCAGTTAATCAGGATCTCGCGGCGTCGATTCTTGGGCAGGCGTTTGAAAGGTTGGGGAACATCGGTAAGAAAGGACATCAGGTTACGATCGTATGTACCGGAAAACAGAATGCACATGGTATCATCAACAAAGTAAGAAGCGTAAATGGAAAAGATGTGATCATGAGATAACCGTCGCAAGGAGCGAATCTCGTCCAGAACCTCCTGTTCCTCAAAGAAATGCGGCGCGCCTCCGACGGTAACCTGGGTCCGCAGATATACCCTACAGACCGTGCCAGCCAGAACGACTTTCTCAATCCCTTCTCGCGCAAGCGCCGCCTCGTTGCGTATCAATTCGACAGGAACGCCTTCGTTCTCGGTATACTTGATATGATCACCTTGATTGATCCCTCGGACGAGGAAACGCCACTGGGCATGGAAGAACTTGGCATCTAGCGTCGGATTCTCGTCGTCAAGGGAGAGCTTCAGACGATCGACACTGTGGGCTGCAATTGGCAAGTCTGCGTCATCGAATGACTCGTCGACCAGGGAGAAGATGCGCTCAGGGATGCCGATGTCGGCTAGGATCAAAAAGAGTCTGCCGGCCTTGTGAAGGATCCAGTCGAGATATGTCTCACTGGTAAGACCTTCTCCCCAAGGTAAAGGGGCCACAAGACGAGGCAAAAGATCGGACGGAAGATGACCAAAGACATACTCCGGGCATAGAGTGGCTTGGATTCGATCTTCGGGCCACCAAAGGGACGTTGTTACCGACATTGTCGGCGCATGGCGAACCGAGCCGGCGAGGAAAAGAATCCCCGATGATGGGATGGGTATTGATATACGATCAGAGGTATGGTGATATTGATCGGGAATAGAGGAAATCTAGACTATTAGAATGATTACATGTAACACGACTCCGCAGTCATGCATAATGATTCTCCTTGCAGGCGTCAGCGGGATTTTCAGCATCCTGTCATATTTACAGGGGCCAAGAAATTTGAGGAGGAGGAGAAGATGGGCAGGAGGAGTGGGGAGGGGGGGAGAGGTTGGAAATAAATCGTGGAATGAAATGCTTTCTAATGTAGTTAAAGGATCCCGAATGAACGGAACCATAACCTACTGGTTGACACGAGGCTTATCTTGCACTCATCAAGGGGTGCGTCAGGGCATTATTGAGAGGCCCTCAATAGCGGCAAATCATGCTCAAGACTGACCATGGGTGAGAGGAAATGAACAAGACAAATGAGGAAGGAGAGGTAAGTGGATGAATTTGTGGGATGAGGTACTTGGTGGCCGAAGGGTAGAGACTGACGATTAGAGGGAGCGCCATGATTGAGCCAAGTGCTCCATGGAGCAATAGAACAATTGCAAAAGCCGGAAAAGCAAAAGTAGGCTATAGATACGTAATGGCCATCCAGACTTCGATGAATGGCAATGGTGGAGCCTGGGGAGAGATAACAATCCGGATCCCGTAGGGGAGGTAGATATTTTCTAGTAGGACCGGGGGGAACTCCGGAGAACCGATTCAAATGAGGATGAGTTAGGGCTATAGCCGAATGAATATAACAGGGATGTATATTAAAAGGATTTGATGAAGAAGATGATGAGGAGAGAGGTCAAGTTGATGGATAATGAAGGATGATGGAGAAGGGAAAGTGATGGTGATACAAGGCAACGTGATTTGTTGATGCCTGAAGTACGCCTCATGATGGATTCCAGGACTACTGTCACTATCTACACCAATGTTCCTGTATCTCCTCGGCGGCTTATGGTGGTTGGTACTGGATGAAACATGGTCAGTATGCAGATTCAGAAGTACGCAGTATGTCCGCGTCTTTCAACTCAGTAACACAGTCCACAATCATGAAGCTGAATTCTAATTTGGAGTACACTAGAAGTATACATGCTCGGACAGGATACCGTGCGACACATTGGACTCTCTAAACATCAGTTCAGTGCGAAGAGAAAAACTGAGAGAAAGGAAGACGCGGCTAGCAATAGCTATCTAGGGTTCTTATCAGTTGGTAAGAGATATTATTAGTCTGACGTCCCTCCAAGGGAACTGATAAGACATGTCAACAGGTTTCGAGTCATTTATATTGATTCTATGTCAGATGATGAAGATATTGACACTCTCACAGTTGATCAACGACGACTGCATTATTTGGCCCGTCTACCTATGAATTTTAGATATTGTTTGCTTTTGTCGATCCGCCAGACTCAAGAATAGATCCTGATGATCTCCGGTGTACGGAGTATTGACTATTACATGCACTGACTGGAGATCCTTCTCCGTCGAAACTCCGGCGCCAACCGCATGGACAGTGGATATTATCGTTATCGCTAAGGTATCATTATCAAATGTAGCGCAGAACTCCAGTTCGCCAGGCGCCCGAGGAGATCTTGAAGTGGAGTGATCTTGACCGTTGAAACCCACTGGTCTACGCTTCCGCTTATCGTCCTTTTATTCTCTGGTTCAATTGTCTAGTGGGAAACTAGTTGAAGTTTGATAACAAGCCATCCATTTTCTCTCCATTGTGTTTCTTTTCCTTGCGTAGCAAGAGGCAAGAGGATAAGCTGGGACAAGCAGGAAAAAGACAGGCTTGAGATACTCCTGTCACCTCATATCCATTCCCTAGACTGGCACACTTTATTCAGTTTTACCCATAGACTTCAATACTCTTCCTGAATAAAAACAAATTGATATGAATTAAGCAGATCATCGCTCAACCTACAGTTCATTCCCCTCTCCCCTTCCCACTCCTGCTCCCCTCAACGCCCGCAACCCACTGCGACTCCGCGTCCGACCTCGCGGTTCCTCCCCAGCCCGCCGGCTCCTCCAGGCCTTCCGGAAATGCACCTGCTCATCCCCAGACTGCTTCGCCCGGTGGCTCAGAAACTCCTCGTGCGCTTCTTTCTCTTCCAGGAGGATCTTAATCTGGTCATGGAAACCCGGTGAAATCATCACCAACCCGTTAGTCATCTACACCATGCCTCAATGGTTTTTGGCAAGAAAACGAAGAGAAAAAGGGGAGATGGCTGTTTACGACAGTATCGGACGTCAATTGGTAACCCACATATTCCAACCACAGCTCCTGCTCCGAACTCCACGCCTTCTGACAACGCGCCAGCTCGTGCTCCGCAATCGCAAGCTCGCGCTCCTGCGATGAGGACCACCGCGAGCGGTCGTGCGCGATGCTCTTGAAGCTAACGATGCGAACGAGGCGTTTCCGGTTGCCGTTATGGGGATGGTTACTGCTGCTGCTACCTGCGTCTGCTTCTGCGTCTGCGGGTTGCGCTTTCACCGCCAGATCAGGGGTGAAAATGCTGGAAGTGTCGGTATCGGTTTCGGTGTTCGTGTTGGTGTCGCTACCGGAGAAAGTATCCTCGTCGTAGTCGTCCATTCCTGTCTCTTTGCAGATGGGCCCGAGTCCGTGGTCTGAGCATTCGATGTTGGGTAAGGTGAGGGAGGGCACAGCGGAATGGCTGTGATCGACTGCTTTGCCCTTTTGGAAGAATGAGCGCTCTGCTTTCTTGAGCAGGAACGTCAGGCGAAAGACGCATTTAACGGTGTGGCCCATGCCCGCCTTGGTAGCCATGTGGGTTGAATGGTGCAATGGAAACGGAATGAATGAGGTAAGAGGACAATGATTGACTAGGTAATATCCGGAGTAACCATGTGCTTGCCTCTCTCTATTTATACCCAGACTAATCTCTTTCTCTCCAAGGGCGATCTGGAAAACAAAAAGAAAATACTGCTTCGAATCGTCGTCAATCACCAGAATTGCTATACCTCAGCCATTGAGAGGCCATCACTGATCCTATACTGCACAATAAGTCACATCCAAAACAAGTCAGGCCTCAGACTGACGCACTGCATCACCCATCTACAATAGGCTAGCCAGTTCTCTCCGCACTCTGTTTGGCTGCTCTCCCCAGACCTGCAGCCTGGTCGGAACCCCAACGCGACGGTTCACCAATCACGAACAGCACAATCTCGTCGTGTCAGTCTAGATCTCTACAGTCACCGGGCTTTACTCTCTTACGGCCATGCCAGCTCAGGCCCAGACGCTGCATAGCGTGGCAGGCTCACAGCAACGGATTCGCCGCTCAAACAAGGAACAGGTCACAATACATGCTCCCCGTCCCCATTTAAACCGACACCAGAAGCATCATCGAAGTTGCCAGAATTTCCTTTCAGGTACGATCCACGAGACCAACTCCATAACCCTTGGCACATCTGAGCCATTCTACCACGCATAGCACCAGGAGAGACGTTCTGCCGACCAGAAGAGATACAGGTAGGTTCTGAGTGGCCGAACAGGACAATGGAATCAAAGCAAAAGATAAGTAAAGTCGAGTCGAGTCATATACACATCTTGTCCAATGATATCGTGCAATAAAATAGACACCAAACATATTGGCAAAGAAGACCCACCACCACTGTACTCCATGAGCAGCTGACTTTGTCAATGCCCAATCAAGTCCAATCTGCATGAAAAACCAAACAAGAGGGGAATAGTACGTCAATCAAAATGAGATATCACAATGACAAACCAAAAGAAAAACCATGCTTGGAAACCCAACTGGCGACGTATGCAATCATTGGTCCACCGGATCCGTAATAGCCCGACAATATGTAAACCAAAACAGATCAAAACTCAAGAACTTCATTGCACAAGAACCAAAGAGGGCGCCAAAATCGGAGACGACGATCAAAGTCGAGGGCGATGGATGAACGGTCATCCACACCACGCCGTGAGAGCGGCTCCTCTACCTCCTACCTGCTGAGCTGACGCTTTGTCGCCATCTCTGCCTTCATTTCCTCTCTGATCCGCTCGCCAATGATGACACTGATCAGTCTTCTGTGCATATCTGCTTCTGTCCAGCCAATCTGGCCCGTCCCACCCGCCTGCAGGTCGCCACGAGCCAGCTCTTGCACAAATCGGTCAATGATGGCAAACTGGGTCTCGGTAACACGCACCCCATGCTCACCGTCCGATGTCCAGATCCAATCACCAATGATGTCAGAGCGGCCAGGTGCTGGATAGTAAGGAAACCGTTCTGGATGACGTTTTGCCAATCGATAAAGCCGTCGCAGGAGAACGTAGTGATTGTCGGTGAAATATCCTGAGACAGCCAGTGGAAAGTGAGGTTCGTAGGTCTCGACTCTGAGTTCTTCGACGGGTCGAGCGGCACTTGACGTAGGCGAGTCCGGCTGCGCGTTATTCTGCTCCGGGGACTGCAGACCCTGCCTTGATGTGTCATGCGTCTCTTCGGGATACATTTGATCCCCAGGGAGCGACTGTGCGTTCGCTGATCTGACGTCAGGCTCCTCCTCAGGCTCCTCTTCCGAGACTTCTTCAGACCCAGGACTGGCTGGTCCAAACGACTTTCGAACTGGAGCTTTCAGCCAACCGGGCGTAAGACTAGTAATCTTCTGAAACCAGGTTGATGCCTGACCATCTCCACCGAATTGTCGATTCTGTGCAGGGGTACTATTTTCTTCGTAGACGGAACGTTTGTCGGCTAGCGCGGTAGGTGGAATATGCTCGTTCTCGATCTCCTCCGCCATCCGATCGGCACGTTGCATTTCGCTCTCGTGCCTTGTAGTAGGGTCGATCTGAAATGTGTCATCATCTGAAGCCCTGTTAGGGCTTGATTCCAGATAGATGCGTGAACCTTGGTCGTCTTCGATCCCATAATCTTCCCCATTTTCTTCCGGAAAATCGTGATTTGATCGTTGCTGGTCCGGTGAATCTCCGTTCGCACTTTTTTCAGGGCTGCTTTGACCGTAATAGCGACGAATGTGCCGGGGGGTTTCCTCCCCACGAAGCACAGCGGAGAGATCCACTGTCTCCTCGCGCAGTCTCTTGACGTGCGAGTGGCCCAAAAACGGCACCTTAGCGTTGCCGTTCGTCCACGACTTTGGAGAGAAGGTGCCCCTAGGCTCGCTTGGCGCAGGGCTGCTCTCCGATGGGTTAGATTCTTGACGTGCTTCGACGTCGTCATTTTCCCTTCTGTGCAGCGTTGACGAGCGATGCGAGATGTTGCTATGGTCTCTCGCTTCTTGCTGCCAGATATCCTCATAGCCCCCTTCGTCTTCCTCCTCGTAAACCTCTTCAGCCTGACCGGCTTCAAAGTCATGCTGCGGCGATTCACCTGGATCAACATCCTGGTCGGGACTGTCTACGTCATACACTTCCCGGGCCTGATAATGTCCCAACTCTTGCCCATGGGAACCCCCGGGATCAGCCTCCTCCTCTGACTGACTCCCATTTTGATCGTCGTTCGCATCAATCTCCGGACTCGGTGGCCCCGTCGTGTCACTGTCAACCACAATGACTTGACTGGTGTTCGCCGTTTGGATCTCTCGGCTCACGGCTTCCCTCTCCCGCTGCCATTCCTCCAGTCGCCGTTTCATTTCTGTACTCGGAGTGTCCTTCACACCAGTTCCGCTGAGTACCTGTTGAGGAGTTGTGGTTGCGCCTCTGGCATTGCCCGTCAATCTTGCTTCTACTGATGCCGTTTGACTTGCCCGTTCAATCTCCGTCTTTCTCCTCCTTTTTGCGAGCTCCTGTGCAAATGCCAAGCCTGCGCGCAGTTCTCGTCTCATTCTCGGGTGTAAGTCGCTGAACAAGAGCTCTAACCGCCTTTTGGGTGCTTCCAGATTAGAAATTTGTTCTCTCAGATCCGGTGTACCAGGCGTGGGCACAGGTGCCCCCTCGTATGGACGCCGAAGGGTGCCTTCAAGGGCTACGCCTGCGCGGATAATTCGAGCCAGCCTTGCAAGCGGGTTTCTTTGCTTGGGAACAAAAGCTGGAACAGGGGATTCACGCAACAGAGGCGCAGACTGTCTTTCCTCGGCGGACACGGGCAATGCTTGAGGCTCGGTTGCCTGCAGTCTCGATTCTTTTTCCACCTCTACATCTGGGGAATCCTTCCTCGGATACAGATTCAGGCTGGACACCTTGCGCTTCGATTTCTCCGTATTCGCCATCTTCTCTCGGGCTAGGAAGGGCTTCAGAGCACCGTTGCCATTCTGCGAGTTGATGCTCAGCCCGTGTTGTTTGACCGAGGGTAGTGTGTCCAATGAAACCATGCTAAAGCCTTCGCTTTCCATGATAGAATCAAACTCCCTATGTTCTTCTGTTGGATCATTTGTAGGACGAGTCGTATTTTGTTCCTGGCTAGATTCTTCAGGATGTGCCCTAGATTCAACTTGGACCGCTCTGTCATCGTCACCCAGAGAGGAGGAGGTTGGACTTGGGTATGAGCGTGGCGGTCTGGGTGTATGACCAGCATGTAGTGTATTTTCTGGTGATAATCCTTGGCTTTCTCGAGAGGGCGACGGCATTTTTGAGGGGGTCGATTGCGGTTCTTCATCATGGTTTTGTCCGTATATCCGATCCAATGCAGTCACATCTGGTGTATCATACGTACGCTCATTATGTATTCGGGGAGAGCTCCGATCCCAAGCGGCTGCATCGGGTTGCCCCATGTTGTTGTCTTCTGGAAAAGCGTCGACGGGCATTAAACCCTCCGGCAAAGCGTCGTCGTCCGAGTCTGCGTCCCCAGCAAGGTTCAACGGACTCCATCGTTGTTCTGCCTCCAGTTCAGGCTCAACGGGCCGGGTGTCGTGATGATTCGCCGAATCAGCCACTTGCTTATCGCCGTCTACCGTATCCGGATTGAGAGACTGTTTCCTTGGTCGACCTCGCTTTCTCTTCTGCCCGCTTGCACCTGCTGGGCCCGGTGTGTGTCCAGGGCTGCCTGCTGTAGGCGTAGCATCCTGTTCCCGTATGTCCGATTTCCTTGGTCGCCCTCTGCGCCTTTTCGGTGACTGTTCCGCATGATCTTCGGCATCCTTGAGCGGTATTTTGACTGTCGTAGCCGTCGACGGCCTCGGCCGCTTGCGCCCCGGGCTCCCTTGATTCATTTCCTCGTCTTGAGTTGCCTCGAGCGTTACTCGGATCCTCCACGGGCTCAAGTTTCCATCCGCCTGTGCCTTTTCTGGAGATAATGATCGCTGTCGACCATTCAACTGCCTAGTCGGAGACACAGGAAGCAGGACATCGTCGAATCGAATCGAGTGCGCGCCCTTGGCCGGACTAAGATTGATGCGCGACCGCTTTCCCTTGCCCGTCCGCGGGGTCTGAAGGAGCTTGAAATTGGCTGGCGACATGAAGCTCTGGCGACCGGAGAAAGGTCTGATCGGAGATGATATCAAATAATCGGCGTCGCCAGGGGGGCCAAGAATGTCTGGAGAAGAGCTGGAACTCTGAGAGAACATTGCGCCATGCAACAAACAATGCGGTTCATGGAGAGGGGCGATCGTGCCGCAAACCGCGTCGCGCAGAAAAGTAATATACAGAGGCTGTATTTCCAACGCAACTATTCAGAAACCATCATCGTCAACAAATCAAGTTAGCTGTCATCCTTCTGAATTTGACCCTAACAGTCCGCATATTCAACATAAACAAGTCTCCCGATCAGGCAGGCCGAGGGTCCGGGCCGATCTGAAGGCGAGGGGACGCGTCGGTATTACATAATCAGGAAATATACTGTTCCGTTCCGGCTACGGTCAGTCATAGAGGCCATAGTTGCAGTGATCGGTCGATTTACAAAATAGCTTCAATGGAGTATTCATCAAGAACGCAGTATGTGTTTTTCATCATCTTTCGTTTACTCCATGTCCGAGTCAGCAAAAGTCGTTGCTGGTCGACCAATTCCTGTCAGTATCATTCCTTGAGCATCATTATTATTCTCGACCAAGAGGAGAAACTAAGAAATGATCGACAAGCCTTTTTCCTTCCCCGCAAATGGAGTTGGATTCCCCCACCGGAGTTGCCTGTAAAGGTCTAGCGTGCTGTCCGAGATCCAACCACGCGGTTTTTGCCTCGACACCTGGCGGCCTTGTTGACCTCAGGCACTCACTTGCCAAAGCTAGATTACGGTGTTTAGGGGACGTATTGCTTAACTGTTGCTGGAGCATTGAGAGCAATATACACGGAGAAATTCATTTCGCTTAACCCACAACTGCTACCGGCTGGATCCTCCAGTAGGGTCTTCCATTCACTGACACCTTCGCCCCAACTGGTTCCGTCAAGCTTGTTGGCAGGAAACAAGGTAGCTAGTGACTGCACGCGGCACGGATCCCTGCACATTCTGGACTAGTCAACCAAAGCCCCCGAGACAACTGGAAGCTTACCATCGACTACGTCCATTCTCGGTAAATTTACGAGTCGTCTCAGCAAATCAGTGAAGCACAGGAGGATTCGGGCCTACCCCAGCTTCCTGCTGGTTCCTGCGCTTTGTTTTCCCCCGCACGGAGGTCAGGCGTGGCAGCATCATGAGGTGAATGGTGCCTACGACCAGCAGTGACGTTTTATTGTTTTTGGCTAGGGGATTATGAATACCTCCCCAGTATTTAACCGACGCACAACCCCTCTTCGTGGCTGCTTTCGTTCTTTGCTGTGTCCTGCTCGGATAACGCCTCGTGTCTTGATCATTTACTGCTCCTTCTTCATCACTATCACTATTCTCCTAGGGCTCAGGATGCACGTCAAGCACTATCTCTCGGCCGTCCTTTATGGACTGCCAGCTTTGGCTCAGACTACACAGTCGAGCTCCTCTTCTTCGTCCAGCACTTCAGCTACAGATCCCTTCAAGGTCTACACCATCAGCGCGGAAAACATCACTGCCAAGTTGATTCCGTATGGAGCACGATTGATATCTCTGATGGTTCCGGATCGCGATGGCAAGGAGCAGGATGTCGTCATTGGCTACGATGACCCTAAGGCCTACCTGAATGACACAGAGACCGTCCACACCTTCTTCGGTGCTGTTGTTGGTCGGTACGCCAATCGCATTAAGAACGGCACGTTCACCATCGGCACGAATGAGTACCATGTGCCGGAGAATGAGAACAACGGCACTGATACTCTCCACGGAGGCAAGGTGGGCTACGACCAGCGGAACTGGACTGTCACAGCACACTCCAAGTCTTCCGTCACCTTCACTCTCTTCGATCAAGGTTGGGAGGACTTCCCCGGAGACGTCCTCACCCACGCCATCTACAGCGTCGACACGACTGTCACTCCGCAAAACCCAAAGGGTCTCCCCCAGCTGACCACCCAACTGGTCTCCCTTGCCCTGACGGAGGCGACTCCCATCATGCTCTCCAACCACATCTACTGGAACCTCAATGCCTTCAAGGCCCCTAATGTCCTGAATGACACCTTCCTGCAACTCCCTTACTCCAACCGCCTTGTCGCCACAGATGGCATCCTCATCCCCAACGGCACCATCCTTACCGTCGACGCGTTCCACGGCGCGCCCGATTTCACTGAGGGCAAGCTCATCGGCGCCGATCTCAAGGATACCTACGGCATGTGCGGCACAGACTGCACCGGCTACGATACCTGTTGGCTCGTCGATCGACCCCCTCAATACGCAGCTCCGGACTCGCTCGTCCCCATCCTCCGCATGAACTCTAGCGCAACCGGTATCAGCCTCGAAGTAGCGTCCAACATGCCTGCTCTGCAAATCTACACCTGCGACAACGCCAAGATGGACTACCTCCCCATCAAGCCGTCGCAGGAGAAGCGTAATAAAGAAGAGGGCAAGGAAGGCGCAAAGAACGTCATGCAGTATGGCTGCGTGGTTATCGAACCCGAGGGCTGGATTGATGGCATCAACCACCCTGAATGGGGCCAGTTGCCGCTGCAGATCTTCTCTCCCAACGATGGTCCAGCCGTCAACAGGGCTACTTATCAATTCGGCACTGTCTAGATTTCGAGTCCTCCGCTGTAGAAATTTGGTGGTTGGACCGGACCGACTTAGTTGATTCTGGGTCCGAAGTGATATCGCTGCCGATTCGACGTACAAGCAGCTTTGGGATCGATGGTCCCTCAACGTGTACATAATAATATAATGCTATTCAAGTCATAATTCCGTTGGCTGTCTGCGCAATCTTCGTAGCTGCACGTTTTGTCGTTGCATGGAAATGCACAAGGGATGGATTAAGTGCCATAATAACGTCCCAAATCAATGAATAATTCGGATTCTAACTGGGTATCATATATACAGGTCAGATTTAATCTTAGGTTCATGACATAGCCACACACGTCCTTGCCTATCAGTTCAACCCCAGGCTGCCAGTGTCCAGCTTGACCGGTCTCCGCCTGGTCGAAGACCTGAACGTCGATCAGGAACATGGGCGTGGTCCAAGTCCCGGCTGGCACCCGCAAGACCATGCTGAAGGTACTTCTCCCGCTCAATCTCCACCTGTCCCCTGATCTTGAGGCTTGCCACAAGACTAGCTCCGGCCCAGGCGCCCAGGGATTCCACCTCGCGCAGTATACCATGTACCTGGTGTTTCGTGTCCTTGCCCTTGGTACGGCGTAGCTTCTGCTCAACAAAATCTACCTCTTCTTCGGGCGCCTCATTCTCTTGACTGTCCGGTACCGCTGAACTTTCGGAGGGCTCTATGGTGTTGTCTTGACTGCCCTTCGCGGCTGCCGGCGCTTTCAGCCTCAAAGCTAGGAGCTTCTCCTCTACTTTCTGAGTTGCTTCGCCGCGGACTGGGCTCCAGCCATACGTATTGACCGTAGCCGCCACCTCGTCGATAACTCGCCGTCGGATGCCGGGAATATTAGCACCACCTCCAACGAATATTATCCGCGACATACATGTGCCCCTAACATCGGGCGGCAGGCGGAGTAGCGTGTTGTAAACCAACAAAGGTATTGACTTTTCCTCGTCGTCCAAATCGCGCTCCGCTGATTCCTCGGCGAAAAGGATCTTCTCAACCGGCTCCGCAAATGCCGAAAATGGAATATCAATATAGGTCGAATTAGGATTCGATGGAGATGGAATCGACACCATCCTCTTGCCTATGGAGTCGGGGACATTTTCAGTCGGTGATTGCATGTTGTGCGATTCTGATGGTGAAGCTGCTTTGTCACCTACCCGGGGCCTGCACCAGGCAAAACGACTGACGACTTCTTCGCAGTACTCGAAGCTGACCGTTATGTCGTCCGCAACTTCAGATTCCCGGCTGGCGTCCGAGGCAAGTCGAGTGAGCATCCTCCCTGTCTCCTGAAGCAAGGACTTCATGGCTCTTGTACTTCGCTTGGCCGCAATCTCTCGGTATTCGTACAGCCCGGTTACAGTAGTTTCCGCCCATCCCAGATCTACCACCAATGCTGAGCGGAGCCCTGCTGCTACCGCGGCCATTGCAGGGCTCGGAAGAAGGGTAATACTCGGAAAGCGCCAGCGACTGAAAAGAGTCGACAAAATCGAAGATAATAACGGATGTGGCATGATAGACGGGATGACCAGCACCAATCGTGATGTACCCGCATCTGTCAGCAGATATTTGTTGTATGTTTCACGAAATACCCGTTCGATTTTGTCCTCGATGAGCCCCAGGTCGATATCACGTAAATCCATTCTCCACAGTTCGTATGCACCAGTCCATTGATCTGCATTGACTGTTCGGGGGCTGCTCGTATTGTTGGTCCCCTTCAACCACCCTCTATAGTCGCCCGCTCTCCTCCAGTCTTCAGGCCCATATCCCACTACACATATGGGCGTGCTCTCGCCCTCAAATCCAGCTCGAAGCCACCGGGACCCAAGTTCAAATATAATCGCATCCTCTTCTCCGCGGAAGGAAGAGCCCCCCGAGCCGGTGCTCGCAAAGGAAGAGTTATTGGACCGCAATTGCTGTTGAGGTGTATGTGGTGACGACGGTCTGCCGGTATGATTGTGGCGTAAGTTGAGGGGGAAATTGGTATTGACGGGAACTGGGCGCTTCTCATCATCAAGAGAGGCTGTAGACGGGGTCGCCATTGCTTCGTAGCAACTATATCGATCGATGGTAAATTCCGTCGAGGCGTGTTGACTCCTAAATTAAAGCGCGGAGAACGGGCCGATTGAGTGTTGCCCAACCGCGAGTCATTCTTTCCCTGCGCAACTCACCAGTCAAGGGTCCAATTAACCATAAAGCGCTGGAATATATTGGACACTCATTGATCTGTAATTCTCAGCTCTCCCAAAGAGCAAGCTCCCTAGTCATTTTGCGAGAGCGACAAAAGAATTCCCCTCGTCTCCTGTTATCTGGACGGATCTTTTGTCGGGCCGTCGCGTCAGCTTCCCCGACGTCAACAACAAACAACACTACGGCAACAATCAGGATATTTTGCCTGCCTCACAGTGGTCGAGACTACTGCTCATTCCTGGATTTTGTTTTTTGGTCTTTTACTTGTGGGCTCTGATCTGTCTCATGGGGATTCCTGGGTAGGTGCAAAGCTCGTTTTCAAAATAAATACTCCTGGCCTCTCTATATATTTTGGATTGCACAACCTAGGACCACAACATAAGAAAGCTCATTGAACGAAAATTTGACGAGGCTATAAATCCCCAAATCAGCTAACATGGGACAGACTCATCAATGCCATTGGCTCTGGAGAACGGATTTCCTTGTCCAAGGTGGCAATAACCCACTTGGAACGGACTTCAAGACCCATACGCATTGCCGTGGATATCTCGATATGGCTGTTCCAGGTGCAGGCCGGTCGAGGCGGACGAAATCCAGAGCTGCGGACTCTGTTTTACAGACTATTGAAGTTCCTAGCGCTGCCTATCCATCCACTATTTGTTTATGATGGGAAGGACAAACCGCCCTTCAAAAGAGGCAAGTCGGTCTCTGGTCGCAGCTACGGGAACGCGCCCATCATCCGACTCTCGAAGGTTCTGATCGATCTGTTCAAGTTTCCTCGACACGATGCTCCAGGTGAGGCCGAAGCTGAATGTGCTAGATTGCAGAGAGCAGGTGTCGTCGATGCCGTCATGAGCAACGATGTTGACGCCTTGATGTTTGGCTCGACCCTGACCGTTATGAATTTCTCCAAGGAGAGTGGCAGTGGCACCTCCGCAGCCACGCATATTACCTGCTACAGAATGTGTGGTGATGGCGATCATCCCTCGAATGTGCCGCTTGACCGTGCTGGTATGATCCTATTCGCGATGCTCAGTGGCGGTGACTACTTGCCGTCGGGAGTTCCAAAGTGCGGCAGCAAGTTGGCCGCGGAGATTGCCAGAGCAGGCTTTGGCGCAGATCTATTGGACACTATCAGGTCCGACGGGCCTGAACTCGACATGAAACTAGAGGAATGGAGAGAAAGGCTACAGTACGAGCTGGACGAGAACGAAAGCGGGTATTTCCAGACGAAGCACAAAGCAGTACGCATTCCAGAGTCGTTTCCAGATAGGACAGTCCTATCGTATTACGCCAAGCCCGTGGTGTCCTCGTCACAGGATATTGAAGTGCTTAAATCCCGCCTGATGAATGCTTGGGATCAGGAAATCGACGTCCTCGAACTGCGAAGATTCACTGCTGATGCATTCGAGTGGAATTATCGTTCTGGGGCAAGGAAGGTGATCAAGTTGCTCGCAGAGCCTCTTGTCTCCTATAGACTTCGCTTGCAGAAAAGCCCGTCACCCTTTGCCGGGAATACCTCCTTGTCAGGCAGCGATGTGCAAATGTTGCAAAAGATCTACAAGAGCCGAACCAGCTTTAGTACTGATGGCCTGACAGAGCTGCAGTTGGAGATTGTCCCGATAGATGTCGTTGGTTTGAACCTACTCGCCGAGGAACCTAATCCCCCGATTCCTTCCCAGGAAACGACAATTGTTTCTGGGGATGAAGAGGAGGATGTGGAAGTCTATACAGAGGCTACAGTTCAGTCGCCGACTAAAAAGCGAACCGTAAAGCGTTTCGACCCCTATGCCGCTGAAAAAGTCTGGATCTTCGAAACCATTGCCGCCATCGGGGTGCCTGAGGTCGTGCAAACCTGGAAAAAGGAACAGGCCGAAAAGGCTTCCGCGCCGAAGAAGTCAAGCAATCGGAAGACAGGTCCCAAGAAGAAGGGGCCAATCGACCCCGGCATGAAACGAGGCAGCATCCTCAAGTATGGCACACTCACCAAGCAGCGATCTGACATCTCAGAGTTCAAAGGCGCACAACTATTTGAGGCGGCAATGTCCGCAACTCCTCCAAGAAAATCGAGAGCGCCAGGGCTTCTATGTGCTGAGAGCTCTCCAGACGCCTTAATGAGGGGTACCCCAGTCTACGGCCCATATAGTCATAAGCGCAGGTTGGATATTCAACCGCAAGTATATCAGACTGTAGATGATTTGGTTGACTCATTTACTTCTTCGTGCACCATATCCTCTATGCCAGACATCAAGCGACATCCGGTGGCCACGCGATCCCGCATGGGGAGCTGGCGGGCGGGTGTACGTTCTGGCGATGTTGAGGTGCAGACTCTCGACTTCTTAAGTGCTGAACCTGTCTTCAATTGCGCTCCATCGCGTGCGTCTCCCGCTAGAATCAAAATGAGTTACTCCAATGTCAGGTACGATGACTCTGCCGGTTCAGATCTATCCTCAGACACAAAGTCTGTCGTATCTCCACCATCGCCTGGAAGCGAGAGTCGTCAGCAGACGCAGTCGAGGCCCGTCAAGACGTCAGCTAAGCCTCAAAGGGGGGTAGAAGTTCAAGAGTTGGAGGACATTATGTCTGCGGTTACACTCAGTGATGGAAGCCCTTATGAACAATTAGAATGTTTAGCGCAAACACCGACCAGCCTCGAAGCTCGATCACTAAGAGGGCTGAAAATGCATGAAGTTCATGCTCTCGCCGCTGAAGCTCAAACAGCGCGCTCTTCTCGAACGAAGGAGAGCGTCTCTCCGACCGCAAACCATTCATGCGTGAAGGCCCCCGGTGTACGCCTGCCGCCAAGTGCTCCAAAGACGGTGGTAATGGACCCGGGCGCGGATGATGCGCTCGAGCCGACAACCAAGAAGGAAAAGCGAGTTGAATCGAGCAGTAAGGTGTCAAGGCCTCGCCAGACTTTCTCACATCTAGAATCGGTCATTGTGTGCGGTGGGCTCTGGACGACTGAGACTAAGTCCCAAGCTGGGCTGGCTTCAGAGGAGACAGAGGGTGGCTCGTCCCACAGTGACGAAAAGAGAAAGAAGAAGCGCATCCCGCGTGTGAGCATTTTGGACTTGAGCTGATTTTTTTGCCGACTTCAAAGTTGACTTATTGGCACTCAAATTGCGGTGTTCTGGCGTCTATGGAGATACCAAGTATATTTGAGTCTAATTTTCGTGTCATTTGGGGTTGGGCTTTGCTCATTTGGCTCTATAATTTAAGTACATATCCCTTCATAACACATGTCGCACTGATTGTGACGATGAAAAAAATCATAATAACATTGGAGAGTATCTTCAAGCAAGCAACAGTGGAAGCGCCCATCGACGGTGGGTCTAAAACAACGATCGCGGATGTACCATCGTACATGACCATCCCAGTCTCTAGGGAATCCATGGTGTCTATCCTTGTAGACCTGTCAAGGAAAAGTAACGGACCGATGTATAGAGTGGTATAAATATGAGCTACAGGAGAACAGTGAATAAGGGCATCAGAAGAAATTGACAGGCCAGACCTCGGCATTACCAGAAAAGAGGTATATGTCTATCAAGGTCGAATAGAAAGAGCGAGTAAGTTAACCGAAAACTTTCAGGAATCCCCACAGCCCAATTCCACTAAGAACTGGGATAGTGAAGTTATCGTCCCAGCTGAACAAGTCGATGAACTCGCTTCCGGCGGCGATAATACCGGAAACAGCACTCATGACACCCAGTGCCAGCGGGCCGGTGATGACTCCGCGCGAGGAATCGGAATCGGCGGTCCAACCGAGGAGACCTCTGATAGGATCCGGGAGGAGGTTCAGACGGCCGGTGAACATAAACGAGCCCTCGGGATCGTTTGGAAAGGTCCCGACGTGGGGGACGAACCAGCCCCAGAAGGCAGCGGCGGTGACGACGCCGACGACCCAGGCGGCCAGAGTTCCAGCAAAGCTCTTGCCCTTGCGCAGTTGGAACGTGCGCCGGCCGTAGAGACGGCCGAAGGTGGAGGCTGCGGTGTCGCACCAGCTAAGGAGCAGGACGCCCATGACCGCAACGTCCTTTGGGAAGAAACGCAGAACGGAGTATGCGCCCAGCAGGTACCAGATCACCCCGTTGTAGCCCGACACTTCTGTCTCACGCATGAGCGCCCCCACGCAGCGAATGTAGAATTTATTGAAAGTCTCGGAGCGATGGCGGATAATGTCTGTCGCGGCGATGGGGACGAGAGCGGAGAGCAGCCATGGGGTGATTTGGAGAGTCTGGACGCCTCGGCTATACAGATAAAGGGTAAGAAAGCCGATGGACCCATGGAGGAGCTTGCGCGGTATCTCGTGACGATGGATGAAGCTGCGGTAACGAGTATGGAGGGGATCAAGCCCAGAGGTGAGGGTGAACGAGAGATGTCGTGTGCGCGGCCTTTGCCCAGGGCGGAATTAGGCGAAAGGAAGTCGGTGGGCGATATGCGGCCGTTGGTCTTCAAAGACTCCGGTTTCCTGGCCGGTATCATTGGATTGGATCGCCGCGTGCGAGTTGAACGAGCAGGAGCTACTGGACTGCGACTGCGAGACCTGGTCGGCGACCGACTCGAGTCCGTATCCATGTCTTCGCTTGTCTCCTCGGATACATCTACCAGACGTTGGCGTCGCGCTGCCGATCGAGTCCTCGGGCCGGCATAATCATCTCGCGAGCTTGACTCACTCGACGGTACAGGCGAAGGAGATATGACTCGGGGAGTTGCCGGGACGTCGTCGGCAGAAGCAGAGGGCATTTCGACCGCTCTTATAGCGAAAGGCGGAAGGGCCGGAGCCGGTATCAGCCCGGACAGAGGTCGCTGGCGCAGATAGTTATAGTCGCAGACAAGCGCGTCAAGAAAGAGAAATCTGTCAGCTGCAAACGACGCAATGATGGGCGACTAGATGATTGAACGAGGTGTGTGTGAAAGAGAAAGTTGGTTTATCGCGTGAGACGTTGGCCCAAGGCAGACATGCGGCTGCGCATGTTCCTAGAAATTTAGAGAGAGATCGACATGGTCACTTGACCAGCAAAAAGACAGCACAGACAGATAAATATCTGAGAAAATGAGAAGCACTCGAGAGCTATTTGCAAATCAGAATTTTTTATTCGGATATTTGTGTTCGTCGTTGCTTTTTTTTCTCTTCGGTTTTATTTCTGTCTGGTACCTTTAGGCTTGTGATTCCGCCGAATCCGCAGGCGATCACGTGTAAATTGGCAGAAAACGCTCACCGCCTCAATATCTAATCGGCGATCGTTTTGATAAGCTATTTTTTTTCTGCATCAGTCTGGGCAATCGTTGCTGATCGTCGGGTCGAACTGAAGGTCCGATTCTGCGCTCGGCTGCTGTCATGGCTCCAAAACCACCTTCAGGCACTTCATCCAGGGCCTGGGATGCAGTGACACCAGCCCTGTCAGAATGGGTCTTAGAAGCAATGTCCTCAATGGGCTTCACCCGCATGACCCCAGTGCAAGCATCCGCTATTCCTCTGTTCATGGCGCATAAGGATGTCGTAGTGGAGGCAGTCACTGGCAGCGGAAAGACGCTGTCTTTCCTGATCCCGGTGGTAGAGAAGCTTTTGCGTCTCGAAGAACCCATCAAGAAACATCATATTGGAGCCATCATCATTTCACCAACAAGGTAGGTATTGATTTTAGGGCGCGCGGCAGCCAGAACCCTGGAAAAGCTCGATGCTGACTATGTGATTAGAGAACTTGCATCACAGATTTACAATGTACTATCATCATTACTCGCCTTCCATCCTCCTTCAGCCGCTGCGATCAACCCCTCCGAAGACGACAATGCCCCTCGACCTAAGTTCCCCTCATCTACTCTCAAAGTTGTTCCGCAGCTCCTCCTCGGCGGTTCGACTACTCCTGCAGAAGATCTGAGTACGTTCCTGAAGCGGTCACCGAATGTGTTGGTCTCCACGCCTGGACGGCTTCTGGAATTGCTTTCTTCTCCTCACGTCCACTGTCCTCAATCCTCATTCGAGATGCTGGTTCTTGACGAGGCCGATCGACTGCTAGACCTGGGATTCAAAGAGACTTTGCAGAACATCCTGCGCCGGCTTCCCAAACAGAGACGAACGGGTTTGTTCAGCGCCAGTGTTAGCGAGGCCGTTGACCAGATTGTCCGAGTCGGTTTGCGAAATCCTGTCAAGGTCATGGTTAAGGTCAAGGGTGGCTCAGGCGTTGACGATAAGCGAACTCCAGCTAGGTTGGTACCTCTCTACTTTATACTTGAACAGCGATCTAACTCGATTATACTAGTCTGCAAATGACCTATCTTACGACACCCCCCTCGCACAAATTCGCCGCTTTGAAACGCATCCTTTTTTCCGTTCAGCCCACTCCCTTGAAAACGATTTTCTTCGTCTCTACCTGTTCTGGTGTCGATTATTTGTCCGCAATCCTCCCACTGCTGCTCGGTGATGATTTCCTGGTGATTCCACTGCACGGCAAACACCAGGCAAATGTCCGCCAAAAGAACTTCAACCGCTTCATCAACTCGCACAATCCGGCTATTCTTCTCACCACTGATGTTGCTGCGCGTGGTTTGGATATCCCGTCTGTCGATCTCGTCGTTCAAATCGACCCTCCATCAGACCCGAAGTCGTTCATTCATCGTTGCGGCCGTGCTGGAAGAGCCGGCCGGAGGGGTCTGAGTGTAGTACTTTTGCATCCAGGACGAGAAGAAGATTATGTTTCTTTCCTAGAAGTTCGGAAAACACCTGTTGTTCCATTCTCTCCATCGATTACTTTCTCCGACGCTGATGCGGCCGCTGCCACGGCCACTGCCCGTAAGGCTGTGTTGGCTGATCGTGCGCTGCATGACCGAGGCCAGAAGGCGTTTGTCAGTTGGTTCAGAAGCTATAGCAAGCACCAGGCAAGCAGTATCTTCCGTGTCTCTGACCTTGATTGGGAAGCTTTGGGCAAAGCCTGGGGTTTGTTGAAATTGCCTAAGATGCCCGAGTTGAGGAACTTCACCGGTGACAAGACGCTCGGCGTGAGCCTTGACTGGGACAATTACGCATACAAAGACAAGCAAAGAGAGAAACGGCGGAAGGAGCTTCTCCAAGAGGCCGCCGAGTCTGGTGCCACTCAACCCACATCACATAAGAGACGAGCCAGCGAAAGTGTCGCATGGAGCCAACAGGCCGAGTCGAAGAACAAGAAGCTCAAGCGACGTGAGCAGAAGAAATCGAAGCTAGAGAAGGTCAGATGGGAGAAGATGACGGAGGAAGAAAAACAGAAGGTTCTTGAGACGAAGAAGATGGTTGAGGAGCTGAGGAAGAAGAACGAGGAAGAAAGACGACTGAGACGAGCAGCAGCCAAAGCCGCAGGCACGAAGGCTGATGGTGATGATGACGAAGAATTCCAGGGATTTGATTGAGATACCTCGCATATACACACGATATCCGTTGGTTTGTATGATCTTGACACCTGCATGTATACCTAGAGCTCTTCCCAGATAGATTCCCGTGTACATACAAAAAGTCTTTACACACTATCTGGCCCTGTGGCTTATTTCGACTGATCCATGACCAATTAATTCATTCCCTCTCAGAAGACTTCTAGTCTAGGTCATGAACTATCTGCATAGCCTGGACAGAAGTTCTTCCCTCGAGATCAATCCCTCCAACCTCTTTGGCATGACCTCTCTTATCCTCCTTTCGATTAACTCTCACCTCCTCATTCCCCCGTTTGATCCTTCTTCCTCCACCACTGGCGCAGCCTGACCCATCCGCACTTCATCAACCTGCGCACCCCCGGCACCAGCCGCAACATTCCCATCCGCAACCAACCCTACTTCCGACTCAGCCTGCACCAGCAACGACTGTATCGACAACTCCGAAGAATAAGAGCCCTGCCCGCTCGGTCCCGCCTCGACCCTTCTCCCCACATCCCCAGCAGCCTCTGACGAACCCGTACTCTTCTCCCCCATCGGAAGCAACAAATCCCCAATCGCAATCCCTCCCCCGACAAGACACGGATCAAGAGGCGTCACCTGCTGCTGCGACTGCTGAGATGGCGATTCCAACTGCGAGCCCCCAAATCCCTGTTGTTCTGGGTATCCCACCAGCCCAACCGGGGCGGTCGAGGTACTACCACCGAAACCCGCGGCCCGGCTGCACAGCGCGCAGAAGCGCTGTCCGACGCCGCGGGCGATGTACCGGATAGGACAGACTTGGATCAGGGGCGTGGGGCTTCCCGGTACGGCGAAGACGCGGACTTGTGGGCAGGGCTGGATGAGCTGGAGGTAGGTGCAAATGCATGGGGGTTTATTGGGCATGTAGTAGCACATCGCCTATGCTTCGGTTGGTTTATAGATAGAGCTGGTTTCACGACGATGAGGACGTTAATCGTTTTGATGTGTCTTGTGAATTAGTGATGATGAGCGGTAGAAGCTGGTTAGAGAGAAGGTTAAAGGGATAGAAGAGAAGAGCATATATACTGAATCGGATGGCGACATGCATCCATTGTCTTGTTACTGCAATCTTCTCTTTGTCTAATGATAAAGGACGAGTATGCCTTTGTCAAAGAATGGTTCTTTTTCAAGGGTTGACGGTCGTGACAGTCGACATAGTCCTTGTTCACAGACAAGGAAAGTGAACATGCCGTAGTGATTATGAGGATCTCAGCTGGCTACAAAAGTAAATCAAAATCTCCTGCTTATGCCACATGCTTCGAGAAGAAAAACGATGATGCACTGGACTCCGCCGGTTGAAAACAAGAGAACAGGACAGATTCGATCTCATAAATTTCATGAAAGACCTTCACCGAGCAGCCTACAAACTCCGAACAGGCTGGAGGAGGCCGCTAGAGGTCGCTCAGAGAATGAAACAGAACGCAAGACACAAACGACTTCCGAAATCCCGCAGAAAACACCTTGAACATGGTGTGGGCCCATCACAATTCCATAAAGCAGGAAGGAGGCAAACAGGCTATGCTCAGTAATCGGAAGATGGAAACAAGAAAACACAGCAACATAATAACCATACAAATCAAGAGGTATCAAGACAAAGCAAGACCGTTTAGAACCTTTCGTCGCCCTGATGATATGATTCCAGCCTAGGCTTGAGCTTTCGTAAATTCCTCCAAACTTTGACGGAAAGCACGGTGAACTTCGTCCACAGCAGATGCGTCCCACACGCTGGCGACGATCTGAACGATCTCATCATCAACCCCCAAGCTCTCCTGGAGAGTATTGGGTTCCGGCCATTTAAGCTGCTGGAGATCTCCAGTTGAGCATTGCTCATAGAGCCACTGAGCATCACGAGCGAATTGATCATCGTCGCCAAAAGTCTCCACAGGTGGTTGTTGATTGACAGCAGGCGAAGCGGTCAGAGGACTTGAGTAACGACTAGCAGTGCGGAGCCCACTGGGTGTTTTGGGTTTGTACTTTTCGGCCTGAGAACGGACTCTGGCGAGAGCTTCCTGATCAACTCTGGCTGGGGTAGACGGAGGCAATGCTTGGCGTGGAGTGGGACGTGGAGCAGGCGATTGCGCACTACACCGCAAAGATCAATTGTTAGATGAATGGCAATGAGGCTTGAGTTGAAGGTGTCAGCAAAATACCTTGCTTGTACTTCTGTACTGGTAGTGGTGGTTTGAGTCTCAGAGACAGACTTGGCCACGGGGGATTTTGGAGAAGGCGCGCCGCTCGACTCTGAATCATCGGAGAAAGCATCGTAATCCAGCTGGAACGTGCCTTGTTTGTTGGGAATGAAACCCGAAGACCGCTGAGGAGTAGACAAATCGACGCGAGGAGCGGGAGTTGGTGTTGCGGGCGTAGCGGCAGGGGAACCAGGCGCCGTCACTTGAGCGGCATCGCCCATGCCCATAAAGTGTCTTCCGGTATAGGGGTCCGTGGCACGAGGACGCGTGCGAAGTTTAGAAGGAGTATCCTCGGGACTGGCATCGAAACGCACCCTCTTCGATGGCGCTTGTTCCGACCGCATAGCACTGCGAACGGCAGATTTGACTAGAGCATCAGGTTTTGTAGGAGGTACAGCCTCCTGGGGTTGCACATCGGCTTCCTCTTCGCTGTCAGAGCTATAGCAGAAATAATCCAGATCCAATCCATAGCTGCATCCGGCCGGATTGGGGATGACATCAGGCGACGGGGACCGCTTGCGCTTCTTTTGAGTCGCATCCTCAGCCGTCTGAGGCAAGGCCCGCTGTTCACTGACATCTGTCACCTGAGAAGTCGATGGAGGTTGGTCCTGTGCCGCAGATGGCTTCTCTGTTTCATCTGGACGTGATTCTGGCTGAACGGCCTGGGAGGTTTTCTTAGGAGTAGTAGTCAGATCTCCAAGGAAGCGAGCACGGTCAATCGGAGCCGGGAAGAGGGAGTAGGACAAGGTGCGCTGGCGTTTGCTGGGCGGCTGGTCACTCAAGCGACGGCGAGAGCGTTTATCACTCTGGGTAGCATTCTGATTCGAATCGACAATCTCGGTGTGAGAAGGACGCTCTGACAACGGCTGGGAGGATGACACTGGAGGCTCTTGCGACAATGACTGCAAAGACGGCTCTGAAGGCAATTGTGGGGTTGGCGATGGTGCTGCGTCTGGTGAGCCAGGCGCACGGAATCACCAACAAAAAGCGAAAAATCAATAGGGCGAGAAAACGTACCTGCAGCTTCAGACGTCTGAGACCGACCAAATCTTGGAAGCAAACGGGAGAAGGAACGAGGCACAGAGTTGATCAGTCCGCGAATGTTCCAACCTCTTGCCTGAGGGGTAGAAGGAGGCTCGGCCGTGGCAGAGACATCTGATGGATCCTGATCGTTTGGCTTGCTCTGTTTCTCGGTAGATTCGGTGTTCATCTGGAGAGGCTCCGTACACGGCTTGACGGGGCTTGACTCCGCTGCCCGGCGGTCGGCTTCGTTCTGAGCGAGCAACTGGGGGAGGCGGAAGACCGTCTTGTGAATCCGGCCTTGGTTCTCGATCGTCCGCCGCCGAAGCCGCTCGGAGTAGGGGGCGGCGTTGTATGTGATCCGCCGGGACAGCGGAGTCATGCGGCGCGCAAAGGGGGTGCTTCCGGGGGGTCCTACGTTCCGCCGCTTGTTGGACGACGGGGTTTCAACGCCGTCGTCACGCGGGCGTTTTCTGTTCACTTTTTGAGGGTTAGCCTCGTTTCCTTTTTGGCGGGCTCCTTGGCGGGTTCCTGGGCCTCTGCCTCGACCCTCCGACAACCTAACAACTCCAACAGGTAAGGAGTAGCCGAGAGAGACGACCATGATGGGTCGACGCTCTCTTTGGTGGCACCAACACCCAAGCCTGAGCGGGGGCTCATCACCTCCGACTCCTCTGGAATCGGAGAGAGAGCCACATGCGCCCATCGCGCGGAATTCTTCCTCGCGGAACGGCTAACTTGACGTGACTTGTCAACTTCCGCGGCCGCCGGACGGGATTGCGAAGGGCCCGGGATCAATTCGGACACCTTCGCCGACACCAACCGCCCATCATTAAAGGTGGACGTCGTACCCGAATCAGTCGGGACATCGAAGGTCGCGTCCTGCTGGACTTGACCTGTTGATGCCGGCATATAGCTCAGCAACGGAGTCGCGGATGCTGCCGGCGTGCCGCCGTAGGCTGTATCCGCCAAGCACAATCCAGAGAAACTCTGGATCAGAGCAGCAACCTCGTTGTCAATTGACGACGACACAGCCGCAACAATCGACGGAATCGGGACCTCCTCGTCGCGATCGACAGGAGACAGAGGAGACAGGGAACCTTCGCGAGAAGATTCACCTGAGGAGATCCACGACACGTCGATTGGGGTGGTGTGTTCCTCAACGACCATGGGGGAGTCATCGAGTTCCGAAGAGCACTGACCGCAGACCGACATCGGCGAACGGCAGTATCGCTCCTCCTCGAACTCTATCCCTTCCATGGCCGCGAGGAACAACCGCGCAGCGATCATTGACCCAGTTGAGGCGTCCGTCACGGCAGGTGGCTGGGTGTTGTACTCCTCAGAGGACAACAAGACGACATTTGCATCGGATCCACATTCGTCGGCCATGATGCTGTCCGAGTCATCTCTGGCAGCATTATGCGCTGCAGCCAACTCCACTTGCTTGTGGCGGGCGAGGCAGGCATCAATGTCTGCCAGAAGAGACTCTTTGAGCACGGACCTGAGAGGGGGGAATCCTCCATCTCGAGGTCCGGTGTGTGAGACCGTTCCGAAAGGGGCGACCCGATGTCGCTTATGTCCTCGAGCGGATCCAGATACCAGGTATCTGCAGGAGCACCGGAAGCATCTTCGACGAAAGTCTTCGATGATTCCGCTCCCTGTGGAGATGGGACCTCGGGAGAGGGTACCGCAGCTCGGCTCCTATGTGGGAATTCCGTGTCCGGGCATAAAGGCGAGGATGGCAGTGAAACTTGTGGGAGAGGGGTGAGGGGGAGAGAGATGGTGAGGAGGGCCAAGGCTCAGGGTAAGGCTCAGGAACAACTGCTTCGGGGAAAGGAATGAAGGACAACTCACTGTCCGATGCTTTAGGCTCAGACAAAGCATGGTCACCAATCGAAGGGATGGGCTCGGAGTCCTGGGGTTCCTGTGCGGCGCTCGTTTCATCGACGATGGATCCAGGCTGGGACGCTTGTTCGGCATCGGTCGGTTCTGTTTCGTCATCAGACGTTTTCCGAGTAGACTGTCGCGTCGATCGACGAGTCGAGGTCTTCCGGGTTCGAGTCTGAGTCGTCGGAGCTTCCTCTATAGACGCTATTACGCCATCGCCGGCACGTCGACTACGGGAGTGGAAGGTGGTCTGTGTAGAAGGTTCGGCGCTAGACTGTCTGGTGCGTGCCTTTCTGGTGGATCGAGTACTAGACTCTGTTGCAGGCTCAGCACTGGACTGTCTAATGCTCGCACTCCTGGTAGATCTAGTAGCAGGTTGTGATGCAGGTTCAGCACTGGGCTGTCTAAGGTTCGCGCTTCTCGTCGATCGAGTGGTTGGTTGTGATGCAGGTTCGGCACTACCCTGTCTGAGAGCTGCAGTTCTAGTAGATCTCGTCCGACGAGGTTCGGATTCGAGAGCGACGAGACCACCAGGCGAGAGCGGCTGCGAGCGGGTACGCATCTTGACTGTAGACTGCAAAGCAGAACAACAACCAACTGGAAGAACGGCACCAAGGCAGTGTTATACCGAGACGTGATCTGACACGTGAGATGGGTCAAGTAAATTGAGTTTGGAGATGAAATCTAAACGAGACTTGCAAAGATCAGATACCTGTGAGCTCAGAAGGTTTGTAGAGAAGATAAATCGTGGACAATGAGTCGTGAGATGATGATGGTTGACAGCTAGATGTGTTTGTGGTGAGGAGAAAAAAGTAGGAGAGAGACGGGGGACGAGGGATATTTGTCTGTTTTGATGTTGTGTTTGTGGGTTTCGCCTTGCACCTGCTCGAGGATTAGCGACTCACTGATATTCACTTACCAGGCGATGATGATGCTGTTGTCGAGTGGTGAATTCGCTACAACAGCATTGGTGCTCAAGTTGTGTTTGAGAGTGTTGCAAGTGGAAAACGAAATTCGGGGTGACGTTCCGGCAGAATCCTGGAAAAGGCGGTCAGATTCCTCCGCCCTCACTCCGCTGCTTGCTTGACTCTCCCAGACATCGCACAGCGCGACATACATCATTGTGTCCACATAGTAGGGGGTTGGCAATGGACATGTAATAATACTAGCTGAAGTCCCAGCACTGTGCTGACTCTACGAATGTCGTCTCGAATGAGCTGTACACAGCAAGTCTGCTCATTCAGCCTTGAGTACTGAGCAGATAGCGAATCCATCCATTCCTGACTTAATCGACAGCTTACTACGGTGTTCTCTTCAGGTATAAGCCACAGCCACGGATATCGATGAGGAGTTATATTTGTACAGTGAGCTCTCTCTTATGTGGACAGTGAGAGAGCCAAGCTAATCAAGAACAGCGCGATCACCTCAAAAGCGCTGTAGAGTGCAAGTGCAATAACATACACACGTGCCTCGGTGTAGAGAACAGAAAATATAAATGAAATAGAATACAAGCACGCCGGCAACCTTTACATGCTGATCTCGCCCTTCCAGGCAGCGTCCGACAGGCCGAGAGCTTCAATAAGATGCTGCCACCTTGGTCCACCCCGTTCCTTCCTACGCAGGTACCGAAGCAGTTTCTGTCTCTTGTGAACGAGTAGTCTCAGGTTGCGCTTGTTGTGCTTGTCCTTGTTGGTCGATTCGAGATGTCTGGACAGGTTAATGATCTTTGCGGTCAGAATAGCGACCTGAACTTCGGGAGAGCCAGTATCTGGGCCTACTCTAGGCGTCTTCTCGGGGTGGACAGTGGAGGAGTCGTGAGCAACAGCTGCGGGCTTGGGTGGGAGGATCTTGTCGGTATTATGTCTTCCGAATGTATCAATGCATTTCTGTATAAGCAGACGAGTGCGGTCTTTGGTGTTTCCGTTGTTGATATTGATGATACGGCTGATCGCTTCCTGAGCGTTTCGATGTTCCTCGAGGTGTCTTTCTGCAGCCTCCTTTTCAAGCTGAGGGTCTGCCGTTTCCCGGTCAGGGTTTTCTAGCGGTGATGTCAAGGTTTTCGAGTATTCCAGTGCCTCCTGCAGTCCTTCCGGCGAAATAAAATGGTTGAGGGCCGCATCCTTTGAGGTCGGAGCCTTCGTGCCTTTCAGCTCCTCGATGAAAGGCGTAGGTTTGCTTTCCACCGGATCGCCAAGGGACTCTTCACGCTCTCGAGCAAGGGCTTGTTGACGAGATAGATTGGCAGCCTTGCGTTGACGGGACTGGGCCATTAGGAATGGGTCATGTCGCCGTCGCTCTCGAGTCTCCGCAGACCCGGCTCGTACAGAGGTCTTGCATGGGTTTAATGACAATGCGGCAAGTGGACTATGAACATGGGAAGACCCTGAGTTTGTCAGTTCAACACTCAACAGAATCAGAAGGGACAAGAGAGAAAAACTCTGTAGACTTACCTGTGAAGGCCTTGAATATTGGCTGGGAAAGGAATCGTGGAGGCATCTTGATCAATTGCCAATCCCTTGAGCCTGCTAGATATCACGCCCTCAAGCGAAATGCCTTTGGACTTTTGATGCTGCTGAACGAAATCTCGAGACCGCTCGACATGCACTAGTCCTGATGGGGAGACCTAATTCACGTGATGCGGTGGGCGGATCGGAGCCTCAAAGATTACAGCGATACAGAAGAATTACGCGGGTGGTACAAACTAGGTAATTGACCTTACGATATCGGGTAACCCTAGCCCTAAAGCTCACAACCGGCAAGCGAAATTCATCTCGGCCGCGGCGAGCAAAAAGTTACATCTTTCGCGTCGGCCTCATCCTCCTCCATCACCAGCACGACAAGCGCCAGACGATTGATATATTCAAATCGCCGTCTTTGACCATATCAATCGACCAAAATGGCTCCCTCTCAGCTCCCCCCATGTTCAACCCCACCCCCCAGGACATTGAGATGCTCCTCACAGCTCAATGCCACCTGGGTTCCAAGAACCTTCAGGTTCACATGGAGCCTTACCTCTGGAAGACTCGTCCCGACGGTGTCAATGTCATCAACATTGGCAAGACCTGGTATGTCGCCTTAGATTTCGATTATCGGGACTTTGGCCACTGGCTCTAACACGGGGATCGCGAATTTGTAGGGAGAAGATCCTCTTGGCTGCCCGTATCATCGCTGCCATTGACAACCCCGCCGACATCTGTGTCATCTCCGCTCGTCCCTACGGCCAGCGCGCTGTCCTGAAGTTCGCTTCTCACACCGGTGCCACCGCCATTGCCGGTCGTTTCACCCCCGGTAACTTCACCAACTACATCACCCGCTCTTTCAAGGAGCCCCGCCTCATCATCGTCACCGACCCCGCACCGATGCTCAGGCCATCAAGGAGGCCAGCTACGTCAACATCCCCGTCATCGCTCTCTGCGACACTGACTCCCCCACCGAGTTCGTTGATGTTGCCATCCCCACCAACAACAAGGGTCGTCACGCCATCGGTCTGATCTGGTGGTTGCTTGCCCGTGAGGTTCTCCGTCTCCGTGGTACTCTCGCCACTCGTGAGACCGAGTGGGACGTCGTTGTCGACCTCTACTTCTACCGTGACCCTGAGGCCGAAGAGAACAAGGAGATTGCCGATGAGACCAAGGTCCCCGGTGCTGAGGAGATTGGTGCCGGTGCCGTCGAGTCCGGCTTCGCTGGTGAGAACTGGGATACCCAGGCTCCTGGTGCTGGTGTTCCTGGCACTGCCTTCTCCGCTGCCACTGCTGCCCCCACCAGCTGGGAGACTGAGGGCGGTGACTGGGCCGCCAGCTCTGCCGCTCCTGCCGGTGAGAGCTGGGCTGAGGCCCAGCCCGCTGAGGCCAAGTGGTAGATGATATGAACTGGTGACAAGGGCAGCCGTTGAGGAGAATCAGTTTCTTTTCCTTACAAAAGTATGGCGCATTGGAGGGGATCCGACGTCTAGGCGACTGATGCGAATAATCATTTGCACAATCCGAACGACGACGAAGAACTCATAAGAGTCCTTCCGCCAAAATTCCTTGGCATGTCTACCCTAGTCTCTTGTTCAGGAACTCGCGAAATGAGAAAAAAGATCAAAAGAAGCTTTTCAACGGGCGCCTCACCATCTCACATCTTCTATACATCTCTTGGTATGCTACAGCGCAAACAAAAAAATTCCGTTTCATCAGTTACTCTTACTTCTGATTTCTTTACGCACCGGGGAGGAATTGCAACGTCAACCATTGACTGGCGCTTATGAGGGAAAGATATCCAGTTGGTCTCGTATCAGTGAGCTTCTGGGGAAAGCCCTGTGCTGTCAATTTACAAGGTGGACTTAATCGTTACCTTGGTTTCTCCTTGTTGCTAAGTAAATGGAATATTGTGCTACCAGCTATTCTGTGCATTATATCAGAACTACCTGATGTATACGTAAAAGTAGGCAAGCAGTAAGTCGCTTCACCTTGGACGTAGGCACTCGTTTGCGCGGATCCTTTCCTACAAAAAAAGACCAACACTGAGGTCATCATTACTGTAGATGTAACTGAAGTTTCACTCTAGCAGACCACGCACCCTCCCTGGGTTTGGCCCCCGGTCTCTGTCGTAGTCATACCTGCCAGTCTCGCCAGGTCTTCAAACGTCTCTGCCATAAGTTCCCCAGTGACAGCGGAACACTCCGCATACCGATCACAGCGTAGCTCTTGCGCAATACGGTACGACTGCATCTATCAGTCACTTAACTCTCCATTGACGCCGACAAGTGGCTCGTGGGGCATTTTATAACTCACTTCTTGCGGATAGATGATGCCCTCGCCTTCTTTTCGAAGGTCCCTCTTCAACCCCACCATCATGACGGGTATACGCTCCCCGATACCACGCTGGAAATAGCGTATCACATCATGTCGCCACTTCAGGCAAGATTCGCTTAGCTTCATTCATGGCATATTGGTGAACTGAGGAAAACAAACCTTCTTGACCCCATCCAGCGTCTCCCGGTTCGAGATGTCGAATGCCAGGAGTACCACGTCCGGCTTGAGGGTTGACCAGTGCTGGTTTGGACTTGCGGTGTCATATAGTTCAAGCGTAAACGACTTCTTCGAGAAACGGATGTCGAAGAGGACTGGCTGGTCACTGTCTCGCAGCAGGTCCAGTTGCCTTCTTTGCCCATGTCTGGTTTCAGCTCTGGGTCTTGCTTGGATGTTCTTTATGGCGCTGCATAGCATTAGTGAGCATGACCTCAGTCCAATAATATTCAAAGCGATGCGAAAATCTCTTTCGACAGATTAAACACTGGAGAGTCTGGCTTACGATAGGAACGTGGACTTCCCGCATCCTGGGTCTCCCAGCACCAAGATGGTCACCACTTCTTTATTATCTTGGGGACCCTCCATGTCCACAAACAGATAATGTATTCGATCAACTTTCGATCATGTGTTTAGGCAGGTAAAAGCTTCAGACGATGTTATTAAGTGTCCCATGATGCCTTGAACTCAGTGAGTCCATTTTTGTTCGGGTGAGATAAGAGTCCGTGGGGGAAATATATAAAGCAAAGCGCATACCTATGGTATCAGTTTGATAGGATGACAAGACGACCACCTCACCATTCAAACCACCACAACAGGAGGTTTTCCTGGATTCCTGCTGAATGGCTCAAGTACATATGTGATCCTCATATCAATTACGGATCCTGCGCTACAATTCCATGGCCTCATGAGCGCCGTCGAGCCTCCGACCATGTTCGGCGTAATTACATTACCATTTACATACAAGTGGAGGGCGAACTCAAAAACTTTGCTAGATGCATCAAGTTTCCCCAGCTCTAGAGGATTCAGTACACCTCGTCCAGCATCGTTCGGGGAATGTGGAGAACCCCAGGGAGGCCCCTGTCTACGTTGAGTCGCATCACAGACTCCATTTCAGTTAAAATTCACTGTCGATATCCCCACACCCGATCCGTGAAGCGCGGTCGCGCAAAATCGAACACCATGCCTGGCCCCGCGGATGCGCCTCCCGAAGGCCAACCAGACTATTCGACCTGGACGACACCCAGCCTAATTGCGCGGATCACAGAGCTGGAGCGCCAGCTTCACTCACGGAACACCGAGTACGCTGCTCTGCCGTCTAAGGGCGTTAGTGACGTCGGCTCGACGAGTTCCGCTCTCCCGCGCTCTGAGCGTCCAGCGACAGATACACGGGAGCTTGTCCCTGCGAAAGCAGGGAAACAGAAGAGACCTCTATCGCCTGACGATGATATCACGCACACAAGAGCGCCTACTCGCCCTCCGAAGCAACCTCGAGAGATCGATCCATCCAAATACAATACTCGCTTCATAGCGCTGAAATTTGCGTATCTGGGACAGCGCTACAATGGCCTGGAGCATGCGAATGGGAATGTCACGCCTCTACCCACCATTGAAGAGGAGTTGTGGAAGGCCATGCGGAGGACTCGGTTGATATTCCCTAAGAACGCGGAGGCCTTCGACGATTCCCGGGGGCCGAGGGAATTGAAACCTTACGCAATCGGCTGGGAGGGCTGCGATTACTCGAAGGCCGGGCGTACTGACCGTGGTGTGAGTGCCTTTGGTCAGGTCATTGGAATTAGAGTACGAAGCGCGAGACCTAAACGGCCAGATGCGGAGGCAACGTCCGATGTTGAGATGACATCCGGCGCCCATGCCGACGACACTTGGGATGACATTGCAGGTGAGATACCCTATATAAGTATGCTGAACAGAGTGCTTCCAGACGACATTCGGATTCTAGCCTGGTGCCCCAATCCGCCTCCGGGTTTCGACGCTCGTTTCTCGTGTCGAGAACGCCAGTACAAATACTTCTTTACCCAGCCTGCTTTCTCTCCAACTCCAGGGCCGCTGGGGTTTGCTATGCGAGGATCGGGTGGCAAGACTGCCTCTGCACAGTTACGGGAAGGCTGGTTGGATATCGATGCCATGCGAGAAGCTGCCAAGTACTTCGAAGGAGTGCACGATTTTCGGAATTTCTGCAAACTCGACACAAGCAAGCAGATTGAAAACTTTGAAAGAATTATCTACCATGCCGACATCGAGCTCCTTGATCCAAAAGATCACCCCTTGGGCTATGTGAACCAGCCCGGCTTTCAAGCTCTCCCGAATGCAGCTGCCGGAACGGACGCCGATTCACGAACAATCACAGATTCGGCTGCTGCTAAGGTGTATGTTTTCAATCTGCACGGGTCTGCCTTCCTATGGCATCAAGTACGGCACATGGTGAGCATCCTTTTCCTGGTTGGCCAAGGGCTGGAGCCCCCAACTATTGTACATGATCTGCTGGATGTGTCGAAAAATCCCTGCAAACCAACGTACGAAATGGCGTCTGATGCCCCGCTAGTCCTCTGGGATTGTATCTTCCCAGACGAGGCAAGCGGCAGCCGTAAAGACGCGTTGAACTGGATTTACGCTGGAGATCCCAGGCAATCCAAGAGTCAACTAGGCAAGGGCAGCGGCAAGTTCGGTGTTGGAGGAGTAGTGGACGGACTTTGGTCCGTTTGGAGACAGCGGAAGATGGACGAGATTCTGGCAGGCGCGCTACTAGACCTAGCTGTTAGCCAGGGTGACCAAAGTGTCGTCAGGGGTGAAGGATCTCATGACCCCGTTTCCGAGAAAGAGAATCGGGGGCAAAAGGTTTTCTATGGCGCCAATGAACCCAGAATGGGCGGCAAATATGTCCCCGTCATGCAGAAGCGGAGGACAGAACCCGTGGAGGTTCAGAACGCCAAGTGGCTTGCGTCAAAGCAGCGAAAGATTGAGAAGGCTCCGGAGCCTGCGCATGGGGATGATCAGAAAATGGAGGCTTGAAAATACCTTCCTAAAGCATATAGAGCGTCGCATCATAGAGTGGCCCTGCCCAATCATATCCAGCTCAAATATCTCATGATTTGGCGTCATATAAACAACGCCGAGAACCCCTCCAAACCTCTTCCAGAATTGCGCGCCTCGGTAGAAGTTTCTTTCCACGGTCTGTAAGCGTAAATCAACCTTGCTGGTATGGAGGGACATACAGGAAAAACCACAACAACGTCCGGCTCACCCTCCACAATCACAGCGAGATAAAAGCGCACTTCGAACCCTTTAAAAGCTTCATGAATCACTATGTCTTGAATCTGCGTTGTGGGGATGAATCTCGTCGCAGCTTTAGACAGATAGGTCGCAGACGAAGTAGAAGTCTGGATGCCCAACCCGCGGATAACCAGGAGAGATTCTTCTGCATTCATGAAAAGGGGTGAGTCTTTGGTCCGTAAGTTGTCCACTCCGAAATGAATATACCTGTATACCCCTTCCTGAATACACAGTACAGCAACAATATGCTCACTAAAGCGACAACTCCAGACCTATGTGCATCCACGATGCGACAGACAAAAGAACCCAATGGGCTCGACCAGACTGCCGTCCATCGCACGAGGGAGCCATCTTCGTGAAAGAATGAGTGGCGCACTTTCGCAATGTCACAGAAGACTATGCAGAGAAAAATGAGGGCGCGCAGCAAGATCTGTAGGTAGAAAAGCACTCTAGCAGGAGTACTCGTGTGCTTGGATGCGTTGGAAACAGTAAATGACACGGTCGTCGGAGAAGGACGCCGCAGAATCAGGTGAACCGGCATCTGTAACGAGGGATGAAGACCTCACAAAGGGATTGACAGTCCAATTGAGCCCATAGGACCTGTGACTATGCAGCGCAATCAAGTGGCATGGTCCGGCGAGAAGCTGCGAGAGCGAACGATGTCAGTCATAACGCGATGTAGACATGCATGGGTCTAGAGTGAGCCACAGACCACTCTTAATTGCTTGGATAATGGATCCCATGGTCTAAACTATTTTAAGTCTAGCTTGTGTACAGCTGCCCGCCAGGCCGCCATACATCATCACGTGTCTGTCCTGCAGCACCTATGTTACCACGGCGGTCCCACTCCTTCCTAGCACATTCATACCTCGATTTTTACCATGGGTGACCGTTCAAGAAGCAGATCACCGAGAAGACGATATGATGAGGATCGGAGCCGGCCTCGCAAGACTGGAGGAGGATTCCGGTGGAAAGATAAACGCCACGATGGTGACAGACCCGGAGCAGAAGATAGCAGGCTGAGCCGGGGTTACAGAGACAGAGGAGACCGGCCACGATCACCACGAAGGGACCGAGACTCAGATCGACACAGAGACAGTTACAGGGACGGTGATCGCGATCGCGACCGCGACCGCGACCGAAGACGACCAGACGATAGTCAGAAAGATGAGCGCCGGGAGAAAAAGAAAGAGAAGCCAGAGAAGAAGGCCGTTGTCGCGCCTCAATCCTCAGAACCTATGATTGTGGTGCATGTCAACGATCGTCTGGGAACCAAGGCTGCGATACCATGTCTTGCATCTGATCCTATCAGTTCGTTGCCTATCCTGTTTCTCACCTTCCAAGTGTGGTCACGCTGGACTAACAACAATTTCATTTACAGAGCTCTTCAAGGCCCAGGTAGCTGCACGTATCGGACGTGAACCCCATGAGATTCTACTCAAACGACAAGGCGAACGACCATTCAAGGATCAGCTCACATTGGAGGACTATGGAGTCAGTAATGGCGTCCAGCTTGACCTGTGAGCAATCACTTTCCTCCCCTACTTCCGTCGCCATCACAATTTTATCAGGAAGAAGCATGATACTGACTTGCGATTTATAGGGAGGTTGGAACAGGCGAATAAAAATTGCATTGCCTTGGATCCAGAAGGCCATGCGTCTACTTTACCTTTCTTTCTCTGTGTTTTTACCATGGGTTTCATTAGGCAACAACTGGGACTCGGAGTATTAGGTATCATCATGAAAGTACTCTGGTGTTTCAACTTTCGCTTCTTCTGGCCGGTTTCCGTTTTATCTTCCAATTTTGCATGTACCTACCGGCAAATGACCATGCTCTATTTGTAGTGCATCAGGCTAGCATGTCGTAACAGAAAGAGCAGGACGCTGTTTTTTCTGTGCTGGGGATGATAGCAAGAGTGCTGACTAGCTGGTTATTTGCTGGATGATGTGTTTTTGGACCCTGTTCATTTCATGGGTTGAGTCATGCTGTTTGTTGATATTTTTTTCATCATCATCATCATTACCTGCTCTTTTGTGCCTTTTCCGCGGGGTATGACGAGATGAGCTCTGCCCGCTTGACCTGATGCGGCAATTTTGTGCCTGAGGCCTACCGGCAGAAACCCGAGGCAGTACCCAAGCCGGTTCCACTGGCGGAAGAGGCATTTTTTTCTATCGCGGGACTCACACGACCTGCCTTTCGATTTCTTCCTCTACTACTCCAATGTCTTCTCAGTCCAAGTCGTCGGGCTCCGTCTACGCTCTTGATTCTCCGCCATGAGGTAGTGCTTGTCAACCCTCGCTTCAAGTTTACAATCTCCCCTCTGAAACCCGCTTTTCTACCGTTCCGTTCTCACCGATCGTCTTTTTCTTGTCAGATTTTCCGCCTCTTCGGACACTCCAGATTTCTCTCCGCTCTCGGAACGTCCAATATCACCCTTGCTTCTATATCCCTCCGGTTTTCCAAAGTCCGATCAAAACAGTCAGAACAATCAGTCAACCGAGATGGTTCGGAATATTGTCGTTATTGGGGGCACCTCCCACCCCCAGTTGACTCAGACGATCTGCAACGTCCTGGGTATCCCCCCGGCCGACGTATTACTTTCCAAGTTCGCAGTGGGGGAAACTCGGGTTGAAATCAAAGAGTCTGTCCGTGAGAAAGACGTCTATATCATTCAATCTGGCGGGTTGAAAGTGAACGACTCCCTCATGGAACTGCTCATCACCATTTCTGCCTGTAAGACTGCCTCTGCCAAGAGAGTCACCGCCGTCCTCCCTTTGTTCCCATACTCTCGCCAAAGTGATATCCCATACAACAAGGCTGGGGCGCCTCTTGTCAAATCCTCCAATGCCGGAAAGCCGGGTAATGGCTACACTTTCGAGAGCACCCCACCAACCCCGCACCCTGGAAAGCCGGAGAGTGGAAGTCTCTTGAACAATGTCGATAGCCTGCAGAAGGGTTTGGCAAGGGCACAGCTTGATGATTACAGCAACGGCAGCCCGGTCAAGAAACGCGTTCCTAATGGACCTCCGCGCAGCGACACCACTGACTCACTGAAGTCGGACGTTAGCCTTCGATCCACTGTTGTCAATGGGCAGGCGAATGACGACAATGTTCAGTCCAAGATCAGCAGCTTTCAGCCTCGCCCTGGCTACAAGCAATGGGTAGCCCAGGCAGGTACTCTGGTGGCGGATCTTCTCACCTGCGCTGGTGCAGACCACATTATCACGATGGATCTGCACGACCCTCAATACCAAGGATTCTTCGACATCCCTGTCGACAACTTGTACGGCAGACCTTTGCTCAAGAGCTACATCCAGCAGAACATTCCGAACTACAAACACGCGGTCATTGTCAGTCCTGATGCCGGAGGTGCCAAGCGAGCAACCGCGATTGCGGATTCTATGGGAATGGAATTTGCTCTCATTCACAAGGTACGGTTCACTTAATGATTCTGTAGGATTCTCATGCTGACTGTGTGCGTAGGAACGACGCCCAACCAAGATTACAGACCGCCAAAATGCTACCATGATGTTGGTCGGTGATGTCAAGGATCGGACGACGATCCTGATTGACGACCTTGCCGACACATCCAACACCATCACGAGAGCTGCAAAACTGTTGAAGAAGGAGGGCGCGTCCAAGGTCTATGCCTTGGTCACGCATGGTATCCTGAGCGGCGATGCGATCGACCGCATCAACGCTAGCGCTCTCGACAAGGTCGTCGTTACCAACAGCGTCGATCAATCGGACCACTTACGCCGATGCCCCAAACTGGAAGTCTTGGAAGTTGGTCATGTCTTCGCAGAGGTAAGCCGGTTTTTTCTTTTTCTATCTAATGCGAATCTGTCCTAACGCTGTGCAGGCCATTCGCCGAGTCCACCACGGCGAGAGCATCAGCGTACTTTTCCAATACGACTGAACAGGGACTGCATATCTCACTGCTCTATGGCGGTTATGTCTCGCATATGAAAGATATTTCATGAAATTTGAAAATTTGAACGATGAAGCGAAGCCGCGTTTTGGGTCTTTCCGTTTTCTCTGCCTTTGCTTCTGACATAGATGTTGGTTTCTGCTGTCATGTCTCCAACCTTTGCCAACTCTTATGAATCCTTACTATTCCATCCACCATATACCTCCTATACCTTGAATATACATGAAGACCTCCACGGGCGAACGCATGAGCTTTGAAATCACGCCCCCGTATGGACCAGAAAATGGAGTTGACTGCTTGGATTTGCCTCTCTTGTTTCGTGGCGTTGATTTGCGGCTGCAATGATGTATTGCAGGTCGTGGATGACACGATTATGCTTCTGTATCTTAGGAAAGATTCACGAGTCACAACATATTGATTCCAACTTCTGGTCAACCTTTTATTCGTTATACTTCAGATACCACTGGCTACCTTCGACATTGCATCCTCTCTGCTTAACATTGGTTGTTTTGCTGCTCGCTTGGCGTTTACTTGTTTCTTGAAGCTGGGAAGTGGGAAGCTACTCAATCGATGCATTGGCGCAAACGAAATATAAGCAGGCGTTTGAAAGACGATTCGATTATATGTTAGCTATCTGGGCTATTAGACCAGAAATGTCCGAATAATGAGAAGCTTAAGGAAATGCTTCAACAGTAAGATATCTCTCTTAGCCTTGCTCAAAGAATACTGCACTTATCCTTCGTCGCGGGTGCTTTCAAATTCAGACAGGTAGGCCCCGGACTCCTCGCGACGTCGTTCGCCCCATGTATGTGCCAGTCCAAGCTAACGCATATTTACCGTGCATAAAGATCTCGATGACAACTGATATCCCCCAATGGGCGGGTCTCCTGCAGTGAACCCATACTGGCGGTTTGCTATGAGCAGGAAACACTGGGCGGGACTAATCGGGGGCGGGTTGTTTGTCCGTCATTAGCCGGACATGTGAATCCAGCTTACGATTAAGGGTGAGCTGCGCTGGGAGCACATTCAATACCAAATTCCAAATAACGTGCGTGAAGGTTACCTGAACAAATTCAGGCTCAAGATGTGTTCATCTATACTATATCACAAGGAAGAGATCCCCCAAACGCCGAGGCAAGCAAACAGAGACCAAGAAGAAAAGAACTGGCAAGGGTATGCCGAGCGAGTTTGCGACGCTCATAGGGAGGGTACTTGACTAAAGCCAACAGCCCAAAGATCAGACAACAGGGTCATTGAAACTAGGTACAATAATAACAGAGACCAGGGATCGCGATGGAACGGTATGGGAATAGGCGTAGCATCGAAAGACGGAGAGGACGGGCTAACATGGAGATTGCAAGGAGCAACAAAGCTTAGAAGACAGAAATGAAATTTCCGATTCTCTCCTTCTGGTTCTGCGCGATGCACTCCGCGATCCAGGTGACGTTTCGAATTTCCTGCGAACCATGTCAGCGGTGCTGCGTAGGGAATATTATTATTGAGCTCCAGGGACGAACCTGTTCCTTGAGGCGCATCCACGCGTATACCACCGCCGGGGTGAACTGGCGCGTGAAGACAATCTTACACAACTCCATTTCCTTCTGGTAGAACAGATCCTCCAGACTCTTCCCATCTGAGCCGCCACCCATCCCGAAGCCTCCACCTCCGCCCTGGCTGAGACCAACTGCGTCGAAGAAGGCCTTGTAGTCGGCATTGACGCTCACGGCCAAAGACACGGCTTCGAGATCGTCGGCGCGGGACAGCATCAAAGACCCCTCAGGGTAGAGCTTGCCGAACTCGGGGTACAGCTTCCTCCGTTCCTGCTTCGAGAGCTCGGTGCCGAATGAGTTCAGAGTGATGTTGATTGCACGACGGTCGGCCTCGAACTGCAACAGCTCAGACATGACCTCTTGCGTAGGAGTGCCCTTGAAGTCCGGATGGGTGGTGACGAAGTTGTGAAAGTCCTCGAGGTAGTTCTTATAGAGCGTATTGCGCACAATTTCGATATTCAGTTCGTCCAAGTCCTGGTGGCTGAGACTCCCCTTGAAATAGTCCGCCAATGGTGTCTCAATAAGCACGGAATTGTACAGTTCTTCGATGTTGGTGGCGACGCATAGCACCGGCAAGGTCTCGAACCACCCTAGGGGATGGCATCGCTCCAGGAGCTCTCGCGTGTCCCGTTCGTGCAAGGTGCCGGTGATCAGGAGAGCAATGTTGTCGATCATGTATCCGTACGTCAGATATTGTAGGAACTTGGCAGTAGACCCCGTGGCCTGGGCGAGGAGGTAGCGGAATTCCGCTACGAGCTTGTCCGTCATCTTACCGGCGAGGGCAGATGTGGAGGGGTTGGGAGGTAGTGCGGCGAGGAAGTCGCCATAGGCGGGGGCGAGCTGTAACTTGACATCTGTGCTCAAAGCATGTTAGACCAGACGCTGGTGGCAGAAGAGACGTCGAATCAACGGACCATCGATGTTTTCGCATTGGGTCAAGTTGGAGTAGTTCTGGCTGGTGAGCAGGCTGTTCCGATACCCCCGGACAATCCCCTCGATGTAGCTGTCCAAAATCAGTGATCGATGCAATCAGATTATGAGCAGCTCACGAGTCAGCCTACCCATTGTTCACGTTGAAAAAGAGACCCTCCATCTCGAAGTCCTGATAGCTAGCTGGAGGTTACCTGAGCCTCTCCGCAGACCAACACCTGGAGCTGTTTCTCTGCCACACCTGCCGCTGAATTATGTAAGCATGCACGGCCACACCACGCACCCGCCACAGGCTTTGGTGGCTTGGGGTCGCTTTTTTCGAACTTTTTAGTCTTCGATGCAAAAATTCCCGCCAACAGCCAGAAAAATTAACTAACCTCCAGCTCGCCCACGGTGGTTTCGCCCACGGTCGCTAACACACTTTCGGCCGTTTCTTCTTCTTTTCTTTCAGATACTCGATTTATTTCTGAGCAGCTGAGAGTCAAGGCCGTGCACCATGACGCTCTTTATCCTTACCGAAACCAGCGCGGGTTATGCCCTGCTCAAGGCGAAAGACAAGAAGCTTCTGAAGAGAGACGATCTGGCTACTGAAGCTTCCACTGCAGAGGGTGTTTCAAACTTGTGAGTGAATACTTTCATCTCCTTGTCAGAGATTTGATTGATGTTCAATTCTTGCATGGGCTTCTACGAGCAAAAATTTTTCCCACTCTCAAAACAGTGCTCTAACACCGTAGTAGGGTGAAATTGAAGAGCTTCCAGAAATTCGACAGTGCTGCTACGGCTCTGGAAGAAGTCGCTTCGCTCGTGGAAGGAAAGGTTACTCCTCGCCTTGCCAGCCTGCTGGACGAGATCAAAGATGAGAAGAAGGTTTCTTTGGCCGTTGCCGATCCCAAGCTCGGTACGTAACCTGGACATTTTGAGAAGTCAAATTACTCAGTTTCTAATTTTGTGTCCCCCGACAGGCAACGCCATTGGCAAGCTTCCCGGCATGTCTATTCAATTGGTCGCGGACTCGACCACGACTGATATCTTCCGTGCTATTCGCGAACATCTCCCCACACTCATTCCTGGTCTTCTCCCCCAGGACATGTCTACCATGTCCCTTGGTCTGTCCCACTCTCTCGCCAGACACAAGCTGAAGTTCTCCCCCGATAAGATCGATACTATGATTGTGCAAGCTATTGGTTTGTTGGACGACCTCGACAAGGAGCTCAACACCTACGCCATGCGTGTGAAGGAATGGTACGGCTGGCATTTCCCAGAGCTGGCCAAGATCCTGAACGACAACATTGCCTATGCCAAACTTGTACTCAAGATGGGTATGAGATCGAACTGGGAGACTGCTGATCTCGCGGAGATCCTTCCGGAGGAGCTCGAGGGCACCGTCAAGGCCGCTGCTGACCGGTCCATGGGTACCGAGATCAGCCAGGAGGATTTGGAGAACATTCAAGCGCTGGCCGAGCAGGTCGTTGGTTTCGCCGAATACCGCCAGCAGCTCGCTGGTTACCTCACTGCCCGTATGAACGCTATTGCGCCTAACCTGACCGCCCTGGTTGGCGAGTTGGTTGGTGCTCGTCTCATCGCCCACGCTGGTAGCTTGACAAACCTTTCCAAGAGCCCCGCCAGTACTATCCAGATTCTCGGAGCCGAAAAGGCTCTGTTCCGTGCGTTGAAGACCAAGCACGACACGCCCAAGTACGGTCTCATCTACCACGCTTCTCTTATCGGTCAGGCCACCGGTAAGAACAAGGGTAAGATGGCAAGAGTGTTGGCCGCCAAGGCCTCTCTTGGTCTGCGTGTCGATGCTCTCGCCGAGTGGGATGACGATGCCACTGAGGAGGACAAGGCCGCTCTGGGTACTGAAGCTAGATACAACCTCGAGCGTAAATTGGCCGCCATGGAGGGCAAGCCTCTCAAGCCTCGTGGTGTTGCCATCGGGCCCAACGGTGCCTCCGTGCAGCCCAAGAAGTTCGAGATCAACGAAGCCAGAAGATACAACGCCGACGCGGATGCTGTTACTGGCGACCAGCCCGCTTCCAAGAAGGACAAGAAGCTCATTGAGGAAGTTTCAGATGAGGAGATGGCCGACGCCGATTCCGACGAGGAACCCAAGGCCAACGGAACCAAGGACGACGACTCGTCCGACGAGTCTGAGGAGGAGTCGAGCAAGAAGCACAAGTCCAAGAAGGGCAAGGATACCGAACTTGAGAAGATGGCCGAAAAGGCCGGCCTGAGCGTCAAGCGGTACAAGCGCAAGCTGGAGCGCGGCGAGATCACGTTCGACGCCAATGGCAACCCCAGCGCCATCAGCAAGAAGGAGCTGAAGAAGGCCAAGAAGGAGGCCAAGAAGGCTTCCAAGGGCGATGAGAAGAAGCGTAAGCGATCAGATGACGGCGAGGAGGCCGACAACGGCGAGAAGAAAAAGAAGAAGAAGAAGAAGGGAGAGGAATAAAGCTTGCAATGATCTGAAAGAAAAGTTTACGTGGATCGATCGCTTCATCAATCTTTGTATGATATCACACATTGTGGGTTCAATGCTGCTTGTCATTTTGATTATTTTTTCCTTTCTTGTGAGAGTTACTTGTTTGGGTGGCATTTCAGGATGCGATTTTGCTGGTCTATCCATGGCGCAGAGGTGCTTATTGGTACAAGGCAGTACAATTCAGGATAATATGTTCATATCAATCTTCATAGTAGTCGTAGTCTATCCCACTAGCCTACATTTCCCTAGTCCTACCTCAGTCCTCAGTAGTAAAGCAATCAGCTAAACAGCAACTGGTTTTGAGTAAACAGACCGCCCATGTCCATCTGCCGGCAGAACAACACATCCCCGCCATCACCAACTTTTTCCAGCCAAAGCACCCAGCACAAAACACAGCCATATACCCAGAAATCACTCCATGCAGACATACCACAGCCATACATCATGAGGGTAGGTTCTTCCAACACACCCCACCCACCGACCACAATATCTAACGGATCCTACAACAGATAATCGACCCCCAAAGCGCCGTCCTCACCAACATCGAGGTCCTGGCCTACATAACCGCCAACCCACCCCGACGACCCCTAATCCTCCCCCGAACTCCCGGAATTGGGTTCCTAGTCCTGATCTCCGCGACCATAACACAGTTGTTCGAGAGGTAGTTCCCCCTCACCCCTGTCTGAGTAGAGAATAAGAGGGATAATGCTGACTGACGCTGACGGATAGATCCACAACTACATCCACCGTCTCTCCCCTCACGTCCTCAAATACCCAGCTTATATACATGGTGAACCGCCGCAGTCACAACAGCAGCCGTCGTCGGGTGCGTCCCCGACGGTACCGCCCGTGCAGCCGAGTGCGCCTACTCCCGTTGACCTTGCGCTCCGCGAGCTGGTTACGCGGCTGAAGCCGTTCGGGTTGACGAAGGGGGAGGTAGTTATGATTGTGAATTTGGGGTGGGGTTGGATGCATCCTCCGGGGCGCGGGGTGGTGAGGAGGAAGGGGAGGGAGGGAGCGGGATGAAATGGAGGTTGATGAGGTGGAAGGGGGAGGAAGGGGGAGGAAGGGGGAGGAGGCAGGTAGAGAATCAGGGGGTGGGGGATTGAGCGAGGAGGATTACGGGGCGCTTGCGCTGCTGGATACGGTGATTGAGGAGCGGGAGGAGAGGTTATCGGAGGAGGATGTGGCGCAGATATTGGCTATTATTCGGGAGACGTTAGGGTCGAAGGGGAGGACGGGGAGTGTTGGGTAGATGGGCATGGGTGACACGGGATGACAACGAATCTACGCACCATTTAAAGATGTAATGCTCTTGTACTGTGTCTATTCACTGGTGTATCTGGTATACGACTGGTATCCGGCGATGTAGTATGTATGGCTTTTGTGGAAGGACAGAAGATATATGTGCTCGACCGATAATCAGGCCGATTTCAAAATGGAAAGTCCAAACCAACAGATAACGATAAATCGACTCCAAAACACCGAGAATGCAGGATCGTCAGACAACAAGCTGACTATATCAACCGGCACCGGAGCCGCAAGCGTATGTGCCAAATATGTCGAAATACATGCAGAGACAAAAGATGGGCCATGTTTTTCGCTACTTGGTCATGTGCCCTAGCTAGGCACGAAGGGGACTCTGGCAGACTATTAAAGTCATCATTGCGGTCGACCAGGTTTGTCCTCACCGTCACCTTTGCCTTTGACCAGTTTGCCGAACTGATTGTAAACAGGCTCATCCGGGTCCCCGCCTTCGTGGCCCCATTGCCCCAGATCATCGTCGAAAACTTCGTTTTCAAAGCCCGTGCAGACCTCCGCGTAGTCGAGCCACTCGCCCTTGTCCGTCCAAACGCCTCCCCTGCCGCCGCGCATATCCCACCAGTCCTGCCCTCCCAGCAGGGCTGATTGGGCAGCGTCGAATCCAGTAGGGCTACGCATGTACTTGCGGAGAAGGGCGCGAGCCCACGGTTGGTACCACATGTTGTACCACCAGGTATCTCGTATCAGCCGTTCGGGGTGCTTCACCGGCCAGGCTTTGTTATCCTTGACGGGCTTTTCCTCGTCGAGATGGATCAGGGCCGGCACAGAGGCCGAGTGGATATTGGTCAGCAAGGGCATGTTATGCCATGTATGATTCCGTGGATTTGGAAGAGCGTCAAGAGTAGAGTTGAACTCTGGTTTGACCTTTTCGTCTTTGCCGAACCGGGGTTGGACGAAGGGATTACGAAGTCTCGGACTGGCAAGATCGGGGGGAAGAAGCAGACGCCTCTCTCGAGGAACGCTGTGCTTCATCTGGATGGAGGATGTTAGGGGATATTGTGGTATTGAAGCCATTCGACATCCTTCTTCGACTTGTGCGTGTTGAAGAATAGACGAGATTCGAAATCAACGCCGATTCCGTATTCGTAGCGATGACCTGTCTCAAGGTGCGGGCTCACGCCCGTGATATTCGCAGCATCAGAAATGCCAACTAGTCCGTAAACCCACTCGTTGAACCAGTTGGAATTTCTCCGTCTTTCTAGCTCTCGCACGTACTCCTGGCGTCCGTACATCTGGGTCAGAGCCAGATAATCACTGCGATTGTGTCGGTTTTCCTCCACGAAGCGCAGTACTTCCGCGTATATTAACTTCAGGTCGGCAGCCTGGCCGATCACCGTACCGGGCTTCAGCCACCGTGGCCGGGTCAAGTGCCCCTCCGGGTGAATATCGGTCTTCCAGCCGTAGGCATCCGGGGGTAAGCTGGACTGGGGTACGGTGACACACCCGGCGTCCGCGGTCATGTTGGGGAAACACTCTTTGCCTGCGGCAAATAGCACTCTCTGAGAGTATTTCTGCAAGGCCTCCTCCAGGCCTTTGCGGAAAGGATGATACTCCTTCGCAAGGCCGTATTTCTTTCTTAACTTGGCATTATTCTCTCGGAGGATATTCTGAAACCGCTGGATAAGCACTTCCGGCGGTAACTGGAAGAAAACATCATAGCCATCGGCGATGAGGACAAAGTCGCCATCCCGCACGTGCGGGGTGTATTGCAAAAAATTGTATATGCCCGTCACACGGTCCACCACGTAATCATATTCGGAGGATCCGCTTGGGAGCTTTCTGCCGTACTGGAGCAAAGTAGGCGGGGGGTAATTCAAGATCATTGCGGAGGTTATTGTGCGACACAGCGCGGCGCTCTTCTGCCCAGCGGGCAGTACAAGATGAAAAGAAGGGTTGTTTTTATCCAGACTGTTCGGTAGAGTGTCATTCCGACTCAGAGCAGGTCCGCCAGTATTGATCATGGGTGTGTCTTCGGGGCGGCCACCGAATGGATGGTATGAGGGATACTTGAGCCAGTAATTGACGGAGGTCTATATAGACAACTAGTGTCAGTCGTAGATCAATCTGATGTAACCAGAAAGCATACCTGTCTAAACGGCGCTGAGAGACAAATGTAAAGGAAAAGACATGCGGCAAGTGTGAGAATGAGAGCTCTGGCCGGACGAGCCCTCGGTCGACCATACAGATAGACTCGTTGCAGAAACGTCGTCGCCGTCGAGCGCACGGAGTTATACTGGTCGCCCCAGGGGGTGAAACCGCGGAGGGTAGCCATTCTGGCTGAACTGTCGTTTCTCTTCTGGCCCTCTGCAAGAATGGACAACAATCAATCGCAGTGTCAGGTCGAACCGAGCGGAAAAGGAACGTTGGTATCAACCACTATAAACGGAGGTCGTGCTCGAGATAGGCATTCCTGCATTGAGATATTCGAAAGCGAGCGCAGACGATGAGGGATTACAGTCGTAATAGTCGTCAATTGTGCGATTGGGGGAGAGGAGCGCTCAACAGTCAATCAAGCAATGTACCATATTGTTTGCGCCGATGGAACGGAAGTCAATGACGACGACGCAATGTAATGCGATAGGGGTTGGATGGTGATCAGCCTATACAGCTCCAGAGGTCGTTGGTCCCTGATCGATCATCTGCGTTGGATATGGTGTTTAGAAATGAAGTGAAAGATAGAGTGCACGTTGCAAAAAGCCACAGACTCTTAGCAAGCATGGCGACTGTGGCACTCCGTGTGATGGAGCAGGAAATGATTTACATCGTTCCGGTGGAGCTCTCCTGATAGGCGTGGACCAAGATCCATCCGCCGCCATATTTGATGCGATCGCCCAACGCCGTGCCGCGTACGACTCTTATCCTCTAGCTTGTCGTCATCTAATTTCGCTTCCGGGGTCATATCAAACATCAAATTTAAACGGAGTTTCTCTATATTCCTCTGTCTACCAGTATTGAAGTCCGTTGTATTGATTGTCTTCTATTGCCTTTGCCGCGTCATCGCCCCTCGGGTCCCGGGTAAAAAGATGTTTGAGATTCAGGTACGATTGATTCCTGGCCAGGCTTGGCGCATGGGCGTTTCATCCAGATCAGCATTTAGTCTAGCCTAGTCTATGTACTCCGGACTGTCTTGATGGCGTCCGTATGACAGCGTCCTGGTCCAGTCACCCAGCGAGAACTCCAGGTCTGCATGTAGGTATACACAATATTTCTCCGAATCTGTACACAGTCCGATATACACTATAAGTGTATCATTCCAGGTATATCTCCTCACGCAGGCGCTGTAGATTCTTAAAGATGCCACCCCCTGGCCCTTCGCTTTCCTGCCGTTGATGGCCCATCGTCTTCCCTCTCGCCGACGAGGATCGCGCATGGGACTGGTCCGAACTGCCCTGGTTCTCCAATGACCGGCGCCGGTCATCTATAATCTTCGCCAGACTATCCAGAAAACGATTTCGCGCCTTCTCTTCAGCCGAGCCCTTCCATATTGTCGCCAACTCGCGTAGCGCTTCTAATCGCTTCGTAGCTGCATCCAAACCTGCTTGTCCACCACCATTGGTATTGAGTAACTCTGTAATCTCGTTCCGCAGCTTCTTTGCGACCTCCTGCCCCTTCTCCTCGAGACTCTGGCTCTCGGGCCCAGGTTCAGGGGCGGAAACCGAGATGAAGGACGATGTCAGGGAGGTCTCCGACGGCGGTAACGGCCATTCCATGGCGTCGCCAAAGGTCTGAACCACACCCTCCAGTCGCGACCGTACTTGATTCAGCATCCGTAGTTTCGTGATGTAGTCCGGATCAGCAACCGTGGCCTTGTCGCCCTGGCCCATTTCTGCCGCCGTTTCTCTCTCTTCTCCCTCTTGAGCCACAATAACATCTTTGTCGCTGTCCACAGCCGTCTGTAGAGCCTCGGGCACAAACTGGGCAATATCCGGTTGGAGGACCTCGGTCAACGTATCCGAAAGACCAATCGCTTCACCCCGCAGCACCTCAACCTCGTACGCTAGTCGACCTCCACTCCGCAAAATCTCATCGGTGAGTTGTGTGAGTTGATTGGAAAGCCGGACATTCTGCGCATTGATCTGAGTGAGAATCGATTGGACTTGAGCGGACAATTCCGCGAGGGGGACGGCGCCCGCGCCGCGGGATTGCGATGACGCCAGCGTCAGCGGGGAAGGACATCGTTGAGGAAATCGGCTGGATCGAAGGATGGGTCGGTAAAGTCAGGGGTCACTTCTTGAGAGGATCGTGTGTTTGAGGTCAGGGTAGCTGCGCGAGCCGGACTGGGAGTCTGTGTGGAGGCCATTGTGTTGGAGCGTTGATCGGGGAGGACTGGAACGGGGGCTCGCTCTTTGTAGCGTTCACTAGAGCAAGATTAAAAATATTACGAGAAATTTCTCGCTCCAAACCCGCGACTGACATCGGCTAGTCTAGAGTTTCTGTATCGTTATGTCCCGCTCATGTTGACAGCTCTCCGTGCTTCCATCGTGTCAATGTTTAATCTTCACCGCCTACGGCAATATGCTTCGTTGATGGCATACTGTTTAGCTGAAAGAATGAAATTGTCCAAGAAAGCGTCAATTAAGTATAGGCATTATTCATTTGCGGAACGCAGAGAAGCAAGTTATTTCAGTACAGTCATCATAAAAGATTCCAGGAAATAGCTGTGCATATCCAGCAAACCACGAATATAAGAGTATCAGGCAGTCAGTCAACATGAAAGAAAGTGGGTATCGTCGGTCGAATCAGGGAGATTAAGGTAGAGCAAAAGAACGCAGGTACTCATCCGTGACGGATGGCATCAAACGGATTTTCAGCATTATTGTGATCGGGATTCAAGACACCGGCCTCATCATGTTCAGATATCTTCCACCACCCGGGCATTGATAGCGCGCTGGAACCCGTCGTCCGCCTGTACAGGCTGCCCGGCTCCGTATTTGCTTGGACCCTCGCCGGCATTATCGGCTGCAGCCAGCTGTTGCTGCACTGTCTGGTTGACGGCGGGCAAGAAGATGACCTTGCTGTTGGCGGTCTTGGCCATGGCTTGCATGGCCTCGAGGTAGCGAATTTGCATGGCAGGAGCAGAGGATAGAATGTCCGCAGCCTAGAGAAGTCTTCCGTTAGTTCTGCCGGACTTGTGGGGGCTGGATGAGAGTACAACATACCTGGCGCATGAGCTTGGCGGATTCCACCTCGGCACGAGCAGCAATGACCTTGCTCTCACCGATACGCTTGGACTGCGCTGCCATGGAGAGCGAGTCCTGCAAATCATTGCTGAAGATGATGTCCTTGATGAGCATCGATTCGACTAGGACACCCCATCCAGCTGCAACCTCCTCGATGATCTCAGACGTCGACTGGGCGATCTCCTCACGGCGTTCAATCACATCCTGCAGAACCCTCGCTCCGATAACATGCCGCAGAGTTGTCTGTGTGCGCTCGATCAGAGCTTGCCGTACGTTGGTAATGCCGAAAGCCGCTTTGTGAGGCGAAATGATTTGGTAGTAGATGACCGAGGTCAGATTAAGAGTGACATTGTCCTTGGTCATGCAAACCTGGCGGGGTACTTCGACGATCTGGATCTTAACGTCGACGGTCGTAAGGTGTTCGCTCAGCGGGTTAACCCTGACCAGGCCCGGGTCGACCGCACGCTCGAATCTACCACAGAAGTAAGTATACCATCGGTCGCGCTTCAGGCAAGGCTTCCATACCGTCCAAATTTGGTGACCAGACCGACCTCACCCTGCGCCACTGGCTTGAACGGGTTGGGGCAGCAGATGCAGCATGGGATAGCTCCCAAACCACCAATGCACTGGCCCAATGTATGGACTATGTTTTGAGCAGAATGAGTAAATAAATGACATCAGGCGAGGAGGAAAAACGGAAGACTTACTCAAAGAAGCGTACCAGCTATGCGCATCCGGGTTATCGGCATCATGCTGGATCTGTTGGGCATAACTTGGCTGCAAATCAGCAAGTCGTGCTGGCTGAACGACCACCGGTCCGCGTGTGTGGGCGCTGTGGCCTGGCGCGTTTTGCACCGGTGCCTTTCCGTTAGGAATGTTCGCTTCGGTGGACATCATGGCTATCTGTAGTGTTCGCTTGTATGAGAGTTGACTAACAGCGACAGAATAATGGGACTGATTGCTGAAAGTGCAGTATAAGGTGCTCCAGAAGCGATGAAAAGCTCAAGTACGAATCAACTTTAAGGTTCAGGCCGCCACACTGAAGGAGACGGTTGATGATCGTGAGACTTGAAGTGTATTGCGTAGTGAAGGGAGATGGGATGTTGCGGGGTTAAATAGGTAGCCATGTCTCTTATTTCCCGTGCAGTACAGATCTAAACTACCTAGACAACTGTGCCTATCTCTCATCGTCATAAGGTACACTACCAGTAATACATGTCTAATACCTCACACCAGCTGCCTGTATGAGTAAGTAGCTACCAAGCAGCAGCACCAACCGTGATGCATCTCCGCCAATTCATGTGGGGCGCAGCGCTTGGCGATATCCACAGGATCTCTTCCGGCTAGGCACTAACAAGTCTAGCTCCTGCTCCTCCAGGCTATGTACTGTATTAGATTCCCACTTGGTGGGCAATCGGGCGCAAACCACGGATGGATGGTTTCCACATCAAAGGGCTGAGCAAGGTATGTTCGAGGTGCTCCTTTCTCCAGCTTAGGCTCCGCGGAGCTTCGAATGCTTCTCAGTTTCCTTTATGTGCTAATCCATGGTGCCATACGGAGTACACCTCATGCCATTCCGTCCTCATCTACCTCTCTATACGCAAGAGTTCTATGGTGGATGGGCTCTCATCAACAGTGAACCGCTGTCTCCATACGGCACCTTAGCTCGTCCATGGCTTGCTATGATCGGTACCCTTTTGGGCACCCCGTATTCGGCTCCATGAGCCGCAATGCACAGCACTGCCGCAGTAGGCGATCTGCCCCGTATTATCCGACTATCAAGTGTCACCACCATTCAACAGTGGAGTGTCTGAAGAATGGCTCTCGCATAAGTGTCATGCAAAGGAGTCAAGAGTCCAGAACCCTGGTTGGCATGGTAGACTGTTCCACTACTGACGAGCTTCATGCCCTTGTTAGTTGTTGGCCCCGGTACCCTGTGCTCTCTGCTGCACAGAGCCGATGTCAGGCAACATGTCCATCCACGTGAGCCTGCATTGCCTTCTAGATGGTTTCTAGCGGACATTAATTCTGCATTGCCCACTTGAACCAGCAAATCAGACAAATTCCCTTGAGCTAATGGTATGGAGCTGTGACGTAACGGCAATCACTGATTGCTGCAATAAAACCCTCGTCTTGAGAGGGAAGAGTGTACAAGTGGATGGTTACAACCTTAGGGGAAGCTTCAAGGCGCAGCGTGAGTACATTTGTGAACCTAGTTACAGTCGGGCGGAGGCAGTGCTTCGGTTATCGGCATGTGCGGGCCAGAAACTCCAAATCAACTTCCTATTTGGTTTAGGTCAACAACACCTGCATTTCATATCAGTTATCTACACTACTGGATCCTGAGTCCCATGTAGCACATGTAGACGAAAGGGATGGAATGGACAATAGCTTAACTATGCATCTGTGGAGCAAAGAGATCTCAGGTTAGTAAGGGAAAAAAACCCCCAATATGAAGCATCATTGGTCTAGTGGTAGAATTCGTCGTTGCCATCGACGAGGCCCGTGTTCGATTCACGGATGATGCATTTGACTTTTTAGCTGTCCCTTTTTTGTCGATACATCTTTCACTCCGAGTCCCCGACTCATATTCTGAAATATAGCAGCAGTCTGCATTAACCCATCCTTAGCCTCAGATGGAGGGATGCACTACATCCGTCTGGTGCTCTTTTGTCTGAGATGGCGCAAGATCGCCATGAAGGAGGTAGGCGTGCTTACAGCCAGTGCTACATGGCGAAGCTTCCAATTGCTTTCCCCGTGGAGCAATGGTATGGCCAGGATCCTTGGGCGAGATTGTATTCTGGAATCATATACTATCATTGGATGGAGATCATCTCGCGTAACATAAAACAATGATTGTCCTGTAGACGGTGCTCGAAGGATGCAATCTATCCATTTCCTCAGCCTTACATGCCGAAGTCTAAGCTCTCCGGCCTACCATGGTAGCTGTAGCGGCGTAGGCAGTCTTTCCCTAGAACAGCTTCTGCAGTCCCAATGTCACTACCAAAGCATTAGCACCAAGCCTCGCGCTTGACTGTTTGGTCCAAAGCTACACTTACCCAGGTCCTCGTGGTGCCCAGAACTGCCCCGTCTGACTGATGTCAAAACCATCTATGAACGAGGCCAGAGACTGAGCTGCTTCATCGGGGGTAACGGCTGCGAGCAGTCATAGGATCAGCGCCACTCTATAGCACAATAGACACGTCAATGACCTCTTACCTCCACCGGCATCCCAGTACTTGTCGAATCCTACACTCTTGGTCATTTCCGTGCGCATGAAGCCAGGATGTACCAGCCCGACAGCAATGCCCTTTTCTTTCAAATCTAGACTGAGAAGTTTTCCCACCATATTCAATGCAGCCTTGCTGGCATGGTGACCATAATTGCCCCCGCCCTCCTTTTCGTGTCGCAATGTGATACTCCCGCTTTCACTGCTGACCAATATCACTTTGCTCCCCTTGTCCAGCAGACCCGCTTTGACGAGGCGCTGCACAACAAAGACGGGGCCAATGGCAGATGTGGTATACATCCTTACTTCCTTTTCCCAGTCGGGGTCATCAAATGTCTCGAATCCGAAATAGCCCGCCGTGATGATCACGCAGGAGAGCTTGGTGGATGAAGGCAGCTGGGATACCAGAGTTTCGCCAACATTGGGTTGGGAAACATCAATATTCTGGATCCATGAGACGCGAGTTTCGGAAGTGTCTTCTGGAGGGGCACTGGATCGACTTGTCGCGAAGACACTGGTTGTTGATACCTTGGATGCGTACAATTGTCGCAGTGAAGCCCCAAGGCCTCTGCTGGCACCGACAATGAGGATGTTATTGCTCATTTCTACCTTCTGATTGAGCTCGCTGATAGATGTTAGTTAAAACTCTGGAGGTTGACCTCCTCCCCGACTGCAGTTGATGGTCTATTGCGCCTAGCCACGTGCATAAGCGTTGCGCAACCTCAGGAACGGATGACGTAAATGTACTCTTATTGTGTTCATTAGCGCGATATATATCGAAAGTATACTTTCTTATCGACATGCGACAAATTTAATTGCAGACGAAGAGCGATCTCACCAATCATTTGAAGATGTCAATACAAATAAATATTAACCATGCCGAAGAAGGTTGCACTCAGTCAAGTGATGACCATGTCTTCGTTTCAAGGGTACAATGCTCAAACATTCCACTCCGATCCACTCTGCCGTTTGAAACTTTGACTGGCTAGCTAGCTCACTTCAATCAAGTTCTGTCAATTTGACGGACACGTGAAAGTCGTTAGAGAATGCTTTTAATAGTACTTTGCGCTATCAAACTATTCTTAGTTCAGATAAGCGTGGCTTAGTCACGGCATTTCTGTCCCTGTCTTTCAAGCGGAGAATAGGATGACAATAATGGATCTGGAGGTAAGCAAGCTACCTTCTTTCTTTTGAAAGTCATTTATGACAGCACAGTAATAGTTTCTATAGAGATTCTCACCCTGCATGGTGAGCCGGTTACTGATCCCCTAACTTTGACTTCGAAGGTGGAGCCGGCCTCCTTATGGTTCCCGCTGCTTGATGATGAGTGCGATCCTGCAACAACTGCGACAACATGCAAAGAAAGCAAGTGCTGCCATTCGCAGAGGCAGAAAATCAGAGGGTAAAAAGCCATGCCGGAAAAGTCTCTTCCCGTTCTCATTGTCATCGAGCTCGGTGTAAGTTTTACTTTGTTACTTTGTTTATGGGATTAGCTTCGTATATGTCAGCATAATTGCTGACACGGGGCTCAGTATCGAGAAAACCGACATAGTACCAACCTCCTCGCCCTGGGATCTCCTGCCTGTGGAAATCCAAATCAAGATTTTCGCTCAATGTGGTATCAAAGACCTGCTGCAGCTCAAACTTGTTTGCAAGGCCTTTTGTCAAGTCCTCACATTTCATGAACAACTGATCGCGCGCCAATACCTCCGGCAGGCCCGTCATGGAACGCTACCATCTCCCATCGACAGTGAGAGAGAATATACTCGAAATCCCGAAGACGATGTAGTGCTTCTGTCCGACCTTTTCCCTCCCGCCAAAAGTGCCAAGGGCGGTCACTTATACACTTTCCGGTATATGCATAGCTTGCGACGACGGGCAAAGCTGTGTTCTAAGCTTTGCTACTACCTCGCAGACCGCGTCATGGATCGATTCGTCCACTGCGAGTCAGCTTTCGTTAAGGCGATGTTTCCATCCAGAAATGAGCGCAATGAGTTCCTGAAACGGGGGAAGTCCAGTCTATGGTTCAACCTCATACCACTTATGTAAGTGCTCGTCGCAAATCATCCTCCTGTGACTGATTCTAATGAGACGCGTCTTCCTACCAGGTACTACACGCTATACTTCCTGGAGGCTTACAGTCTTGCCCGTCGTGAGTTAAAAAATGCACTTTTGCAAGACATGGAAGCCGGACGATTGCCCGTTCCTATACCCCCGGATGTCCGTAAATCCATGTACCGAGATTTGCAGATCGGAATTCTTCGATCGGCCCCATTCACCAATACTTCGACTCTGATCTGTACGCACCATTGTATGCAGCTGCTCGTTTCGTACCTACGACATACTGTGCCACCCGAGGAGCCCGTGGCGGATGACAGCTGGATCGGCTCGCTGCTTACTGCGTCACCGTTTCTTCGAATAGTGGAATACTTCTCCGCAGAGATAGGTGACGGTGGCAGTCAGCGAGTGCAACGAAAGGATTTCATGCGTAACTTTCATAATGATTTGATGCTGAATGAGAAAGACGATATCAACTCGGTGGTGTTCGAGAGCACATTGGTATCGCATCTACATTCATCGGTGCAGGATGTTTGGTTCGATGTTGCTAGAGAGGAATTGGCCTCACGGAGAGCTTTCCCCCATGACGCAGAGAATATCTGGGTCTGGAAAGGTGTTCCCGTGGCACTAGGTTGTCAGGATTGCCGTCAAGGCAGGGCCTGGCGTGCATGACGAAAATTGTCTTTGGTGTATATTTGAATCTGCTTCCATCTCGTTGACCAGGACACAGGCGTTAGATACAAGGCATGGTGCTCAGTTCGGAGTTGAGGCTGCATAGAAATGGGTTGAGCGCTTTCTTTCTATATATTGTTATCGCTAGAACAGTGCACCGTATAGGTTGGAAATCTATTCACTGACATGCTTCAGAGTCCAAATGACTTGACTTCTCTCGGTCTCTTACATTTTGGACCAATAGCCCTAAGCCCTAAACGTATATCCGTTTGGGAAATTTGTTTGCTTTGTTTGCCTCGTTTGCCTGATTGTCGCGTTCCATATCGCGATCAGGTAGATCCATGCAGTGGTAAGACTCTGCCTCAACTTCGGTATGCGACACGTAGTTTCTACTAGACAAAGACATTCAGAAGTTCGTGATGGCACATTCTGACCTACAGCAGCTTTGGAATACCTCATGGACACTGCACCGTCTTTCTCCCCTGCACCATGGGAAAGAATTCCAGTCCCTTCTTGGCAGTCAGGCCGCCCTGAGAACTTATGCTAGCAGACTGAGGGTTCACCTTGCAGGGGATCTATTTTCTACTGCTCAGACTCCATTAAGTGCAGCTGGCGCTGTCGATGACGATGTCTTCTCCAGAACTGGACCTCTGAAAGACTGCGTCTGGGAAACGTTATCGGCACCCTCAACACAAGCTACCTCGGAGAAACTCTCTGGGATACTGGTCACTCTAGAGTATGAAAACATCACCTATAAAGCTGCTCTCCTCGCAGCACCAGATGGCCGTCGTACCTCGGCAAGGCGACAACAGTCCACTCAGCTCCCGCTACTACTGACGCGGTTCCCAAATCCGCTGCGGCAGACCTTCATCTCTTTTTTGTCTGCTAATTTTGACACTTACTGCTCTGTTCTTCGCCTACCCTCGACTTTCATGTGTACGGTCCTAGAGATGTACATCGATATGTTGATAGCAGGAGACCATGACGGCCCCTCCGACTCTTATCGGATGTTCGAAGATACCATCAAGGAGACGCAGCTCACATTGTCCTTTGCGCCGCCCGTTGCGCCGGCTCTGAGATCTCTCAACATCAATCTTCCTCGTGGCTCCTTCACGGAGTTCGTGCGCGGAAGTAATTCAAACAGCGAGTTGACTCGCCAGAAGAATTCCGTCTTATCAGGCCTATCCACCTATTTAGAGAAGCACTTGGCGATGAAGCTGAACCTGGGAGATCTGGCGAGCGGTCACCATCCGGTCAATCAACCGGTGCGTCTGACTAAAATTGCGTGTGGCAGCTTCGTTCTCGGCGGCGATGGTAAAATGAAACTGGTCGGGCCGTCGGGGCAAGCTGGCTCCAGATCTGAAGATGGTGCTACTGCAGCTCGTGAGAGCAAAGACAGTCTGCTATTGCGGGCGACCGAGGCATTGCTTCAAGCTGTTATACGTCGAGCTGCTATGAGCGGCGATGAGCAGACGTGAGCGTGATGAGATGCATCCACCGACTTTACTTGAGCCTGACCCGGCTTTCACTTTCACTATTGAGGTGATCAGATGCACAGAAGACTGTTTCTGAAACCGTATGCTACGCAGCGAGCAGTCCATTGAGCCGTGCCCTGCGCTGGCCTAATCCCGGCATTGACGATCCACATACGTACGGTGCCCAGCGCATGAGGTGCTCGTGCCTGAACTGAATCGCCTCCGTGGACCTCGCCGAAACCTTTCGCATCAGGGCCTTATTCACTACCGGACCTGACGCAGACGCAATGCAGGATTTGCGAGCCTATTTGCTACAGAAGTGGCGAAAAATAAAAAGGATCGCGTTCTCCACGCGGTACATCATCTCATTCAAAAAAGTGCTTGCTCGTCTATGTACTTCACAACTACGGAGGATAGAAAGTCGCAACCCTATCCGACGATCCAATGCGCTGGCTCCATGCTTTTCAAGAATCTATAAATACAGCATGCTGCCTGGGAATATATTCAGAATCATCATTCGTTTAATACATCGTGAGGGTCAAATTGAGATAGGTTGTTTGGCCGTGTGACTGATTGCTCTATCCTGAACCACTTCAGCTTTCGACCGTCTGCTCTTCAGATTCGGCCAGTTTGAGAGCTTCATCCACACTGGGGACGAAATGGGTCATTCCTCCACATTGTTCCACAATACCGCTTCGTTCGAACATTCGAAAGACATCGCGATTGGGAAGACGGCAGAAGAACACGCGTGTTCCCTGGTCCGCGTATCCGTTCACTATCTCGAAAAGAACCTGAGTGCCAGATCCGTCAATGCTAGTGACACCATGGACATCGAAGATGATATTCTTATTGTTCTCGGGAGAGCGCATCCGAGGGAAGGATGGATGCACTCTGCTCGAACCATATAGTTCCAAACGGCGTAGGCGATTCTTAAGGTCGCCAGTATTGGCAAAAGTGAGAGGCTCGGGAATTTTGACGATAAGGGCGCCCTCGATCAATTGGACATCCTCGGGATGGAGCTCGGCATTGTCGAATCGACCCGTATCCGGTATCTTTCCGAGAATCTGAATGCGCGACTGAGTTGAGTGCCGAATTAATATCAAGACCGAAAGCCCGATGCCAAGCGCGATCCCCAACTCGAGTGAATAAAAGATCGTTGAGGCGAAGATGAGAAGCATCAAGGCCAATTCAGTCCAACCGCGTAGACGGATGAAGAAGGCCAGATCATGAGGACATTCCTCAATCAGTGAAAAGGCGACAACAGAGATCATTGCTGAAAGGACCGCTTTCTAAATGACATTAGCTTCTATGAAATATCACAATTGGCAGCAATACATAGGAATAGGGGAACTCACCGGAAGGTAATATAAATAAGGAAGAAGGACTAGAATGCAGACCAGAGTAATGAGACTCAGGAGGATACTGCTCATAGGACTTCGAGCTCCAGTGGAAGCGTTGACCTTACTTCTTCCGTACCCACCAAACGCAGGTAGGGCCATGAAGCACCCCCCAACCACATTGGCCACGCCGAGAGCCACCATCTCCCTGTTGGGACTAACCGTCAGACCCTTAACGCCGTCTCCCCTGCTCTCACCGAGTCCCTTCGCGGCTACAGAGGACTCAAAGAAGCCAAGCAGCGCGATAATGAAAGAGGTACTCATTGCCGTGCGAACATGCTTCATATGACTGAACTGAAAAGGCCATTTGAACTCAAAGACGCCATTTCCTGTATTTTTCATGGGACCCAGGATTTCGAGCCCTTTCTCATCCCAGTCCAGACGCCACGTCAGAATCGCCGCAAGAATGACCACCAAGATGCGATCTGGAAAGTAAACGACCTGAGGATAGCGCGGTTGCAGTTTCTTTTTCAACGTTCTGAATAGCGCACCGAGTTAGGACACACATACCCTGCAGGGAGGATTTAGCACATACCGGAAGACCATTATAATGGCGAAGCTGCTGAAAGACATTGCGGCTGTGAGGCGGTGGCAGTTCCTGATATTTCGGAAGAAAAACAGTAGCTTGTCCACAGTACTGCCGTGACTGACCCCGGCGTCTTTCGCCATCTCTGCCAACCCAGCCTCCGGAATCAATTGATCCACGAAGATAACGAAGCCAATGGCGGTGATGAATCCTCTCAGGAAAGGCCGACTGAGGACGTTATCCAAAAATCCCAGACGAGTCAGTCCCGCAATCAGGATCATCGAGCCTGCCATGGCAGTCGCTACTCCTACCACCATGGCATTCTCAGCACCATTATCCTCATGCGAATTTCCTTGTCGAACACTCGTTTTGACGATTGTACCGGTGAGCAATGACCCTGCTGCCTCTGGGCCAACGACCAGTAAAGGGCTGCTTCCCAAGACGGCATAGATGAAGGGGTTGATCACGAAGGAATAGAGACCATTGATGGGCGGCGCATGCGCGAGGTTCGACGACAAGGAGAGTGCCATTGGAATATAGATTGATGCAACAGTCAATGCCGAGATGAGGTCCCCTCGGAAGAAGGACCATTGGTACTGGCCAATCCAATTGAAAAATGGGATGTAATACGAGAGGTAACTGATTTAGCTGAAGGTTAGCCATGACGGATAGACCCTTCAATATTGAACGTCTTCGAAAGACACACAGCCCGTCAGGGTATTAAAACATACAGTGCGTTGCGATTCTTCACAGGTAATCCGGATGTCGATGACTCCAACGAGCGTAGGTTGTCTGGTCCATGTCCACCACCGGAGTTCCCACTGGAACCGCCCGAAAGGTCTGACCTTCCGGCGCTCCATCCCAAGACGCCATGTTGTGTCTCTGGTCTCGGGGAAAAAGTGCCATGGCGACAAACCTTCTGTCCGCACACAGCTTCCCCGTCATGGTATGATTCCAGCAGACGAGTTCTAGCATCGGGTTCTTCCGTAGTATATGTCGGCAAGTTCCGTGGGTCTACCTCAGGGATAGCTGCAAAACTGGTTGAGGAAGAAGTCCGAAAGACATCAAATATTCGGTCCCGCACCGAGCGGTGTTGGCCCGTCCCGTGCAGGGAAGTGGAATCCGACATGCTTATACAAATACAAGACGAAACAGTGATCGCTCAGTAATCGGGGACATAAGCAATCATCCAAAAACCGCCATGATCGGGTAAAATAGAAGAGAGATAGAGCAAAGGAATCAGGAATTTAGTAAAATAGAGGGGAAAAGGCTAGACCGTGAAGTATTAGCTAAATGTTTCAACAAGGTCCAACGAAAGTTGGTGCTCCAAGATGCGAAGGGCGGTGGAAGCGGCTCGGCCAAGTAAGCCGAGAAACGGCGGAGGGCAGGTCAAGGCAGTAGGAAAGCGATGGACATCCATCAGAACCGGCTTCAACAAAGTCGTTACCCCCTTGATTGTTCTTGAGCTATATGCCAGAGAGATCTTGTGTGACTTGAGACTTCCAGTCTTGCCTCCAGATACAATGGCAGTGAGGCTGAACTGATAAACTCGATAAGCTGGATCGTTTTCTGCCGGGCGGTACATTGACACGTTCAGCACGTGACATAACTGCACTGTCGGCACTTATGGCTATCCGGAATTCGATGCGGGCTGCAACAAAGCCCAAAAGTGGGTTTTGAACCGCCACAAAGTGATTTGAGATTGTCGAAGAACTCTCCTGCTGCCGCACCTTCTCTTTCCTCTGCACCTGTCGCACACCTTCGATCTTCTAATAGGAGCTATCAGAGAAAACGTTTCTCGCGCTCCTCATTCGTCTCTAATCCTCACATCCTTGTTGAATCCGGCCTAATACCAGGCGCAGCCCCACCAAAATGTCGTTAACAAATTGCCGTTTCTACGAGGAGAAGTACCCGGAGGTCGACAGCTTTGTCATGGTCAATGTCAAGCAGGTATGCGACCGCTATTATGATCGTCGTCGTTCTTTTGCAGGAATCTTTGACTAATCCCTTTGGTTTCATTTTGCAGATCGCCGAAATGGGCGCATACGTGAAGCTCCTCGAATATGACAACATTGATGGCATGATCTTGCTGTCTGAACTGTCCCGGAGAAGAATTCGTAGTATCCAGAAGCTCATTCGGATTGGCCGCAATGAGGTTGTCATCGTGCTTCGTGTTGACAAGGAGAAGGGCAAGTGTGACCGATTCTGAATGTGCTCGGGACCCTCCGTCTAACAGGTTCCGTCTGTACAGGTTACATCGATCTCTCCAAGCGTCGAGTTTCTCCGGAAGATGTCGTCAAGTGTGAAGAGAGGTACAACAAGAGCAAGGCGGTTCACTCCATCATGCGCCATGTTGCCGAAGCCACTCAGACTCCCCTTGAGGACTTGTACGAGAAGATCGGATGGCCACTGAACCGGAAATACGGCCATGCTCACGATGCCTTCAAGATCTCCATCACGTAGGATCAACCCGCATATCTACGTATTTCGACCTCATGACTCATTTTATCAATAGGAACCCCGACGTGTGGCAGGATGTGGAATTCCCCAGCGAAGCTGTCAAGAAGGAGTTGACACAGTACATCAGCAAGAAGCTGACTCCCTCCCCGACCAAAGTTCGTGCTGATATCGAAGTCACCTGCTTCGGCTACGACGGAATCGACGCCGTCAAGACCGCTCTTCGCACCGCCGAGGCGAACAACACTCCCGAGAACCAGATCAAGGTCAAGCTGGTCGCTCCTCCCCTGTACGTCCTGACCAGCCAGTGCCTGGATAAGAACTTGGGTATCAAGTTGCTCGAGGAGGCCATCGAGAGAATCGATAGCGAGATCAAGAGAGCCGGGGGTGGCTGTCTCGTCAAGATGGCACCCAAGGCTGTCACCGAGCACGACGATGCTGCTCTCCAGGAGCTCATGGACAAGCGGGAGCGTGAGAACATGGAAGTCAGCGGCGATGAGAGCATGTCTGAAAGCGACGAGGGTGTCCCTGAATAAATTCTCCATGCTGCGCCTCTTTAGTCACGACTCCTTGGGCCAATGGGCCCTTTGCAAATGACAAAACCTCCATTTTTCTTGCATACGTTGGGAATTGGGCTGGTGCCACAAGAGAGAGACGGTTGTTTCAGCGTTGGGTCAGAGAAGGGGCAAGAACAAAAGTTTCTGATAGAAGGGCTTCGGTTATGACATGAATTACGAGACAGAAGACGGGTTTAATGTGCTCACGAGCGCGATAGGGCTGAGCAGCATTCTATCAAACAATGGGTTCAGACTGGACTTGGTTTACGCTGAGAACAGTACACCCATGAGGGATCTGCTGCCGCACTGCTTCCTGTGGCGTAGCGATGTGTCCATATCACTCAGATTTGCGTTGATGACTGAGCTCTGGTCACAGTTCTGGGACAGCTCTATCTCTTGATTTGATGTACATAAGTTCATATCTAAGTGCCAACTGCAAGAGTACGTTCTAGACTACGAAGGTTATTTCCAAAGGAGAAAGTAGGGTTGATTGGCAGGGCTCAGCAATTTATCCATCTATAATCGTAGGTACTAGGCTGCACGACAGACTTGGCAAAGATCGTTGAGAAAGCTATGATGTATTGAAGTTCCGGATAGATCAATGGTGGCTGGTGATGGCGGGGACCTTAGCGCGGGAACTCAATCTTGCTCGAAGTTTGATTCTCCATTGCCTTTTCTTTCTTTCGAATCAGGCATACTGCTCTTGAGAAATCCTGGACTGTACGGAGTAGAATCACAGTCCACAGCATTCAGTATGGGGTACTGGGGAGACATCTTCAGCTCTGGAAGTCGAACTCACCATCGCCGTTCTCCAGAACGGCGGCGTTGTACGTCATCACCAACGGCTGGGCTTGGTCACCGGCCAGCATCGCTCATTTCTGACGCTAACATGGCAAATAGTGCTTCCGGCTTACAGGGCTGACCAGGCGGCCGCTGTCAGTCCTGCTAAGGAAGTGACGAAGGTGGCTCTCCGGCTGAAATATCAGATCGAACAGGTCATTCCGTTCGAGATCGACGAGAGTTCCATCACCAAGCCTAATAGCCGAATCATCACCGACGAGGTGATCCAGACCGCCAAGCAGGCAGGTGGTGATGATCACAAAGCCTGTGTGGTGTACTGTCTCCTTGTTTGCCTACGGTGGTTCAAGCTCCAGGCAGGGGCCGAACTCTGGGAATCTGATCTGCACCTGCGTCGCGCGCTGGCATGTGAGGTCATTGCGAAGCGCATGTAAGCAAAGCCATCTCATATATGTCTAAAAAGCTTAATGCTAACCAAGGCTTTCAGAATCGAGTCCGAGGAGAACCAGGACTCCCTCATGAAGGACGCCCTGTTACAGAGGTACTCCATCTTCCTGGACGGAGAACCAACTACACCGGCCAACGTCATCGAGCGAGCCGTGGATCTCCATGCTCTGAGAGTCATAGGTTCTTCGGGATACCAGAAGTGTATCAAGTATCTCTGGCGTGGATGGTTCTGTCAAGAAGAGGGTAACCCGACCAATTTCGTTCCCTACCACGACAAAGACAACACAGACTTCAGGATCCATTTCCATCCTGACCGTATGAGAACTCCTCTCTATCAGAACGCATGTCAGATATTCTTCTCGTTGATATACCTCCTCCTGTATACCATCGTCATCAATACTGTCAACTCTACCGGAGATCTGGACGTTGTTGAAGGAATCCTCTATGTCATGACTTTGTCCTATATCTGTGACGAGCTCACCAAGCTCTGGAAGGTTGGAAGGAACTACTTTGACTTCTGGAACGCATTCAACTCGACTCTTTACACCATCCTCGCGGTGTCATTCTTCCTCCGTGTCGCCGCGCTGACGCGATCGAGCTCCGTCAACGATGAACAGAGGAAAACACTCAACCAGCTGAGCTACAATTTCCTAGCCATGGCAGGCCCAATGTTTTGGATGCGTATGATGCTCTACCTCGATTCATTCAAATTCTTCGGCGCCATGTTCGTGGTGCTGAGAGTCATGATGAAGGAAAGCTTGATCTTCTTTGCCCTTCTTTTTGTCATTATCGGCGGGTTCTTCCAGGCGTTTTACGGAATGGCCCAGGCAGACGGCGAGCTCGCTCTTACCAGGGGTATCATACAAGGAATGGCCAACAGTGTCATGCAGAGCCCAGATTTCGGGGTATTCGAGGAACTAGCGTTCCCATTTGGTCTCGTTCTTTACTATTTGTTCAATTTCATTGTCATGATTGGTAAGTCGGTCGGCTCGTAGCACGCCCGGGGGTTGTTTTGCTGACGGGAAATAGTTTTGCTCAACATCTTGATTGCGCTCTACAACAGCGCTTATGAGGATATTGCCGGCAATGCTGTGGACGAGTACATGGCGATCTTCGCGCTGAAGACAATGCAGTTTGTTCGGGCACCGGACGAAAACGTCTTCATTCCTCGTGAGTTTTCCTATTGTTCTGCGGACCGCGCAGCGACTAACGGCGAGCCTAGCGTTCAACCTCCTCGAAATCATCTTTCTCGTCCTCCCCTTCGAGTGGTGGATGCCGCGCGAGTACTACGCCAAGCTAAACGAGGTCATCATGAGTATCATCTACTCACCACTTTTACTCATCATCGCGACGCTCGAGACCCGCGAGGCACGCCGGATCCGGTGGAATCGTCGCCAAGGAGAAGAGGATGACGATGTTGTCCAGGAGTGGGAGGACGTTGCCGAGGAAGTTGACTTTGACGTGGACGATACCTGGAGACAGGCCGTGCGGGACACCACCCCAGATCCGAATGCAGAGAACTGCACGTTGGAGATCATACAGCTGCGGGAGCAGATCAAGGAACTCACAGCTGTGGTTCATGCGTTCATCGAGAGAAAGGATCCGGCGGAGCACATGAGGGAGGAATCCAGGTCCAAACAAACTGACGGGGAGTAGGATCTATGACATAGATAGTCGTATTTGTTTCTGATATTGTCGAAGCGTTCTTGGTGCCTTTGTTGATATGATGGCCATTTCATCGTGGTTTTTTCAGTTGACTATGTGTCTTGATGTCTGCATTGTATGCCTCTCATACGTGACTCATAACATGAACTAATTCGTCCTTACAAACTCTGCGATTCATGAAGAGAGCTAAGCGTATTCAACTGTCATGCTGACATGTGTTTGTAAACTTCCCCTGAGCAAATGGATTACGTGGCTGTCCCTGAACCATATCCCCGCACTCCCCTTAAATCAACGACAGACCCTTCTCCAACTTTTCCTCCTTAGACATCAACACAGTCACTCTACTTTTGTAGCATGTGGTGTGTCATCAACCACAGACCCATGAAGGGCAGTCTTGCCAGTGGGAAAGTTTCCAGTGAACAGCTGGATTCGATCCAACAGCATGACTGACAACTCCCCCACCTTGCTGTATGCAGGAGAACACTTGGATACTGTCGCAGGATTCCCAACACTTTACACATTCAGTCCCGCAAATCGCGACAATCCTTTGATTGTTTTCATACCGGGCGGTGGCCATAATGCTCGCATCTCATATGGCGGCCATCCCGGAAGTCGCAGAGAGGACTTCCTGGCGCACTGGCTAAACGAACTGGGCTACGGCCTACTTGCCATCTCGTACCCGCTCCAGAGCCAGCCGGACGAGATCATGGCTGCGACAGCACCAGAATTCCGTATTCGGGATTGGAGTCTGCAAGCAGCGGAGGTCACGAAGATGGTGATCGAGAGGCATGGCCTGTCGCCCAAGGTCGTGCTTGTCGCTTGGAGTATGGGCGGCCGGGTAGTGGTTCCGTACACGCAAGCAGCAAAGGCACGGGGGCTAACCGTTGAGCTTTTCGTGGGTCTGGCGGCTGCTCCTGGACTCGCTGGTTCTCGGCTCACTCCCCCGGATATCAAAATGACGTCCGAAGGGTATGCTGCACTCGACAGGATGTCGAAGCTTTTCCTGGACCAGGTCCATAAGCAGAATCGGTTAAACTCCCGTGTCATTATTCCAGACGATGTTTATCTCCGCGGCTACTACGGACGCACGCCTGTCGGCTTGCTCGGCTTTGGCTTGAGCTATTCCCCGGAGCGTGGGTTTGTTGAAGATCGATATACCTCAACGGAAGATGCCGACGCGTACAACTTTCGTCAATGGCCTTTGATTTCTGCTCTGCACGGTGACAGCATTCTGGATGGACGGCATGTACTTGCGGACAAGGCCACCTGGGGATTCATGCAGGTGCAGCAGCTTGTGAGTACTCTCGAAGGCCGAGGCTATAGATCGCTGAGCCCGCAGCGCTGGGAGGAGGTTGTTAAACTGGCCCACTCACGGCCGGATAATATGTGCCGGCAGATTCATGGTAATCACTTTTTCTTCCTGGGCGAACAGGGCGCTCGTGAGACGGCGGCTGCCATTTTTGAACAGCTGAGAGAAGCTCGGATCTTCAGGTCGAAGCTCGACTCTCTCTTGTGTCATGATTCACCTTGACAGCATTTTTTGTTCGCCCCGGACATTTATTTACTGCAAGTCGCCTCTGCGTCAAATAGAGTATCTCTTTGATTGATCTGGTGACAAAGTCCTGGTCGAAGGAGTACTTAGTCTGTTTCAGTCTAGAGTCGCTACGTCGGGACTCTGCAGCTGGGTTTGTCTGCGAACAATTACGATACCTCAGGAATAGTTTGACAGTGGTCGTCAGATGCTGGCAGTAATGCAACGAAAAAGAGGAAAAAAGTTGCGGAGCAAAAAAGAAAGCCGAACGCGGGGGTCGAACCCGCAACCTTGAGATTAAGAGTCTCACGCTCTACCGATTGAGCTAGCCCGGCTGCTCTTGTTGGTAGGCAGTCCGATTTTGGATATATAAGGAAATTCTTAGCTATAAAGATTGATTAGATTGTGTGGTTACTCTCGATCAACTGATAAATAGTACCCTACTGCTAGAATGGTAGGAGTCTCATGTTACGGTATTGTATCATCGGCCAGTATGTAAATACTTTATCTGTGATAAGTATTTAGATTCCCTCGTTGGCTGTGCTTTCAGCTTCCGACAACATCAATTCTGAGTGGAACAGAAATATTGAGTCCAACCCTAAGTAGCTGTATTCATCTAATTCCAAGCCCTAGTCTTGTAGTCTACAAGCTACCGAGAAAAACGAGATCTACATCCTTGACGCCGAGTGAGCCTGTGTACATATATCTCACCAGCCCTATTTATCCTACAACGCACCCAATTGTTCGTACGCTCTGAAAATTCTCGGGGGTCGCTCGGCCATGGCAAGCACGGAGCCAGTGGCGCTGAACTTCGAATGGTCGAGAAAATCATAGCGCAAGGAAACAACCCGCGGGTATACTGCGGTATATATCACTGTACTACGCGTAGAATCACACTGACACTCACCATTAGGTACCGCGACAACCGGCCGGCTGCGCTGCGCCTACTTCGTCCCAGCCGTCAAAATAGCCCAGCTGCTAGCGGCCAGCTGCGACTAACGGTGTTCTTGGCCGATATCCACTCGTTCCTCGACAACCTAAAGCTTCGATTGAGCTGGTGGAGCGGCGGGTCGAATTCTATAGGTACACCATCACAGCTATGCTGCGCGCAGTGGGCGTTTCTACAGAGAAGCTCAAGTTTGTGTTGGGAAGCTCCTACCAGAGGAGCCCTGACTATATCTTGGATATGTACAGGCTTGGTTCGCTCATATCCGAACATGATGCGAAGCGAGCGGGTGCGGAGATCGTCAACCGAACTGATAATGCTCCCTTGAGTGGTCTTCTTTACTCCGTTCTTCAGGTGCTATATGAACAGTACTTGGATGTTGATGTTCAGTTCGGAGGTAGATCCTTCCCAGATTGAGGCGAATGAGCTAAGCTGTGTAGGTCTGGACCAGCGCAAGCTGTTCATCGCGGCGAAGGAGTGGTCGCCAAAGCTTGGATATAAACAGGTCTGCCTACCGCAATTGCTCTAGTATGATTTCTGTTAAAAGCTCCAGCGCGCTCATATCATGAACCCGATGGTTCCTGGTTTACATGGCGGTAAAATGAGCTCAAGCGAACCTGCTAAGGAAGTGCGTGGCTCGTGCGAGATATCTTGTGCTAAGGGTCAAAGACAGCAAATTGACCTCCTTATCCTCCCGAGGTCGTGAGCAAGAAAATCGATAATGCCATTGCGATACCCCAAGCTGTGGAGGTGAACGAAGGTCTGGCGTTTGCTGAGCATGTTCTGCTGCCGGCGTCGAGCTCGCGAGGAACGTCGAAAATTCCGCATAGACCGGGAACAAGGTGGTTTTGGAGCCTCTGGTTTATTCCTCGATTGACCAGATGCACGATGATTACCCGCAACGATGTGGTATGGCTTCTTCGTACTTAGTCCAGGATTGTACTAGCTGTTCTGACCGGTTCTATAGTTGACCCTCCCGGCTTCTCAAACTAGCCGTCGCTAAGGGATTGATTGCTCTACTAACGGCCTTGTTCAAGTTAACATGGTGCCCATCTCGAGTTAGGGAGAAAATCGAAAACGGGCCATTTTCCAGAAGCCAACTTAACGGTCAAGGTGTGGCTCACAGGAGGGCAGCCAGTGATGCTGTCCAACATTAGCCCAAATGATCCTGCCTAGACTGAAGGTTGAGACATACTTGAAAAGCTGGCAGATGTACCCATCGGGGACCTGCATGGAAGAAATCTGGTTGTCGCTAATGGAATCAGGCATATGTCCTTTGAGGACTGGATGCTTCTGTAAGATACTCACAGACTACTCAATTGTCCAGTAAAGGATATGCACTCCTCATCGACTGGGAGGACGGCACACTTTCGAAGGTGGAAACTAGCGCATACTCTCGTGCGACGCCTGCATTTGCAACAGACACTGAGAGAAGGAGGACAACAGGTGCAAAGAAGCGCATTTTGCTTATATTAAGTTTAATAATGACTATGATAGAGGTAGACAAGATTGAATTGGTCAGAATTAGGGTCTAGAGAAGAGAAACAGTATTTATTTTCCACAGCACTCTATTGTGGACGCAAATGGAGAGCTGAACATCTCCACTCAAGCTGCAGATACGGATTTCCTCGGCTGCAACAAACAACTTGTGACTGCTGGTGAGCTGAAGAAGCAAAGCAAATATGTCTGTGCAAACTCAGCCAGCCTCAGGACGTCTCGTTGTTTCCTTGGTGGTCAAGATCCCGTCTGAGAAACATGCTATTAACTAGGTGAGGCATCTGGACTAATGCGGATAAAGCAGGTCAAGGTGGCATATGAGCTGAAATGATCCCTACTGCTGTGAACAAAAAGGAGTAATTACAGCGACTTAATATTATGCTCTCTTATCCAATCAAGGCCAGTTTCTGCAAGTGCAGTCAGTGGAGGGGTTTGTCAACCCACATATATAAGGAGCCACATTATTCTGAACTGAGCTGGCATATCACATCAGTTTCCCTTGCATTAAGATACTCTGGCGGTCTGGCCCATCATGTCCAAACCTAATATTTTCTTTAATGATGTTGTCAAGGAAATTGGAAAACACGGTACTGCTAGTGGTACACCTAGTAAGAGAATTGTGGTTGCAGATTGTGGAATAATTTGAGCAGGAGGTTGGGTAGAGCTAGGTAGGCTCTTGCGCTTCGAGCATCTGGTAGACGGAGCTGTAAGCTTCGGCTTTCTCGACCAACGCATCTGCAGGGATATTAAAGTCCTCTTGGCAAAGCGCAGACCGAACTACTCCTCAATTTCACCCCAGGCGAGCCTTCTTAGCCATCAATATTTGTAGGATATCGTCCTTAGCGGCTGAATGAGGTCGAAGCACTACGGCTGTCGGCAATGGACTGGATGCTTCAAGCGCTTCAGCTCTTGCCCTCGCTCTTGGTCGAGGACCACTTGCTCTCCCGTCTGTCTCCAAAGCAGTGCATGACGGCCTCTTTCGGCAGGAAGGCTTTGATCGCTCGGCTTTTATGTACAAGCTACTCGAAGTAGCATGTTGACTCACTTGACGGTTGAGCTGTGGTGGCGATATTTGCTGACGGCACCCTTAAGGGCTTTCTAGACCGGTTTCATACGTCAAAATCACCTCCTTTTGAATGTTTAGTTACTGTGGTTGAGACTTAGACGGTTACTAGGGTTTATCAATTAGGCAAGGTCTGCTAGTTTTGAGAAGCGCTGAAATTTGCCATGCCCGAAACAATAGCGCCTTCAGAGCACCCGAAACAGGGCACCTTTCAGGAAGACCAGGTTGGCCACTGCTTAAGGCCAGATCATTACATTTTTACTGGAACAGTTTTCGCGTATTCACATTGCTTAAGACTGGCAGAATCTTCTTGGCTGCTTTTGGATCCCCTATCTCTTTCAAGAGCAGTCGTCGTTTCCGCTTAAGCAGAGACTGATAGTACCCTCTATAAGCTCGATCCTTGCGGTGATGGGGTGACAACTGACCACAAGAAAGCATGAGAAGAAGAATGCAGTCCCTTGTTATAGACCCTCGCTGCTTTTGGCAACTTGCAATGCCTGACAGTCAGAACTGTTGATGGCTACCACACTCTCCAGGAACTCTTCTTCCGAATCTGATAACTCTGGACACTCGATGGGCATCTTTCCCTTCCCATCTTCTCTAGTTGGGCCATATGGACCTAGATATTGAACAACTCTTGCAAGAATTTTGTCAGTGTCGTCCAGACATTGTGAGTCACTGTTGATCATGGCGTTCTTTGCATCTTGTTCCCACATGTCCAAAGCCGCACGTCTGGCCTGTATTTCCTTCAGTTCTCCAAGATATCTTCGCTCAAGGAAGTCTTTGTTGCGCTTGAGTTCTTCGATCACCATACTTAGTTCTCTGCGAAGCAAGGAGACCTTCTCCGAACGACTAGAGTCATTCAAAACTTCAAGAAAACGCTGTGCGTTTTCAGCCAGACGCTCTACACCTCCAGCAGTCTTTTGAAGTCGGTGGACGGCAGAGTGTCTCAATTCACAGAGAAGGAGGAATAATTCGCTCCTTTTATTTATGGTAGCCATCTCACCTAAATACTGGGGAAGAAGCTTAGTCCACTCAGTGAGTTCCCCTGCCTCTGGGCAGTCCCAGCCATTTCTTACCAAAAGCTGCGGGAAGTGGTTTTGAGCGTAGGCGAAACAAGCTTCTTCCACCAATCTTTGTATGCTTGTCGTGATGAGGTGTTGACTTCGGTAATGTATGTAGACTGGATAGAGAGATGGGATTAAATTATTAACACCAGTTTCTATCCCAGAGGCTGATGATGCTGGCTGTCAACAATTATCACAAAAATCCTTTCATAGGAGTACCAACCATCAATTTCATCACTTTCCTTGTTGGCTGGTCGCGCCTGGGATTGAATCGCGACTCCTTGTGAAGTCTTCCTCTCGGAGATTTCCCTCACTGCCTTAGCCTCGTCTCTTGCCGCCTCCGCCTCTGAAGCCTCTCGCTCAGCGCTCTGAGCAGGTGACACATCAAATAATTCGGGAAATCGGATCTTAGCTCTTAATGTTGAGTAGAATACTTGATCCTCAAGAAGTCTCTTAGCAACTTTACACGTGCGTTCAGTACTGTGTTCCCGGAGAATATCTGTCAGGGCAGGTTTGTTCTGTTGGAGCAAGGTCATCACAGGCTTCCGCTTTCGGATCTGGGAGTTAGAGCCACGAAAAATATGCTGGCAAGCCAGATAAACAATTCTGTCATCAGGGTCTCTCTGAGCCATTTTGAGGGTTTGGAGTTGCTCCTGAAGTGTGGAATGAATCGAGCTTTTTTAAAGTTGGGAGCGTGGTCAGTTTCCGCAAACAGCGAGCATGCCTTCGTAATATCTGTTTTCGCGTTTTCTTTTTTTAGATTATGCCGTCTTTGATATTGTTTTGCTCAACCTCTTCATCGGTGTCGGATCCTGTGGTTAGTAAAGTAATCAGCAAAAAGGGGAAGATACCAACTCACTTCGATACAAGCGATCAGCTGGTGAAGCATGCTGATTCGCATCCCGTTTGATCAAGGCCGGGAATCGAAGTAACCGATTGAAGGCCCGCCGGAGAAGACGATTTCGTTTCTGTCCAGCTGATCCGGGCGGTTCTGGTTGCTCGGTGACAGCCGGACGAACCACCGCTCTCGAAACGCTTCATTGCGCTCAACCTCATACTGCTGGATCTTGGGATAATTTCCCCGTCGGTTGGCTTTTGTTTGGCAATTTCTCTAGTAGAGAGGTCCTCAGTCCTTCACCAATATCTACGTAGGCCGTCAGCCATGTTACTGACACAAAAGATATATATTAGAAGATTTACGTCCAGGTAATCGAGTGTCCACCAGCGGTCTGCTGGAGGAAGCACCTCTGCTCCTGCCTGCACACGGTGTCGTTCGTGGAGCACCCGAAGCTGCCCACCCGCGAAGTTCGGGAATCTGATGGCCCAGTCGTTCGTCAGCAGGGCGTTCTGCAGCACAACAGCGAGGATGGATGGCGCCTTGGCCACAGCACCCAAGTCGCGCGAGCTCAGGGCGGCACCGCTCACCTACTAAAACAAAAAGGGCAATGGCCTTGGTGGCCGTAGTTTTCTGCTCGGTAGACGATCTGGGATCTAGTTAGTGATTAACTATGGTTCATATAATGAATGAGCTTAAGTATGGAGCTTTCGTGTTTAGCACTATCTTCTTTAATACTACGTGCAGTGATCGCTTTATAGTGGGGGATATAATCCAGCCGGAGGATAGACCTAGTATTCATCACGTGGTATCATGTGGAAGAAGTTAAGGATATTATATCCAGCATGAACCTCACCGTCCTCACATCACCACCTACTATCACTTCCACAGAAGACTATTATTCTAATACAGTACTGCCCATTTTTCAACCACTAGATCCTTTAATATCCATACTTACACTCCTCTGCAGAGCAGGAATGAAATATATTTCCAATACTTTGCCGTTTAGGGAATGCAATCATAATGTCGTCGAGTCAAAAAGGGCCGCCCTCCTCGCCATGCACTCCTCCGTTGAGCGCATCCAACCCAGTCAATAGCAATTTACTTAATCGGTGGTTGACGCTTCTAGCGATCAGAGTTCTTGATCGTTTTCGACATCGAGAAGGGAATGTTCTCATGGTGACGGATGTAATATGCGTCAAATATGGTCGCCGCGTGCATTTGTCTGAAGCATCAACAATGCATTTCATATGGCAACATACATCTATCCCAGTGCCAAAAGCCTTATGTGCATTCACTCATTCTGGTCGTACTTACATTGTGATGGAAAGGATTAAGGGAGACATCATTGGCAGTGGCTGGGTAAGACGAAGCGAAGATTCAAAGGCAAAACTTCTTTCACAATTAGCAAGACACATCCACGAGATGCGTGACCTTCAGCCCCAGAAGGCATGGGGGTGGCTTCGGTTGATGGAGGACCGCTTTTTGACTGCCGTGTTCCTGGGCCTTCCTTGCGCTTCGGTCCCTTTGCTACAACCCAGGATTTCCATCGGCATTTACGCAGGGGCATGGAATTTGATCTAAGACTGGGCCCTGAAATCCAGGAACTTATCAAACAACAACAAAGCAAGACTTGGCCTTTGGTATTTACACATGGTGACCTTAGCAGTCTCAACATCCTCGTTCGCCAAGATGATATCGTTGGTATCATTGATTGGGAAACCTCTGGTTGGTATCCATCATATTGGGAATATACTTCTGCCCACCAGGTCAACCCACAGAACTCTTTTTGGGTGCATGAGATTGACAAATTCCTACAAGCAATGCCTGAAGAACTGGCTATGGAACGGATCCGTCAAAAGCACTTTGGAGATATCTAAGTGAACCTGGCTGGCATTGCCGAATAGGGGTATTCCGCAAAATTTCGACTAGACGATTCCCATCTGCTACCTTTCCCATCATGATACGAACAAGCAACATGCTAGTAGGGGTAGGTAGACACTCGCGCTCCTCAAAGAACCATTCAGACCCCCTCCCAGCGTCGGCATCTCCTTTGCATGGTAACGGACACCATGTATGTCGATTGCTCTAGGGCCTACAGACCTGATTGTTAGGGGATCACCACGTTTCATACTGAAAGAATATTATAGTGGCCTTTGATTATGGAGCAATTGAGCCGCTGACTGTATCCTGGTGATGAAACAAAAATATGGTCATTATTTCATGACTTGGTAGATGTGCAAATCACCCGCTGCTAACAAAGGTAGGTAGCAAAAGAATATCAAGCTATATTTTTGTACGACCAGATTGGAGATACTCATTGATATGGGAGTGCTCATATGCCATTTAATGCATCTCCCTTTCAACCAGAGCAGCCGGGCTAGCTCAATCGGTAGAGCGTGAGACTCTTAATCTCAAGGTTGCGGGTTCGACCCCCGCGTTCGGCTTTCTTTTTGCTTTTCTGCAGTCCGTCAGCGGAGCGAAGTTTTGGCTGGAGAGTGAATTGAAGCCATTAATTTAGTCCATTTTCTTTTACTTATTATTGTCCATGAGAACAGTTGTGGTCCTGTTCTACATCCCACACTCTGCCCACCTCGTAGGTGTTACTGCTCCATGCTACTTACTAGCCGTTATGACTCGTGGCATGCCGTGCCCTAACTTAACTACTCAGCTGCAGGTAGCTCGAAGTGTACAAAAAGTTTCTAAAGCTCATAAAAAACTTACCGCTAGACTATGTTAAAATATGGATACTAAATAGTATATATATGTAGCATCAGGCCATATGAATAAGAATGTGGAGGGTAATCATCATAAGTATATGTATGGCCTCGAATTCATACTAAGGCCATTCCTGTTTGTACAGTTCTTCACATTCGTCTCACCCAGCCAGATGCGCTCCTCAGACTGGGGGATGTGATCGCGGACAGCCTGCTTGAGGAAATCGCGGTACTGGCGCGTGCGGTGTAATGTGCCATTCAGATGCTGGGTCTCAACATGTGCTAGTAGCTTGAGGCTGATTGCCGAGGTGGCGCATCGGATGCCCTCGCGGAAAAGACCGCCGGCTGTAGCCATCAGGCGGGCAAGGGCTGCGTCGAGCGGAAGAGCGGGTTGGTGCGGTCCTCGTTGCTGAACGAGAGTGCAGCGGGATTATGAAGCGACGGATTGGGTAGTCTAGGAGATTCCGGTGGAAGGGGGTAGATCCATTGCCGTCCTTTATTTAGTGGCTGCATGCCTGGAGGGCGTCGATCAGCTCAGAGCTTAGCAAGAGGACTTGGTCGTAGGAGATTTCGGAGTGGAGGCTGTTGAGGAGCTGGACGATCCGGAGGCGGACGGGCAGCAATTCAATGAGGGCAAGCTGAACGGATGTAGCTGTGAAGGTGTCCTTTGGGTACCGCTGGAGCTCTGTCATTGGCTTGAGCTCATCATCATCATTGATGTTGCAGGGTGGCTCAGTATCAAATTTTTTAAAGGAGATCCTTAGCAGCATCCACAAGTCCAGGGACGCCTGGATGGCAGATCTAAGAATCATATACCAAAGCCTCCAGCGCAGTTCAGCTTGCAGTACTGATATAGCTGGTAGGTGTTTAGGGTCCCAGTGTAACTAAGTTGCATGGCGCTGTGGACAAGCAATCTAATAGAGATCTATATTGTATCATCACTAATAGAGAAGATTTGCCAGGCCAGGATACTCAAGCAGTAGATTTGCAGGCCAGAGATGTCCAGGCAATCCTTTTCCAGCGGCCTGGAAAGCCAGGTCTGAGCAGTGTATATCCATTGTTAAACCAAGTCAATATTATGAAGTGGCTGCAGCTCTGTCTCCATGGTCGTATAGACTTAATCCTATGCCAATGATGAGAAGAACTTTAAGGCATAGACTAGGAGCTGCCCCATCGGGGTTGTCCCAATATCTTTGGTACTCGAGCCAAAAGGTAGGGGCGTGAAGTATCTGATGCCTGCAGTCTCTCAGAGTTAGTATCCTCCTGGTCTCCCTCGGAGATATACATACGTCAATTTAAATGATGTCAAGTAGAGATTAGCCATGGTATCAGCCATCTTCTGGGAAAGCGGCGCAAATTAGAAGCCCAGCAAAGGGAGACCTCTAGTAGGTTAGCCGGTCTTGATGCTCCTCGCCCTATTCTTACATTTCCAGAGCAAGTCACCAGCCTAGGAGATCAGTGCTGAGGCTTCGGGACCTTGAAACAAGTCGTCTTTGCTATGCTTACCCATGATCTCGCTCTAACAGGCGATGATGGCGGCGAATTCATTAGCCGCGCCCATCCATCGACTCCTGCCCCCCCTTCTGGTGCCAGTTCCTCACAGTAACAAAGCGCGCCTTCCAACACACCTGGCGCACCCCGTTATTTATCTACTCTAAACTGCTCCTCTGCACTGCTACCAGCCTGTTCATCAGCCTGGTCTTCCTCAACTCCCCACTAAGCATCCAGGGCTTACAAAACCAGATATTCACTATTTTCAAGCTGATGAGCATTGTGGGCCGGCTGGTTGATTAGCAATTCCTGCACTTCATTACGCAGCGTTCGCTCTACAAGGCCCGCAAGAGACCCTCCAAAACATACAGCTGGAAAGTGTTTATGCTTGCCTGAATCCTGGTCGAGATCCCCTGGTGCACCCTCTCTTTGGTATTTATATGGTTGCTGTTTTACTTTCCCATTGGTGTCTACCAAAACACCAGCACTGCTGAGCAGGGCCCTGAGCAGGCTGCAGGGGTGTGGCTCCTCTTCTAGGTATTCCTAGTCTGGGTGTTAATGTTCACGCACTTATGTAGCTTATTTGCTGGCTCTGCTAATAACAGCAGCAATATTACTAACTTCTGTTTTATCCTAGCCTTCTTCTTCTGCAGTGTCCTGGCCTTGCTGGACCAGATACCCTGCTTCTAGATTTTCCTATATTAAGCCTCCCTACTCTTGTACTACGTCTCTGCTGTCCTCTTGACAGGACTGGCAAATGTAAATATGATGTGCACTAGTAGTGAGTTTACCACGTTCAACCTGCCTGCAGGTAAAATATGTGGTAAGTACATAGCAGAGCATATTACGGCGGCGGGTGGCTACCTGCTCGATGGGAATGTCACAAGCAATTGCCAGTTCTGCAAGGTCAAGGAGACAAATGTGTATCTGGCGGGGATTCATGCGAACTATGGGACCAGGGGGCGCAATTTTGGTATCATGTGGGTGTACATTGCTTTTAATGTTGTGGCGACGTTGTTCTTGTACTGGGTTGCGAGGGCGCCAAAGGCGAGGAAGTTGGTATAGGCATTTGCCTTCTGTTATCAGCTACCATGGTAATGCAGTTCGTGGCCCACGCCAGGAGGTTTACGTGGATATTAGTCTATCTAGTTTCGAATTGAGAATCTCATCTCTGGAAGGACGGTTATCACAGTAGGGCCAGAATCCACAATAATCACCTGTTGCAGCCTGCAGCTATTTATTTTTTATCTGGAGAAGATATATTGTTTTGACTCAGCTCTAGGAACTAGTTTATTTACGGACGGGCCCTCTATCCTAGACTTGTGAATGCGCATGGCATGCCCCATGTTTGCGTCCATGGTGATGACGGTGTCCCCGATGACCGGGGTTCTGGCCGGCTTTGGTAGGACGCGGGGTGGGCAAGGGGTCTGGAGTAGCTGCAGGAGTACTCGTGCCTGGAGAAGAGGGGGAAGGAGACGACTGAGGCGAAGGAGTACTGCTAACGGCACTCGTAGATGCGGCCGCTGCCGAAGTCGACTTTCCGCCAGAGGATACCGCGGGAATCGAACCAGGCGTACTCCACGTTAGCGGCGTCGAGGTGGCTTTACCAGCCGACGGGGAAGCAATGAGTGTGTTTGCGCCCGAATCTTGAGCCGCGACATCTTTCTCATCCAGATGATGCAGCAACGACCCCCAGCCAAGGCCATCAAAATGACCGGATCCCTCGCCCCAGGACCCTGCGCCCCCTTCTGCGCCCCATAATAGTTCAGAGACTCGTTGAGGAACTTAGTCGTCCAGGGCGCATCCATCCCCTTGATCATCACGTAGTGGCTATACAGTAGTTCCCAGGTAGGCCGCATCGCGCCGCGCGACGCACTGCTGATTTCCGTGAAGCTGACGATGCCGTTGGCGTAGGGCACGAAGGGGACGTCGTGGCCTAGGTTATACCGCGCCCAGTACTCAATCCTAAGATCGTCAGTTGGAAGTTAAAAGTGTAAAAGGGACTGGGACTGGGACTGACCCTTTCAAAATACGACTATCATTCAACGCAAACAAATCCTCCCCCTGGTTCCAGGCCTGCTGCCCCACCACCGCCAGCAACTGAACATCCAGCGCTGAGTGGCCCTGGTCGCGACCGGCCTCCTGGCCCTGGCCGAGCAGCGTCCCTGTGCCAGGCTCCTCAACAATATCCGTGATGGCATTATGAATGGAGCCGGTTCCCTCCCCCTCCTTGAAATAATCCACCGCAAAGTCCCAGACCGTCTGGTTGTCTGTCAAGACACCCATGGCCATGGCAGAAGCGATATTGCACAGCTCCCAGTTTGCGAAGAAGTGGAGGACATTATGCTGCGATGGCTCCTCATGGTGCAGCCACTTGTAGTGCATCGGGATGAAGATCTTATTGGCCATATCGATCACAGACGGAAGGACCTTCGTCGCGAAAGGCTCATAGTCGCGGAGCAGCTCGGCGGCGTTGGCAAGCTGGTACCCCTGCAGTCCGGCTGTCAGGTACTTGTCATCGCCGCCGCCGAGGGCGGTTAGCGTGGTGGCCCAGGCATGGAGAATGTTGCTCGCTGTATCGGCGAAGGTAGTATTGGACGAGATCTTCCAGCGCACAGCAAGATTGAATGCGGCGGCGACGTCGTGCCACAGGTCCTCTGCGTTTGCGGTGTTGCCGTCCCAGTCGCTACGGTAAACGACGCTGGCTGGTGAAGGAGTGTAGCTGGCGTCGGAGAGACGGACACGGGTTAGAACATTCCAGGAGGTGGTCCATGGGTCTGCGTTTGCTTTGATCTTTTGCTGTGCGCGGGTGATGTCGCTGTCTGTGACGAGGAGTCCAGGGTGGACGAAGCTGGAGGCAAGAGGGAGCAACGCAACAAAGAAAGACAGATTAAGATGCATTGTGAAATGAATGACAGTAGTAGGAAAAGAAAGAACCAGCTATGAAGAACAGAAGCTAAACAAAAGAGTGTGGTTGAAGAGAAAACAGGTCGACTGGAAAAGAACGTAACGCCAAAGGCCAGTCATTGGGATGCCTGTGATTTATTACTCTGGAGTAGATAGACGCCGATAAAATAACCAAGTGATTAATTAATTGTAGTTCTTACTCTCATACAAGCTATTCAGGAGCATGCGTCAATCGTCAACACGTGGGGAGATGAGCAAGGATATATTCAAATCAACCTGAAACACAGCTCCCGTTTCAACACGGCCCATTTGGAACTAGAATCTAGGGTTACCGGGCATTCCACCAATAAACACGCCGACAGGTCTAAGAAGGATCTGAGCGGGATCTCAGTGTCGAACTGTCGGAGATGAACCGAAGCTATTCTCACTAGATGGAACTTAAACTATGCCCTAGCTTTGCATTCCCATACTTGGCCCTAGCCCGTAAACCACCGTCTATATTACTAGGCCCACTCAAATGTTGCTAGGACCTCATCGAGATTATTGTACTTAAACTAAACGAGTCTGTGATACTCTCTGTAATAACTTAAGGTTGTGGTGCAATATCCACATATAAAAGAGAGCATTAAGACCATAGCATACACACGATTCTATGAAAAAGACACTAAAGTCTTACAATAAAGCATAGATCAAGGATGCAATACTAACAGGAATTATAAGTACTTCAATTAAATAAGTTGCTGAGAATAAACAGTAGTATGAGGAAACCTTAAAGAAACTAGTATCAGTAAGACCAGTCTCATGGAATGCAGATATAGCTCTGTAGCTAATAACTAGTCATGCTAGTAGTCATACAGCTGGAGCTTACCTTCTCACAAAGGATCCTTATAATATCCTGCGGCTAAGTCTTCCAGCCTGGAGAAACTTCGACTTCCTGATGAATAGCAAGGTATAATGGAGCTGTGAATAACCTTAGGGGTACTTAATAAAGACAAGGATAAGAAAGTTACTCTTGAGTCCTTGACAAGATATACTAATATATCACACAAATATTGCTTTATCTCAACTACAAGTCTCTGTGGAAGGTGAGCCTAATATAGTGGCGGCTCGCGTTCTTAACACCTCCAAGGATGATCCTAATAAGTCAAAGGGGAAAGGATTCTTCCGCATCATCGCTATCAGAACCAAAGGTAGCGGGCTCGAGCTCATAGACAAGACTCTCCTAGCAGGGTAGACCAGGTAGAGTCGCCTTTCTGTCCGTGCCGGAAAAATAATATGGACACGAGCGACCAGAAACCGTAGGACACAAGACGATATTATTCCTGAACGACAGGTTCTCTGGTTCCAGCATCCCTTAGTTTCTCAGACATCCGCCCATATCCCACAGATACTTTGCTAGTACAAATCTGGTAGTTCAGGACTCTGTTCTTTTGTGATCATTATAGGAACCGGACAGATTACTCAGGTATGAAATTATTTTGTACGGAGCATCTGGTCTGCGAAAAATACTCAGAATGCCATTTCAGGTAGCTCTATAACAAAAGCACATTGCTTCTTGATCAGATCAGAAAGACAGAAAGCCAAAGCAGCGAACATCGCTCCCGCATTTGCGTGACGGCCAGGGAAAACCAAGGTTTGGAAAAAAACCCTCGCCGGAGCAGTACAAATGTCAAGATCAACGCAATTCACGCAGGCTGTCCATCAATGCCTCTTGCAACTGAGTAGCCTCAACCCGGCGCTTACTGACCCTAGGTGACTCAGCAGCCAAGCAGACGAGATCTTCATCCGAAAAGCTACTGACAGTCATCGGATTGAATACCGTTGGAAGGTTCGTGAGAATATGTCTCTCGATAACTTGGCGACAGACATTGTCGACAAAAGTTTTCATAGCAACCTAGCATATTGTCAATATACGTGGATCCGAATACCCAATGGAAAGCGAACCTTGTAGTAGGCATCCAAGTCTATTTGCGCCTCGTAGCATGCCCGCTCTTCCATATCAACGATGATGTGATGATTTTGGAGAGACGCCACAAGCCGACTGATCTCATCAGACGAGTTGCTTACATGAAAGCGACCCTTCCAGTCTCCGTTAATTGCATTATTGAGCGATGTGCCAAGATCTTGCCTCGAACGGTTGTTACGCGCCTTTTGGACATTGTCCGTATAATAATGGTTGTATGTGATAGGACAACCAGCCTCATCATCTAGCAACTTGCTCAGTTCATGGAAGGCGCAGTCCGCATTATCATCCAATTTTGCGGTGATCATAGGAGAAATGCTTTCCCGAGCATTGGTATCTTTTATCACGAATGCACACGCAGACTGAATAAACCGACACACGAGATCTGTGATCGCATTGACATGGTCGCGAGCAATGTCACCCCAACGAGATGACTGCTCGTGGAATAGTTCACCGAGCAATGCATGGTTATAATTGCCGGGAAGTTCTCGGCCACGGGTGCGGTTATATATCTGCAGCGGTTAGCTTCCTGTTATTGGGACATGCCTATGACCTCACCTTCTTGATCCACGCCGACATTTGCTCTTTGGTCACTAAGATCTGGCCGGTCTCCGTCTCAGTATCTTCCGGATGCTCAGCTGAAACAACTTTGCGTTTCTGTCCATGTTGTCTCATGTAGTTGGCAAATCTCGCATTCTCCGCATGGATTGCGGCCCTAAGCCGGTGACAGTCTCTCTCATCATTGATTTCGTGGAAGAAGCCGTCTCGGTTACCATATATCCCTTCAACTCCAGCCTTCACGAGATTCTGGAAGTCTGTCGCAATGCGAGTCAGGTACATACGTATCTGCGCAGCCGAAGTGCGCGGAGTCCCAAGGTCCATGAGTTCCTTGTTGATCTCATTCAGCAGCTGAGCCACATCCATTCGAACCTTCGGTAATTCGCGTTCAATATGCCGATCAAGGAGGTCTTGCATGAAGCTTCGAAGGTTGTCTATGCCGACACGTGAAGGATCGAGTCCAAGTTTGTTCCAAGGTGGATGTGCGAAAAATTCCGCCTCCATCTTCCGACGCTCAGCCATAGTCATGCCCTTCTCCAAATCAATAGGCCGAGGGTTCTTGACAAGGAAGAATCCAAGTTTCAGTTTCGTTCTATCAGCATTGTTGGCTAATTTTGCAATACGTCCTTCGGTGCCGTCATTGATGAGATCAGGTTTGGTAATGATTCCAACAGTCCGAAACCCGTCCTTGTCGAAACGACGAGCACGTTGGATGATACTCTGCGTATCCACGTCGCTGCTTGCGGGGACCACAGCAAGGATGATCGACCGCGAGTTCTCCAGATATGAGTTCACCAGATCGCCGACAAGCTGCACGTCGTCGTCATTTTCAGAGACAGAAATCAGCCCAGGCAGGTCAACAAGGGTCAGATGCAAGCCAGTGTCCCCGACAATCTCCAAGCGAAGTACATCAGCGGCAAAACTCGGCGCATCAGCAAAGTCATTCAACCCTTGTACGCCCATCAGTCTTGCGGCTTCAGCGATAATGCCGGGCAAATGCGCTAGGTCGTTGACCTCGCGGCGGAAGGCCTTCAACTTTGCCTTTTCATCTTCCGTGCGGGCAATATGAGGGATGATGGTGGCGGTGTTTCGACGATGTTTTGGCTCGTGGCGAAGGATGATTTCTGTAGCAAACCGAGTACAAACTCCGTCCTGGCGAGGAAACGGGATTCCACTTATTCCTTCCAAAACAGAGCTTTTGCCTGCCGATTGATCGCCACAGACAACCAGCTGAGGAAGCGCGATGTGGTCCCCAACCCCGTTGGCGCGAATCCGGTCAACTTGGTTGAGCCGTTCAGACGTTCTGGATGACACGAGGCCAAGTCCGCTGCGGACCTGACCACTGTCCAGCTGAATCCAGTCCTTTTCTGGTGGAGTATCCATAGTGATAGATACCCGTGGTTATGCGTTGAAAAGGTCCTAAAGAGAAAAAGACTGGGAAAGAATATAAAAAGGGACCTGGCTCTTTATAGACGCGCTGGACGGCAGTCGTGTCCCAGCTCGACTTGGCCTTAGGGTCATCCAGAACGTCTGAACGATTCAGTCAAGTTGGCCGCATATCAAGGGGGGCTGGGGTCCACGGACTGCAAACGATGAATGAAAGAGGCTTGCGGAAGAATGAAGGGGACCTCCTATTTATATGCGAAAGGACAATAACTGGTTTTTCCACAGCGACCTCTTTCCTTGGGTGTTGGCCCGGCAATCGGAAGTACTCGAAGACCTTACGCAAGGGAGATACAAGATAATGATTTACCGCAACCTATACTCTTACTATAGCATTCTTCCGGAACCTCCAATCTGTGGAGGTAGTCTCCGCCATTCCCCTTACCTGTGAGCACGCCACATTTAAGCAACCCTAGTTCATTCGTCCTTCGAGTGAATTTAATGCAAGGAACAGCAGATATGTCCCAGAGTTCGGGGTAACCACTTGTTTCCACCCCTGGCATTCCAACTTGTCAGCCCGCGGTTTGTTGTTCTGGACTAGGAATGATATTGGATCCATGAAACGAGGCACAGGTCTGGCTGACTATATTGCTCGATGATCTAGGCGTCTCTTTATAGTGTTAATTACTGAAATTACACTCGGGAAAGAATTAGCCTTAGCCCATTAAGTAGCAAGGGTTGTAACAGTAGTGTCAACAGTTCCACTGGGCTTGGGGTCTAAGCCATGTCAATCAGATCCCTTGCCTCGTAATCGAGGTGGTAACGCAATTAGCAAGAGCGAGCCAGCCACATAGAAATCCCGTTAGGCGGGAAAAAAGGTCAATGTCTGCCTTCCATCGCATGTTGCGGCCAGTGTCCTTTCAGAAAGGTTTAGCTAACCGCTCCCTCCTATATAGACAACTCTACTAATAGTTTACTGAATTCCCCCAGATATTCATAGAGTTTGATATTGTGTGGGTAATTTATCGTCTACAACCTCACTCTAGTTCAATATAGACAGCTTGAAACAATCCGCACATCCATACCAATCCACCGATCCATACTTTGGTTGCATTAGGTAAAATCTCAGCCAGTTACACCAAATTCCCAGCGCCTACACAGCAGTCGGCTCCTCCAACGTCAAACTTCTCGGCTGCTCCAGAATAATCAACGGTCCGGCAACGGCACTCTCCTCTGTGGGCGCATCCTGCCGATCCGCAATAGTAACCATGATAATACTAGATTCGGGATCAACCCTTTCCGGAATCGTCGAGCTATTCGTCTTCCGATCAAACGGTACGCTGACGGTATTCAGCCCATGATAAAACACCGCATAGTGCTTGTTTTCGTCCTCGAACCGCGGCTGGTTGTCTGGATTCGAAAACACAAAATAAATCATCGATCCCGGCTGCGCGGTCGTCCCCTTCTTGCTGAACGCTAGCAATGGTAGACCTGGCGGGGATTGGGATAGACGGGGTTCATCTTGGGGACAAGAGCCGGGGACGACGAAGGCGTTATTCGGGTGTAGTTGGTCCGAGGGGTGTCTGCTTTCCTGTATAGGTTGTGAGCAGGTATAACTCCCCAGGTAAAGCATCCTCCGCGGACTGTAGGGAGTTTTTATTTGGTGGATGTGGTTGGTAGTGTAAGACATGGAAGGACGGATGCCGCACTGGCGACGAAGAGGGGTCGACAGATGCATGTTATAACCTTAAGAACTCGATGTTATATCTGAAGTGATAATGTCTGCAGTAGGTGTCTTGAAGATAAAATGTCATTGCTGAATGAGATTGCCATTGGTCGACAGCGAGCCTTTTATATTGCTTGAAAATCGTCTCCTGACGCCGTCACAAGGCTGCAGTGAATCGATCAACCAAACAGTACGGACGTCGCCACAGCCTCCCCCCGATGAGGAAGATTCTGCGAGCTAGTAAAGCAAAGATCATCTGTGATGACATCCTTGAAGCCGATGCAATGGGCGGCCTAATTAGCGGACTGTACGGAATATGTCCTGGTGGATCCTTATTGTTCGAACAAGTGAAAGAAATGACCAATGGTGTTGAAGACAGCAACGCCAAGCTTTACACTCAGATACGCTAAGCTGCATCGGGCTCATTGCGCGAGATTGGGTCCGTAGCTGATTGGCCGGTCTTATGCAAGTCAGATCCACCGGGCCTGCAGATCGCTCGCTAATTCAGCCCAAAAGGGAAAATGATTTAGGTAGACACATTCCTCACCCGGGGCATATTCTCACGCCGACCGATCTCGAATCCGTGGATGTCAGCAGTCACCGTCGTAATCTTCCCCATCTACCTGGCTTCGTCCGACTCGGGCTCAAGCTTCCGATATGCGACATTCAGAGGGAACAATAGCATGAATGCCCCGGAGTTCCTCTGCAGGCAGTGGAGATGGTAATCCACCGTCCTACACACTTCGACTGCAATGTCCTTCCTGTTACTTTGTATTGGAAGGAGGACTTCGCTTTGAATTTGCCATAGAGGAATGAGACTCGCCCAGGTTCAGCCCGAGTCCTTCCGCTGCTTTGAGCACGATAAGCAGCACCGAATCGTACACAATCAACTCGTTTGCGCGGTAGGGGTGGGTGAACCAAATGACTGTCTGGAAAGGGCTGGAAGGCAAGCCATCAGAACATGAATCGCTTGACGGAATGAAGAACGCGGCGTCTGGGTTATCTTCCTGCCATTTACATCGCCGGGAGTAAAGGATTTCCAGCGTTGATAGTGCGTAGGCAGCTAATAAGAATGGTAATTTTCTTTTTATATATTAATAATACCTAGTATAGCCTCAAAATGATGATTTTGATGAGAAATCTATAGTTATGGTGCGGCGCACCCACTCTGGTGTGGCTGGAGTGGGTGAGTATGGCATGGATACGGACTACTAGATAACTGAACTAAACTGTCTTTGGACGCCGCCAGAGATGGTTTGTATGTGAGTCACTTGTTATAAAGTGAACAACCACTGTCCTGTTGTTCTCCTCGCACAGAAATGCTTACCCAACATAAACATACACATACACAATGGATACACTTCGCAATTCTTGGCGCTCCGACAATCTCGTTTACCGCAGCATCGAGGAAAACGACGAAGACTTTGCGTTTATCAAGTCCCTTCGGTCCGACCCAGTCAACCTAGGACTTTCCACCAGGGGCATGGTGCGACCTCCAACCGCAAAAGCTACCAAAGAATACATGCAGTATTTCCCGAAGAATATCCTCGCTGTGATGATATGTCTGCCCCCACATCCCCTACAAACCGAAGAACAAACCGATCCAGACCAGACCCAAAACGAAACCCGGGCGCTGCCAAAAGCCACCCCCATAGGTTTCTTGGCGTTATTCGACCCCATCACCGAAGCCGCTGGCATCCACCGTAATGCCTTTCTATGTATCTCCCTGGCAGAGCACTACCGCGGCAAAGGCTACGGGACCGAGGCTATCAACTTCGCACTAGATTTTGCCTTTCGGTACGCGAATTTGCATCGCGTTGCCCTGGAGGTGTTCTCGTATAACGAGAAAGCGTTACGGGTGTATCGGAAGGTGGGGTTTGTGGTTGAGGGACGCAAAAGGGAGGATCATTTCTTTGATGGCGTATATCATGATACGCTGATGATGGGGATTTTGAAAAAGGAGTGGGGTCTCTTGAGAGGGAATAAGGTAGATGCAATTCACTCAGCCTAAGATTTAAGATTGGGACCTGGTAAGGACTGCTTGATGTATTATCACGTGAGTTACGAGGCTGGTTGAAATAGTTTGGTAAGTTTTGATAAAGAAAATAAAACGCGTTCAGCGGATATGACAAATCGATGCTGATTAACTAGTTAACAGGTTTAGGACCTGAGGGCTCGGCTCTCTGACATGCAGTTCTGCACATGTGCAGGAATGTTGAGGAGGAGTCTATCAAAAGTTCTGTAAAGTTTACTAGATACACGATTGATTATATTATGTGATTAGAAGGCGAAATAACTAGTTATATGTTTGGGATGCGTGCTCCAGAGTTAAATATCGCGAATACCGGCCACCCACTAAGGAGATGCCAAGGATTACCTGAAGTCAATTGGATACCCACATACCCGCATACCTGCACTTCTCACTGAGCTGCGAACCAACTATTAGCCACAAACCTAGTACATAACATGAGTCCTATATTAAGGTTATAGAGTAGATAACCTGTATAATCTTTACTAGCTTAGTCGCTAGTTTCTTGGCAGTCCGCATTTGTATCAGCCTCCAGTGGTGGAGTTTAAGGCCATCTCCGTAGAGCAATTCGACGTTCTGGGGCGTTTCACTCGTCTCTAGGCTCATTGGATCAATAACAAAATCTTTCTCATTCATCAGAACCCTGCTTTCCCTCCATATATGGCTCTGGGATATTCTCGCCGCATTACCTGTAGTGCTGGCTATCATTGGGCACAAATATAGCCACCTGGGCCAGCAAACAAGATCATAAACCAGGCGAGAACAATGCTAAAAGAGAAAAAAAGTAAAGGTAAACAGCGCCTTAAGTAGCGCAGATTCGACAAAACACAAGGATCATAAAGAGAATGTAGCAAAGGACTGCGTTCGACGGAGAAGTTTTTAAGCATGTGCCCAAATACAGGACAGTAAATAAGACATTGGCAGTCCGATCTACCCAATCACTGGGCAATTCTATTTTAAGCAGAAGCACGGGTCGGAGATAATGGACCTGTGTACACAAGATAATGGGGTCACGCGAGACTTCAGAACAGCTCAAGTGACCTGTGTACACGAGATAATGGTGTGCAGACGAGATAATGAAGGCGTAACTTCCCTAGTGCATTATGTCAGTGAATATGAAACGGCATCTTCATGCGCTCCTCAACATAAGCACAATCGTCAGCGAATGGACTAGATTCTTTTGGCGCTAACTAGAGGGTTGGGTAGCCGCGCGCCAAGCGCAAAACAACAGGCAGCGGTAATATTGAAATGACCTTCGAAAAAGATATGTCCTGAATAGAAAGCGTTGCAGCCTTCCAGCCTTGCACATGGTAAATGGAGGACATATGCAATTATCCACACCCAAACCCACACGCCATCTGACGCAAAACAGCCACGGCGCCAACTTCAGCTAATGAGATATGCATTGTGCGGCATTATCGAAACTGAGAGCTGGTATGTTGGACTCGTGGCTACTCTCATGAGCATTTATTCTGGCACTTCCAACTTCAACTTCACTAGAAGAAGGTATAAGATCTTGCTGCCAACGTCTAAAATAGCAGACCCTTTAAGCATTGCCACCTCACTGCTGTCTGTTACATCAGCCACTATTCAAACAACAAAGTCACTCTATGACACCGTCCAACAATTTAACAATCAGAACAAATCTCTACATAGGCTCCAAGATGAGCTTGAGGAGCTCACCAATATTTTATTCGCTTTAACAGAGGTGACTAATGCTGAGACCTCAATGTCAGCACTTCTTCAAGCTCCTATTCATCAATACAGCCAAATATGCCGCGAGTTCGAACAATCATTAAAAGCCTTCAGTGGGAAATCGAAGACAGGTTCTCGAGATTGGGCAAAAATGGAGTTCATGAGGGGAGATATCAATAAGTTTATACACACTATTGCAGCGTATAAGTTAACTATCTCAGTCGCGCTAGGCACTTTTACTATGTTAGCCATAATTTTTCATCTATATTAGTCTCTGCTGACATCTACACATCAGGAATACCTCAATAGTCTCCCATCAAGTCCTTCAAGAGTATAATGAGATGATCAAGGACACAGCATATAACCTTAAGGTCCATTTACAGCAACTCAATGAGAAAATTGCGCGTCTTACCAGCAAAGTTACCAGCTTAGGTAAAAGGATAGATCTAAACGACGAGCTACATGCGACCCAAAAATATCTTGGTATTTGCAAAGACGCGAGATCTTATACAGAAGCTCTGACAGATCAGAAAGACTCATCTGATGACATGTCTAATCCAGCATCTGTAATATTTTCAGTGCCAAGTATACTGTCTACTGCAGCTACCACAAACAACTCCCTCACTCAAAATGAAATGAAGATGGCTACTGATGAGCTTGTCAGAATCCTTCTAGGAGACAAAGAACTATATGCTCTGTACAAAGCAGCTATCAATGACAAACACATAGGTTTAGATCAGTTCATTCAGAACTTTGAAAAATTACTAAAAAAATTCTCACTGAACCTGAAGGAGGAAAGTCAGGAGGCACTTCATACTAAGTTAGCAAACTTTGTCTCATTAAAAGCCAGTCCAGTGGCTTCTAGGATCCAATAAATACTCATCCCTTTTGCTTCGCATACCCCTGCCATACTACACAATAAGATGAAGGAGGAGCCAGCAAAAGCGCTATTAGACCAGCCTGAAGATGCAGGGGGTTCTTCAAAAGAATGTACAGATCAAGAAGGCAAAGAGCATTTCGCTATAATATTAGCTCACGGCCGAAGTTTCCTCCTTGAGAGCAACGCATTCAGAGCGCTACGCGAAGATCTCCAAAATTTCATTCACCCAATTGCGAAACAAAAACCCCAGATTAGTCCAGAAATATTAGATGGGCTTGGCTCCGAAGCATCTCCAGGGCCAGTACCCGAAGCTTATACAAGTTTATGGTCGAAGGCTTCTGGCATGGTAGTACCACTCATCTCCTGTCTTGGACTCAAGGATGAAGTTATACCAGCAGGTCACCAACGCATAAGGTGGAAAAATGTGAGAATCCTCTATGGTCAACTTTTCCAAGAATTCTTTTCAAAGCCAAGTCATCTACTGATCTATTAAAAGGCTCATGGGAAATGGCTTTATGATGACTACATTAAGCACAGCCATGGTGCCTTGCAAGCATTACAAAGCTATCTAAGTACATTAACATACAAAACACAAACAGTGGCTGAAGGTAGCAATAGTGTTAAGTCCTTCCAACCTGCTCAAGTTTATTCTCCCAACAGCAGCTCAGCAAGATTCCACAGCTCTAATACCAGCGACATTGCTGGTAAACTGCATGGCACGTCTGAAAATCCTACAGTCAACAATCACCAACAGGATCTTGAGCTGGGTGGTCGCTCAAATCACACTCTTTATCTCATGGTCTGCATAGAAAAGGGAAGACATAGTGTTGAGCTCCACCAAGAGCCAGTTACAGAGCTTATAGATGATCGACAATTATTCCACACTTTACAACGTGTCTACTACGAGCATGGGGGTAAGTTTAAAAAGTATTGGTCATTGAGAACAGTTGATAGTATCCAATTTATGAAGGTATGCCAAGAGTATTATCCGCGATCATCCTATGGCTATTCTAATACCTTGCTGATAAGTTCACATATGGGGGTCACCAATACATTGATGTGCGATGCCATGAGGAAATCTGTGAAACTGGGAAGGTTTGCAGTTGTATACCCCCAGCTAAACTTGTTCATCCAAACGGAACAGAATATGAATTCCGACCAATACCGCCGAAGTTGTCCCCACCTGTTGGACCGCGAATGATGATGGATCTATTTACCAACGCAGATCACATAAAACCTAACACAACGTTAATCATGGACCAGCTTCCGAAAAGGACCTGTGGACAACTCAAGTCTGAATATTCTGAGTTAAAAGAAGCATGGGGAATATTATACAAAGAAGATTGGCATTGGGCCAAAATTTGGTGGATTCTTGCTGTTGGCTTCTTCCCTCCCAGTTTATTGTTTGGTATAGTATGGGGAACCCTAAAAAGAGACATTCAGGGCGCATTTGGAATAGCGGGCTGGTGGATGACAGGAGCTATGATTCTTATTGGGATTGTCGGATCACGGACGTGGAGTTAAGACTCTAATTTCCAAAGGCAGTATTGCTAGCAACTCGCACACCCTGTACTTAGGTCAATCTCTCGTTTGGGACTTTCTTTATGTCGTTCCCTAGGCTATTGCCTGTCAGATAACCAAGCTTGATATTTTCAACAAACATGTGGACTGACTGTAGCCATTATTTGGGCGCTATCAGTTTTTGTGGCGGTCACTAATCTTCTTCGAGGAATCGTGGCGTAGTAATAAAGATAATCAGACAAAGAAACCAAAGACATATTTCATGTCACAGCTAGGCATATTTCTAGCTGGAAATTCATAGCTGGGATCATCATGTGGGCATCGGCTGTGAAAAGGAGATTTGTGCTTTGTTATCTGTTCGCCTTCCCTTTCCTTGGTGCAAAGGGGCTAAGTTTGTCTCAGGAGCAATCTCAGTTCAGGCCAAAACTGAGAGGCAGACGCCAACATCGGCAGACGCCAGTGATTCTGTCGCAAGCTTAAAAGCCAGATCTACCTAAAAACGTGCATCGACCCATTTACATACCATCAGAAGGACATATCTGTTCCGATAAAGCTTTCATGGTGAGCTGGATGTAGACGACAGACATGCTGAGATAATGAGCTCTTATCAAATACCAATTAATTTTCTGCTAAATGCACAAGGCAATAAGCGGCTTGGTGCTCCTACTGAGCATCCACAATTGAGCTTATATACTTCCTAATATACTTTAACTAATATAGTTAGCAGTTAGTTTTACTAAACACTAAAAAAGTAAAAAATAGGATAGAAGTCCCTAGTCTCCTAGTCTCTCTTGAGTCTCTTCTAAGAAAAGTTATTTATTAGCCTACTTATATTATAAAAGCGTATGAGATAGTATGTAGAGTCTTAACCTACTATTCAATAAACTTAATCTTAAGTATTACTAGTTAAATACTAGAAGAATTTATCTTACTCCCTAACTTAGAGATATCTCTTTATAATCTTACTATACCTAGTTCAATTGGCTTGTTGATTATTTCTTGTCGATCGTTCTTAGAAGAATTTAACCCGCTCTAAACGCTGTGGGCAGAATCAAAGTAGTTGATGGCTTTGACGCAGTTACAGTACTGTTCAGCCTATTTTCATTATTTCCTAGTGTCTTAATACATCCCCTGCTAAAGCAATCTGGATTTCGGCTTCTGGGCCCTGGAGCCAGTGAGTAACCACTAGCACAAGAGATGGATCAGGATAATCCTAGGTTTCGATTACCCCTGTGCAAGCATCTATAAACTATTCATATAGTATCCTATTAAATCTTCATGACTGGCGCAGTGACTCTGTAACTATTCACAGGAAAATGCCACTGTTCAAACAGTTAGGTCAGAGTTAAACTTGGTACGTTGTCATATCAATCTCAGCTATCCTCCTTAATCTGTCAGGCCCATTAACTTTAGCATGCCGAGCTCGTCATCCACAGAAGGTGTGATCCTCACAAGAGGGATTCCTCTGCCTCTGCCCTGGAGAATTGTATGTAACTGTTCAATATCTGCGTTAAGTGGCGAACAGCTGCAATCTTCTTACACATGATGAGTGACATAGCTGCTCTCATCTATATTATCTACCACGCATTCTGTCTCCTTACAAGAATCATGCGTTCTGTTGTTCCAGCTGGCTTTGGTATGAACTAATTGCAGCAGATACGCCTGGGTGTCCAGTTGAAAACTAGCATAGGAATACTTCTGTGCACCCAGGGGACACCATCCCTCCTTAACTATTTGCTCCATCTCTTCTAGCGTGAGAAACCAGAGTCTGCAACGGCGAAGGTCAGTCTGGGGCCCATCTCACTTGAAGTCATTAATTAGTGGTTTAACCTAGTTCAGAATACTCTACTGAAATATGGTATCACTGAGCAGGATATCTACAATTTTGATGAAACTGGCTTCTAGATGGGTGTTGCATATATAGCAAAGGTTATTACTACATCCTGTCATTAAACCACCTGTGTGCGAGCTACCCAACCTAGGAACTGTGGATGGGTTACTATTATTGAGTCTATTAATGCTTCTGGATGGTCTCTTCTGCTAATAATTAATTTCTCTGGCAAGGTCTGTTAATCTTGGTGGTATCAAGATATCGACCCTGATTGGCTGATTGGTCTAAGTAATAATGAATGGACTAATAATGAGCTTGGCATAATCTGGTTAGAAAAGGTCTTTTAAAAGCATATTACAGTGCGTACACAAGGGAGATATTAGCTTTTAATTCTTAATAGCCATGCTAGCCATGAATCTCCAGAGTTTGATCTTTTCTGTAAGGACTATTAAATTATCCCTCTTTATATGCCTTCTTATTTATCTGATAAACTACAACCTCTTAATGTTGGCTGCTTTGCACCCCTAAAGGAAGCATATAGTACAGAGATAATAAGAAGCATCCAACATGGTATTCATTATATTAATAAGGAAAATTTTCTGATCTACATAAGGAGTCACAAAAGGCCTTATCATCTAAGAATATGTGCAGTGGGTTTGAAGCTTCTAATTTAGTGCCTTTAAATCTACAAAGGGTACTGGATAAGCTTACTATCAAGAATATTACCCCTCAAACTACTGCACATGGACCTGGATCTATAGAGGGTGAATGGATTACAAAGACCCCTTATACTACTACTAAGGTACAAAAGCAGATGCAGCATATAAAATAACTTATCTAACACAACTCTAAAAGCCCTCTAAATGAGGCACTTCATCAGCTGGCAAAAGCAGCTGAATCTACCATGCATGAAGTCATTCTATTATGACACCAGGTGACAGAGCTTCGCGCAGTAATAAAAAGCAAAAGCAAAAGCATGCGGCCCCTAGATATTACATTGCTACTGGAGGGGTTCTGACAGGCGCTGAAGGGCCGAAGGCCAGCAGCGTGCTCAAGAAGCTATACAGATGATGGTGGGGGAACCACTTCCTAAGAAATGTGCACCACCATAATGCAGTAATTGCCATTAAATTAGTTATATTAGAACAAGCTGCCCTACTAGGCCTAGGTAATGCTATTATTTTTTCTGTTATTTGATTGCGTATAGAGGAGTAATTAGATATCTCATGGTTTTCGACTGCGGCCGAAATCATGTGCCGCTCGGTTGTGGATTATGTCTAGCATTGGTAACCCGAACGGACCAGGGCGCTCTAGACAATATCTGTTTCGAACTGAATTTAAATCCCATGATTTCAATCTAGTGAATGAAAGCAATACTGTGGATCACGCAAACTATTCCACTAAGGGCGTTAATATAGAAGACATACTATTCGTAGCCTAAAATCCTCCTGTACTATATTATCTCTATGACTTGGCATTCTTCCGTCAAAGCCTATAGCCTTTGTACCTTCGAAATTCCTAGCCCAAGATAGCGGCTGGCCCATTTGAGCGAGATTCAATGACAAGGATACGGGTACAGATGTCAATTGTGACTTAATCTACGACTTGAGATCAAGAAGCTCCCTAGCGTGTAATGATCGGAGCGCCGATCCTATTCATCTGGGTGTTCTCTCTGCGCTGGTAAGTCATTAAATGTCCGTCCCTTCCCCAAGCCAATCTATGGCGAAGTCTGAGGTTTGCGGCAATCCCTAATATGATACCCCAGTCTTTGCCCCTCTAACTAAGTTATTAGGGCACTGGTACATATTATAACGATTTCCGCGATGTTCAATTATACTGAGTGGAGAGAATTTTGTAGTAACGAGTTGAAGGATACGAAAAGTAATATTAAATTTGCCATACTTGATTTAGAAGACGATCACTATAGTAAGTAGACAAGGCGGAATCGTACTTGTTTTGTTTTATCGCCCAAGAATCTGATCCCTGTGAATAAACCTCCCATCTCGTTTAATCTGGTTATAGAAGTCCTGTGCCCAGCGTAGGTGATGGCTGTCCCCCAGCTGAGTAAACAATTTCAACGACAAAGTTTGGTCCTCCAGATTTTCGGAATGATTGAGCGGCGAATAGATATAGCGTCTCTGAATCGTGGGCATTTCCTTATCCCAGCCACTATCGACGGCTTGCCGAGCCACTGCGATGGCCCTGGAATCAGTAGCGTAGGCCTGGGGAGTGCCACGGAACATATTCCGAGGCACTTGGTCCAGCAGAAGGATCAAAGCCAAAGCTCCTTCTCCTTGGCCGGTCTGAATCCATGCGTCGAGTTTACCCTCTTTCGCTGCTTGGTATGCTTCTCCAAGATTGTCGCGGACGTAGGCATCGTCGGAAGCACTATTACCATACCAAAAGGACTTTTTTTGCAGGTAAGTGGGGGAGGACCTTGGACCAAACCAAATGTCCAGAACGTCGTGATAATCGTAGTTCGACATTGAAGGCCGAGTAAAGCGTACTGTTGGCAGTAGAGGAAGAAGAGAGGGGAGAACTTAGGAGATCTGCGTCTGACGAAGCTGCAGGGTTGAAGATTTGGCTAGACGCAATGAAGCTATGGGATATTATTATGGAAGGGCGAGAAAGAAATACTACGTAGAGTTGCATGTCCAATGCGACTCCGGGCAGGTGAGGTTCAAGAACCCGCATGCGTTGGATTTCCCCAGCCGATCAAAATTTTCTAACCATCCGCATGTAGAAATCACTAGATGACGCGTGCTGTTGCAAGAAAGTAACACATCACATGCGGGAAGATAGAAAATGGGATGTCTTGGAGAGGTGAGGCTTGCCGTGAGAGATCAGAACACAGTGAGATTCGGTAGGAAGGGGGGGAAGGGATCTCCTGGATAGAGAAGCAGCATGGAAGACAGGTGATAGTAGAGCCTGTGGCCGAACGCGATCAGCGGGCGGCTTAGCGCGAGAAATCGGGGTGAGGATCGCAGAGTTTTTAAAGCAAGACCAGGCTTCGCGTGGTTCTGTTCCGTTTCCTTCATTTGCTTCAGGGCACCGGTGACGCGCGCTCCGCAAGTTCCGCACGCAGTTGACTGTGTGCTTGGAATACTGTGTAGGTGGAATACTCTGTAATTGGAAACTCAGCAAGGAGGTTACATGCAACCTTAGGCTGCGCACAGTCGGAGAAATAAATCAAATCAAATCAAATCAAATCAAATCAAATCAAGCACCAGCATTAGTCCCACAGGTAACTATCCCAACACCAAAGCCCGGAACTCGATGCTCTCCCGACCCGGGGCATTCGGTGGGGTCCTGGGGTCATAGAAAGCGGAATGAGGCACACGACCGGCCACCGACACGTCGGAATCGCTGCACTTGAGCAGCAAGCATTCGTCCGGCTGCATACCTGACCAATACATCCATTCCTGAGCCTGGTTAAATGCCACACCGATAATCTCTCCGGTGCGTTGCGGCCGATGAAACTTGATAGGGACCAATTCCGTCGATTGGACGGAGCCCGCCCTCGCAAACGCTAGTGGACACGACTGTACAGGACCCTTCAATGGCTTCCAGACGTTGATGATACGGTAGCGACCACGGAGGGCCTGCTCAGCCTCGTCAGGGTCTGGAATACAAAGCCGGACACGGGCGGCCGCCGCTTGCGTCGTCTGGTCCGCATGCGCCGTATGCAGTGGTTTGCGGTGCGTATTGACGCTTTCCATCCGGATAACATGGTCAAATATGATGACTCGGTGGGCGCCCTTTATCGTGTTTAGCAGGAATTCCTCCACCGCTGGGAACCAGGTGCGCTGGATTGTTTCTTCGGACTGAATGGCCTCGTATGGTACACAAAGAGCGCCCTGGAGTGGCTGGAACGCATCTTTGTCTAGAGAAAACTCGTCCTCGCGACCGCGGATGTCGTTCAGCGTGACGGGCAGCGCGGGCTCGGTGTAGTTCATAGCGGGCAACCCCTCTGGTGGCGTCCCGCTGTATAGGAATGGTTCGGCGCCATCCACTGGTGCTTTGTAGAAGTTGATTTCTACCTGAACCGTGCCGTGAGGAACGGACTCGGCAGGTGCCTGGGAAGCGCCGACGGCGCCTGTTTTGGTCATGGAGACGGGAACTCTGGATGATGATAAAGGTATAGAGTCTCCTTGGTCTGTTATGGGTGATGTCGATCAGCCCCTTCGAGTGTATTATATCTACTTTGCCACTTGGGAGCAGGGGGATCATAATCAAGTCCTTATGTTCTGGGTTACTTTACATTCCACCTTCGCCTGGGCATGATCAAAAAGGTTACATTCTATATACTACCCGTTATTGCTGGATCAGTGTACGTGGGGCAAAGTTGCTTGGATGCTGGAAATGAAACAGAAGCCAGAGTGACGCTAGGTAACATGCTCTATAAGTTTGACTGTTAGGTTTACAGACCCATAATATAAATACTCTTACTTGTCTATCTCTCTCCCTATCACCATGCTACTCCTGTTTTAAGGTCCAGCAAGTTGGATCCCGCAAAGAAACTAATCATAATCTTACCCCAATCTAATTTCAACGGGCCATCAGTCAACAATGGCAGAAAGCGTGCTTTATAAGCCAAACCAGTATGACGACGCCTATGCATGCGACCCAGGTGTTCTGCGGTTTCTCAGCACGGTGCTAAGCCATTTACCTCCGCAATCCCAAGTTCTTGATGTTGGATGCGGTACTGGCAAACCAGTGGCTGAAACATTGGCTGCTGCAGGCCACTTCATAACGGGGATAGACAACGTGCACGCCATGGTCGAGCTGAGCCAAAAGCGGATTCCCAATAGTGTGTTCCAACTTTCTGACATGCGTGAATATGTCCATCCCAAAGGAAAGCAGCTAGATGCAGTGTTGATGGTACGCTCTCTCTTCCGCTTGGGCAGGGAGGAGATCGAAGAGACTGTGCGGAAGTATGGAAGCTGGCTACATAGTGGCGGGTTGGTATGCATTGCGACAATGGCTGCCGATGATTTCAGCCCAGATAATATGCTCTCTGGATATGACCCTGATGGATTGTGTGCAAGGGAGGTCAGAAAACGGTTTATGGGCAACCAAGTTACAAGTGCACTGTTCACTCGAGCAGGGTGGAAGCAACTCCTGCAGAAGAATGGCTTCGATATTGTGGATCAAAAGAAAAATGTGTTTCGACCACCTGACCGGATTGACTCGGATGCTTTACCATACTATTATATTATTGCTAAAAAGGTGTAGAGGATTTTTTGTCTGCGGTGTCTTTTGCTTTCGCATTATTATATTAAACTTTATCTCTACTCCTTTAGAACAACAGTGTTAATTTCCATCGTGTCTCGTGCCTTTTGCAGAAACTTAGAGACCACTTGTTGCAGGCCAAAAATATAGTCGAAGTCGAACGAAAAATAAATGCTCGGGGTGGAACAGTTGATAGGGGCTATGGAGTTAGGACTCTTTGGTTGTAGATACCAGTGCAATACCTGAGTATTCCAATCAAGTATACCTCAAAGTAGTTTGTCTTAATTATGACCACAGCATTAACTGGACCTGCATTAGCGACGCATGCAGTGCCAATCCCTGCGGCTGATCTTGTGAGGTAGCAATTGGGTAGTAGGCTTGCTAGCTTTATTTTTGCTGTTTCCATTGCGCTTCCCGTAGTTCTTGGTTTATCCACAGATACCAAGGAGTCTGGCCGTTTCCTTATCAGATGGTATCAAATGATCGATACGTCGGCCTAACGCTTTTTCTTTTTCAGTATTGTTGCTGTCGCATTAATCTGGGCTTTCACTACCGGTATAGCTCTAACACGAAAGAGCGTCTAAAAAAAGGGGGCGCTACCTTCATGAAATACACCTTAGTAGGCGGGACAGAACGAGAGGTGCACCCTATCCTGACAAGGAAGCTGGAGTTGAGTACATATGGCCAAATTATGCAGACACGCTTTGGCTTGGTTATGGTAAATGACCCGCGTGGCCTCAATGCGGAGTATTAGAGTTAGATTTTATCGGGAATGATAAAGGTAACTCTAGTAACAGACGGTAAGGTATGTAAGAAATTACCAACGTAAATCACGAGCCCGATGTCCCACTAAGGGTGGATTAAGATGGTCGATGCTACTGTGTCAGGCCGTCGGTTCAGCGTGCTGAGCCGGGAGCCCATTGTCGAAGAAGAAGAAAGTGAAAAAAGCAACAAGAAGGGAAACCCCACCTGCAAGACTGTAAGATATTTATAGGCTGGAGATAGCAATTATGGCAGAATAGAAAGCAAACAATGTACTAACCGAACAAGCCCCACGTATAGTAGAAGCTGAGCGCCTCGACTAAAAGTCCAGATAGCAGAGGGCCTAGTACCAATCCTAGGTTGAAGAATATCTCTATCAAAGAGAACAGACGGGAGCTCGCGCCGTAATCACCGAAGAGCTTCGGATCCTTGGACTGTAGTTCATGCATGACCCCTGTTTCCGTGGCATTTTTAGATTAATCGGTCGGTAGTAAACCAGGAAGAAGAGACGTAACGCACTAGTCATCTGCAACGCTCCCGCACCGCGGACCAGGCTGAGCATAACACCGATGCAAGCTATACATGTAAAAAAGAAGGCTTTGCCATGGGTTTCGGGGCGGCTCCAGGAAAAGGTGTTGGAACCAGGGACCCCGAGGAGCCAGAGTAATGGAGCCAAGAAGGTCCAGCCGACTGTACTTAGATACCGATACCCTAGACGGTCGCGGAGACATCCGACCAGCGGACCGAGGATTACTTGAGGGAGCTGTAGCCCAAGAAAGATCAGTCCAATAGTCATGCTTTCCCAATGGAAGATACTACGCAGATGGAGAGGCAATGTCGTGTTAAAACCTGCTGTGACCATATTATATAGAAGGAGGTTGACTGCCCCTGTAAGGATCCTGGGCTCTCTGAACATGATGCGATAAAACCCTGGGGGCTGCTGCTCGGGGCCATCTGACGGATCAACCTTGGGAGGCATTGCGTTGAAAGACGAATAACCATGTGATGATGATGAAGACGATGGAAGCAATGTAGACGCCTCATCCTGGCTTTGCGGCTCCACGCCTCCTTGCGAAACACTTGACGAGGATGAGGTCACCGAGCGGGAACCAGGAACAGAGGAGATGCTATCTCGGCTCTCAAGCATGACAAGGCGGACGATAATATTGAGGACAAGAACTACTAGGGGAGCAGTCCAGGCGGTCCAGTATCCAAGGAGCTGGAGGAGTGTTCCGCTGATCGTCGGTCCTGTGACGATGCCCAAAAGCGAAAAGGACATAGTTAGCCCCATAGCCTTCCCCATGTCTTCTTGTCTGATGTTATCTGCTAAGGTGGCATAGCCCACAATCCAGGAGGCTGATGCAGCGACCCCTTGTATCACGCGACCGAGATAGAGCACCCAAACTGTGTAGGGGTAAGCAATACAATTCTTCCTGGGAAGTCCGGCAGGAAAGGACGTCACCTGATGACGCGATTGCAATCAAATATGTCCCGACTAGAGATGCTGCGAGGGAAATCAGGAAGGGCGCCTTGCGATTAGGGGTCTTGTCGGTGAAATGGGCAATTGGCGGTGCAACCACGAGAGCAACCAGACCATGGAGCGTAAGCAGGGCGGTGGTATACCGCTGCGTTTCGGATGGGTCAATATTTAGACGAACTTCCAGCATGTAGCTCAGCATAGGGATAATGAAGCTATACAGAAAGGTTTCTATGAAGTCTCGATTAGTCCAGTCCTTGATAGGGAGAGACTCAGCCAGTTATGAGAGGGGAAACAAGGCAGGTGCTGTACCAGCGAACAAGGCAATACTGATGGTGGCGATGATGAGAGTCTTCGAGGAACGCCATCTGTAGCCCCAGGCGTCCATGGTGGAAAATGATAGAGGTGCTACCGGGAGTGTGGACGACGAGTAAACTCCCTACTTGCATCCGAATTTCAACCCCTAAGTATCCTATCTGCTGATCAGATTGAGTGGACGAGAAGGAGGAGCAGAAACTTAGAGCATCGGGTTGTAGCATTCGGCCTTGATTGCTTTATGTCGTTCTCCAGAGCCATCGACTACGGAGTTGGTTGGATTGGAAGAAACGGTAATCGACGGCCGTCATGCACGTATTTCAGTGGAGAAAATGTCTCCGATCGTTCCGACAGGCTACATGACCTGGAAGGAAATTTACGTTGGAATGTGCTAAAACAGTAGTCGGCAACCTAAAGTCCTATAAAGTCCCTGCGTTAAGAAAAGGGCTTTAAGGCTGTCTTTCTCCGTTTCCGGAGACGATCAGCGAGGCAGCTAGATGGTCCAGAGATAGATCGCTAGTAAATTATTAGCTAGACCCTCACCCAGTATATTCACTTGCTTCTTCCAGTCTGACTGAGTAGACAGACATTTTGATGGCTTCATGTACAGGCTTGAAGATCTGGACCAACTTGCCCAAGTGCGCCCAGAAGAGGTCACCTGCAGGATCGTCCTGAGCGTATCACTCATGTCAATATCTGATTAATTATACCTGTTCAACAATCCAATCCGCCATCTAGTTCGGTCACTCTAGTTCCCGGTAGTTCTGTGGAACGCCAGTAATACCGCTTCCGGCCATCAGTGACCGAAAGGTTCATAATCCGGACGTTCTGAGATACTCGCCCCAGGGCCATGACGCTCTCACGCTGTCCACTACGACTCCTCCCATGGACTGACTGTGCATCCAGACAGCAAACAGTCTATCGCTCTGTTTGCAAATATCTAGAGCCACCAGGAGAGGCTACGGAGCAGATATTTTTGCCGCGGCTTGTGCTGTAGGGCTTTGGGCAAGAATTCAGCAAAAGGCCCATAAGCAGTGAGCAGTGTTATACTTATGGTAATACTATATCCCACAGCCGGCTTGGAGTGCGAGGATACTAGTGGGGGAGCTATCCAGCTCCTGAGTCCTGACTCCTGAGCCTTTAGAAAGATGAGCACCCTGAGGGCTAGAGAATGATATAGCCCGGCACGCTCCCAGGAGCGCACTGAGGGCTCTCAGAAGCTCGGCCCATTCTCCTGGGCATAATAGCTATCCCGGGAATGGCTAATGCCTGTCTAGAGTTGCATAACCGAACTGCTAAAATCGAATCCAACCCTCACCGAACTCGCAGTGGTTCAGTTTGGTTCCTAGTAACGGTGTCGTGCGCGGAGTCCATGGTTGCCATACTAATTATGGTTGACTGCAACGCCACCAGAGTGCAGAGTCTATGTCCACTCGACTCTGTATACAGGTATCATATAATTGGTGTATTGGTTTCTGGCTAATAACTTGCTCCTGATCTTCTGAATAGTTAAGCCTTCTACATATCAGGGCAGGCAGTCATTTATTTAGAAAACCTCGTTAACTATTACGGGATAGCTGTGAGTCACACTGTACTAACAAAACCACCGGGGTCAACCACAGTAAGGTAACTGGTCGGTCCTTTCCTGAGGTCACCTAGTTAACTAACGGTAATGCCCCAGCAGTATGGTGGCATTGACCGGCCCGGTAAAGTGAAAGTGCTCTGGCCGGCACTTTGACATCTACCGCGTTCACGCAGTCATTGAAAGCATGTTGCAAAATAGACCTAGTATGATGCTATGACACGGATGTCTTACTGCATCCGTCAGACACCGCAGGCAGTGCCAGTGTCAGGACTACCTCAGCACCCGCATATCGACTGGTCACGATATCCATCTCTTGATGGAAGTTCCATGAAGCTGGTACATTTGAGAGTCGTTTTGTGGAAATTCCCAGTAAGCCTCAACTTTTTGGATTGGTTTACTTCCTCAATATTGTGGTTCTATGCCGCGTATACGAACATGAACGACGGTCTACGTATAAGGCTGGTTATATATAACCTGCAACTAGGGCTATCTCAGACTGGTCTGCGCCTCTACACCACTCTAGCGTGTCTTGAGTACAATATTGTCCTCTTTCCCAATAGTTGAGCGAGTCAAGGGCTCCCGAAAGTGTTATTCCTGCCTCTTCATGATGGTCTTTCCCAATTGGCTGCCAAATGCGAGCAGCAAAGCTAGGTGTTAACCGTTCATTGCTCCATTTATTCTATTTCTTGCTGAGAGACAGTTCCTGTAAATAACCCTACCTCAACCAAAGAACTCGCGCGAGCGAGTAATTTCCACTCCAGTCCCCTCCGCGAATGCCAACGCGTTGGGTTTCTCGGCGCGCACTGTCACCAGTTCATTGCCGAAATCCACCGTGACAAGACGAGCAATAAAGACAACTAGAGCCTCCACTGATTTGAACGTGGTCTTGTCCACCTCCTTGAATTGTATTCCTGTTAGTGTCCGTTTCAACGGAGTACGAGCCGATATCATCATACCTCAGCAACAACCCTAGTCATCTCTTGATATGTGTTCAGAAACTTCTCCCTCCAATGATCATCTGCTCGGCCCTTGATTTCTAGGGATACCACAACAGCCTGCTTCTGAAGTCTTTCGTGCGCGTTGACACCTATAATGCAATGGCAGCGAATGTTTTGGATCTGGAACCCATCTTCCATCACGGCCGCTGCCACAGCATCCGCACGATTGTATCCCAGCGCATGGAGACTGCGATGCAGCAGGCCACCCTCCGCGCGAAGGAGAGCCTTTGGAAGATGTAGGCGGACTTCACACTGCCCAAAGTTTTGCTGCACAGCCCCCGGCCGTAGGCCATTTATGACCAGACTGCTTTCATGTAGGTATGCCAGAGCCAGGCTAGCAATTTTCCCAGCAAGAAGGGAGATGTCTTGTCCTCGTTCAATGTGCAGTGACCCGTGAACGGGCTGCCCATGCAGGTTGACGACTGGGATCTGATTTTCTAGCCTTTCCCGTAAATTCGGCCATTCCTGGACGAGCTCCTCGATGAGTTGATAAAGCTTTCCGTAATCCAGAGACAAGGCGACCTCGTCCTCTTGGGCTGAGGAAGATACAGAGGACCAGGATAGCTTGAGCGACATGGTACATGGCTGCCTCCGGCCCGACCGATGCCATGCGTCTGGGCCAGAAGGCAAAGGGAGCTGAACACTGCGAAGACAAATATGGTCCACTAGCTCTGGTGCTGGTGGGATCTGGATAATGGTTCTGCATTCGCCCATAATGCCACGTTTGCTAAGATGTGCGGAGGAGAAGCCGAGAAAGAATCGGTGGGATCAGGGACAAATCACAGTGCCATTCTGTAGCTGTAATATAAGGCATGGCGGAACCGGCCATACTTAGGGAGCCGAAACACACAGAAAGGGAGTTCGGCACCCGTTTCTTCAGCAAAAGCAACTCTACCTAGGTGCCATTCCCATGTCCTGTGCGACTACTCTATCCTAGAGACCACACACTTAATCCGGTCTGACCCTTAATCTGCGTATCCTTCATGAAAGCAAAGGGTAGTAGTCTAGGGTCATCTCAGCACATATGATTGTGATCCACCAAACGTCATCTTCGGAAGTCATTGTGGAAACTTCAAGGAAAGCTTTGTAATAATTAATTATATCACTGCTTTTGATTTTAATTTGTCATCACTCCTTAATCTATGTTGGAATTATGCAAGGAGTTTATGTTGTAGTTACACCATTCTGTAGTAATAAATACCCCACTGATAGTCCAAGACCGCATGTGTATATTTGTAATACTTTAATTATGTACATTCCAGAGAATGTGCAACAGCCAATGACTTGAGGCTTTCGTGGCAGATGCGTTGCAGACTCCCAATGGCAGGTGCACTCACAGTAGATGATCACGAGCAATTCGAAGCCAGGGATTTGCTGCAACTGCACTACAAAATCTAGATGGATAAGGTCAAGGGTTGTGAGGGGCAAAAAAGGTATAGTAGAGTCTACTGACGAAAATGTATTCCGGAACAATGTTGGCTTCATACTGCCCCATCTCGCTAGCCACCGAGGAGTAATAATGCAGGATTGCACGGCATGTGCAGTTCGTACCCCACACACACACACACAAACAATACATCTCCCTATGAACTTTGTCTCAGTTTGAGAAGGAACTGAAACTGCTCCTCAACATCTTTGTTCTTCTTGAAAACACCGGTCCTGCAGGCAGTCGTAGTCATGGAGCTAGTTTTTTGGATGCCTCGCATAACCATGCACATATGGGCAGATTCCATTACAACGACCACCCCTTGGGGCTTCAAAATATCGTCAACTGCCTGGGCAATCTGCTGCGTGAGACGTTCTTGGACCTGCAGTCTGCGCGCGTAAACCTCCGCAATGCGAGCCAGCTTTGACAAACCCAATACGCGACCGCTGGGCATGTACGCAATATGGACCTGGCGCACGTGGTTACTTATCATCCAAGCAAACTGTTTTCAGTCCAAAGGATCGCCTACCTTCCCCATGAAGGGAATCAGATGATGCTCGCACATGCTAAATACCTCGATATCGCGGACCAGAACCATCTCACTGTGGTCTACATTAAAGATGGCGTCCTTGGCGAGGTTCCATGCACTCTCGTTGTAGCCTTTGGTAAAAAAGAGCATAGCTCTAGCGTACCGTTCGGGGGTTTTGAGAAGACCCTCTCGATTTGGATCTTCTCCAACGTTTTTGAGGATGTTTCGTATATTGGCGGCCAGCTGTTTCTCCCGGTCCGCGACCCTGGCGGCGAGGACGGTTCCTTTTCCCGTGTTAACTTTCAGAACGCCTAAGGTAAGGGCCTTTCCTTACCTCTATCACCAGGGCTGTTAATGCCTACCACGTCGCCATCTGCATCCAGAGCGATGGCCGTTTCCGCCAAGGCTGGCTTCTCGAGGGATAGAGTCGTCATGGGCTCCTGGTGAGAGCCAACAATGACTTCTGACTCTGAAATGGCCATTTCTAATTTCGTACAAGGATGTAATCCTCTGGCAGATTGGTTCAATGCTTCAGTCCCTGGTCTCGATATACGCCAGACCCTACGTGGAGGTGGATAGTGGTGTCTCTTATATTCAGTCCGACGTATGCGTCCAGACAAAGATGGTAGTCCCCCGAGGGCAGCTCCGTATACGACACTGACCAAGGTCATTGACGTGGACACTTTGCGTAAAGTGTTGTCTGTGTTCAGTCAGTTCGAAGACTGCTGCATGGTTAACTAGCACAGTGGGCATTTCTCCGGTTGCGTCCTTCAGCTTGGTTAGGGGCGCCTCAGCTCGCTGTAACTTTGTCACCACCTCGCATTTTAGACATGTCATAGACTAGTTTTGTCTTCTAACGGAGACAGGACCCGCTGAGATGAAACTAATTCTGGGACCTTAGAGAATGCACCATCATTACAAAATGAACTGTGGGGATAAGTGAATATTTCCACGGCTTGGCTTTCCACTGCCTCCTATTTTTGTGGTCTTCAATATCTTGCAGCAGGTTAGCCAAACAGTCTCTAGGGATATCTTACCTTGCATTCATAGTAACTACCGTTCAACCGCTTAATGACTCTAACGTCTGATTACTGACACGTTGGATTCATTATCTGTGATGCTTAAAGAATATTTCTAGAACAAGCCGATCCACAGTGTCTACCACGCCTGTAGCAAACAGCGCTTGTTTTTCGGCGACATTAGGAAATAAGCTATCTGGTCCATATCCTCCGCGTCCATACCTTCCAAGGTTGGAGCACTTGCCTTAGGGAACATGCGGAAAAACTCAGCAGTTGCAAGCCGGAGCTCAGCTTGCGCCAGATGCATGCCGATACAGGAGCGAGAGCCGCCACCAAAAGGCATGAATGCATCTTTCATCTCCTTGGTAGGATTCTCCCAGCGGGATGGATCGAATCTGCTATCATTAGCCTCTCCGATACCAGGCAAGCACGGTCAATTATATCAACTATGCAATGGTAGCACTTACATCTCTGGATTAGTGAAGATGCTAGGATTCCTGTGAAGACTATATGCCTGTGTGGTAACAGTCACACCAGCTGGAATCCAATATCCACAGAGTATAGCTCCATGTTGTGAGACACGAGGCAGCCCAGACGGAACACCTGTATAAAGACGCAAGGTCTCCGTGATGACCTGGTTCAGATATGGCAGTGGCCTGAGATCATCATGATGATAATGCTCTTGGACACCAGCCAGCTCCGTTAACAAAGCTCTTTTGATAGGAGGGTTCCGACAAACTTCCCACACGAGGTAGGTCATGGTAGTTGCTGTGGTATCGCTCCCAGCAATGATAAAGCTAATGGCCTCATTGACAATCTCGGCTTCAGGAAGGCCTTCATTTCCGCCTCCAAACAATCGCGCGAAGAGTATGGGCTTCGGGTTCGGGTCCGTGGCAATTAACTTCTTATATCGCTGGACCGACTGATTCGCATATTGCTCCATGCGATGTCCGGCTTCAGCAGAATTCCGGAAGATTGGTAACGGGAACACACTGGCTAGGCTGACCATGCGTGGGAAAGCAACCCTAACTGCTTCCATGGCGGACACTGATTCAAGGTCCATAGAATACTGATTCTTCTGCTATAGGTTAACAACCAGTGCTCTACAGTTGTCGACCACCCTCTTACCTTTCCATGTTCCAACATATGAAAGGAATCTCCAAAACACAATTGTCCAATGATATCGGTGGCCATAAAGATCCACCACTTATACACGTCAACCGTACCCCTTGCTTCCATTTCTTCCTGGATCCTGCGAATAGCGAGGCGGACACGTGCTTCAATCAAGGGCTCCATCCGTCTCAAGGACGAGGCAGAGAGGGGCGACGAGAGCAGTCTTCGTCGCTCGCCGTGGAATTTAGGATCACTCGAGTTGAACAAATTCTGTATGTCATATCGAGTCAAGTGGCGATAGAATTCTGATTTCATGAAGTGGCTTCCGACCCTGTGAATCTCCTTCGCGGCGGTATGGTCGCTGATATCAACCTCATTGGGGCCAATGCGAACGACTGGGCCTGAAGATCCAAATAAACAGTCAGTCGCATTCTCTAGTTGTTTCTTTTCCCAATCCATAGCCTGCTTGGAAGTCCGGACTGCTAGCTAACCGTATTTTTCATGAAGTGATTGTACATATTTGGCTCGCTTTCCGGTAAGCCAGTGATACTTCAGAATAATATCTGTAATTCTGGATATCCATGGCCCTGGCAAACGAGATAAAGGACTATTCCATCGCTGTAGAATTACCTGCTTTGTGTTAGTGAGGTACAGAGTATAACAGTCACTTTGCGGAAAGACAGGTTTCCTGGGCGACTTTCATTTGTAATACTCATTGCGAGGAGTAAGACAAGCAGCATGGACCAAGGTAAGGGCAAGTTCCGACCATCCATGGTGGCTAATTGTTCAGAACCAATACACTAAATGGCCCTGATGCAATCTAAAAGGCCTTCTGTCGATGTCTTTGTTGCACGCCAGGGGCTGGGATTGGGTGCTGATGAGCGGTGGGAGGGAAATGTAATGCCACGCCTTGCATATGTGGGATAGAACCCGCAGTATGAAGCATTATGGAGATAAAATACTGAGGACTTCTCATAAATAATACTATGTAGCTGCTACAAATGTAAGTAAGTACTGACCTTGGCAAAGCACTAAAGATATGGTGCACTGATGGCACATAGACTGCCGCAAACGTTCGTTTCTTGAGGGTGCCATGCTAAGGTAGCAGATTCGTTTATCAGTTTTCCGCAATGACGGAAGAGCAATGGGTTCCATAAATCTGGGTTGACTGGTGAGGCTCGAACTGCTAATTTCTATATCAGTTTCCAGGCTTGCGACTACTGGAATCCTTCATCATCCTAAGCCGTCAAAACAATCTTTCATTTAGTAGCTCGGGTTCTTTGCATCTGTGTTTCACGCCTTGTTTCAGTCTCACGTCTCCCAGGACAAAATGTTATATACTCACGCAACGATCATCACGGTTGATGTAGCTCGACATATTATTGAAGACGGCGCCATCTATGTCGATAAGGACACTATTGCGGATATTGGCAAAACCGATTGTCTACTTCCAAGATACCCACTTGAAAGGCAGTATAGTCTTAATGGATGCATTGTGATTCCAGGATTGGTTTCCACGCACATCCATACCGTCCAAGCAATACTACGGGGCACAGCTGATGGTCTACATAAAGAGGCGTGGCTCTCGGAACAAATCCAACCCCTCCAGAACAGCATGACCGAGGGAGAGGCCCGGGCATCTGTGAAATTGGCCGTCGCGGAGATGCTGAAGTCCGGGACTACTTGTTTCTTGGAATGTCTAGTATGTCATTTCCAAGCTCGAATTCCCAGCCATGGCGACATTTCAGACTGACGCAATGCAAACTACTAGTTCTTCCCCCGCCATGGATTCGATGGACTATGTCAGACTGTGCAGGACAGTGGCATTCGAGCCTGCCTCGGCCGCATTTCGGTGGAAGGTCACCTGCCCGGCGGACAGATCCCGCCTGGTGATGGAATGCTTCCAGAGAGCTTGAAGTCATGGCAGAAATGGAACGGAGTCGCAAATGACCGCATCCGAGTATGATTTGCGGCGAGCAACCCAGATCGGTTCGTGGAAACATCACCGGACTGGCCAAAGGTGACCACATTGTAACGGGACACAGCGTCGTTGAAACCCATATGCAAAAGTTGAGCACTGCTGCACATTCATACGGCATCCCAGTGACTATGCATCTTGCCGAAAGTAAGGGCGATGCCGATTATTTCTCCTCTTTAGGCCACACCGCTGGATCGTACGCTCAGGCAGTCGGCCTGTTGTCCCCGTCGACTGTCTTTGCTCACGCGGTATATATCAATGAGACTTCTGACGTCCCTTTGCTTTCGTCGTCTGGGGTTCACATCTCTCACTGCCCGACGTCAAACTCCAAATTTGCTTCGGGGATTTGCCCAGTCCCCGATTTACTCGCGGCAGGGCTCAATGTCAGTCTTGGGACTGATGGCGATGCCTGCAATAATACGTCCGACATGTTCCAGGAAATGAGATGGACTGCTATGGTGCATAACACACCAGGTGACGCTGCTAGGATCACTGCAGAAACAGTACTGGAGATGGCCACAATCAATGGGGCCAAAGCGTTGGGGTTACATCATCTCATTGGCAGTCTAGAGATCGGAAAAAGAGCAGACTTCGTGGCTCTCAATGTACAGAAGACCACATTACAGCCATGTGTGAACCCCGTCAGCAACGTTGTATATGCGGCGACGGGGCGAGATGTGCATGTGGTAGTTGTTGATGGTCGTATAGTGGTGGAGGGCGGGAAGCTACTGACTATGGACGAAGAGGAAATCATTAATGCTGCAAACCAAGCAATAGGTGGGTTATTGCAGAGGACTGGATTACAGGACAAAGTTAAGAGTTATTGGCCCACGAGGTAGATAGATACATTTGTTTATATTAGTGCCTTAGGTGAAGTCTGCGCCTCCGCCAACACTTGTTTCAATGTATGATATCCTCTCTGTAGTGACAAAAAAGGAAATGTAGAATAATGCAGAAAAGGGAGAGCAGTCCAGAGCACCATCTGCATGTTTCGTTTCAGTTCCCTCAGGGAATTTCCTTTTCCCTCTCTTTAGCTCAAGTAGAGACAGCTCCGTCTTTAACTGTTTATGTCGTTCTCAAGATTTGAAATCAATTAGGGTTGCATCTTGCCTTGGGCCCGCACGCCAAGGATACTCGGAAACCTTCCCACTAGGCAAAAGAAAGGGACGGACATGGTAGCAGCATAAAAAATATTGGAAAGTGTGAAAAGAGGCGTACGTTATTAGAAATACTTATAATGCCCGCTGACACGGTTTCATTGGGCCGACCATTTCCTGGGGCTGGCAAGGCTGGTTTAGGTCATAGAACCCATGCTATACGGTATGCAGCGGAGATCTACTCCGGAAACAGGGACGTAAGATGTCTCTAGGTTGCTATTCCAACAATTCTTCTCCCAAGCCAAAGATATTTGGCTGTTCTGTCCACCCGCGCCGTCCGTGGATCGGCTTGCGAGACTGTCTTTCGGTTTACCCACTAAACTATCTCAATTTAGGAAATTTTTGCCATTCAAACAACGGGTCGGAATTGGTAACAACATCAGTTTCCTGAACTTGCTCGTCCTGCAGTGTAATAATAGCTAGTATGATAAATTTCGAAGGATTTCTGTGGTGGCTAGCTTAAGACAGGCCCTCCATAGCTCCTCTCGATCCTCTCAGCATGTTGGCTGCGATCCGATGCTCGCCTAACATCCGAAGTACGAAGTCTACTTGCAATTCGTGATCAAGCAAAGCATCAGCAGCACGCTTGTGTGCCCCCAGCGTCTCTTTATTGAAAGAATTGCAGGTAGGGCAGACGTACGATCATCAAACAATCAGAATCTCCGAGGCATAATGCATATACTCTGGCGTGAGTCTGCAGATATGGCAGCCTACGAAGCTGCCCGTCTCAGCCGAGTGTTCAACCAGCGCTGCCCACGCCGGTTTCCACTGGCTATAGTAAAGCCAACTACGGAGAATGAAGTTATTACTGCGGTGAAGCTGGCAATTCAACGAAAAATGCGTATTGCCACTCGAGCAGGGGGTCATTCCTTTCCTGTTTGGAGTTTGCATGATGATTCCATCCTCATTGACTTCGGCGACTTCAAGGTATTGGAGGTCGATGAGAGAAACTGCATTGCAAAGGTGTCTACTGGTGTCACAAGCAAGGAGCTCAATGACTTCTTGATCGAGAAACATGGGATGATGTTTCCCGGGGGTCATTGCCCCGATGTTGGCCTCGGCGGGTTTTTATTGCAAGGAGGAATGGGTTGGAACTGTCGGGTACGTCGCCTCTTTCGTTCTTCCCATCCTTATTTTCCCCTTTTCTTTTTCTTCCTTGGTCCTCCTTTCCATACTGGTTCTGCTCACTAACCCCAGTCTCCTTAAGTTCAGAACTGGGGTTGGGCTTGTGAAAGTGTGGATGCTGTGGAAGTAATTACCATGCAAGGAGAGCCTATAATCTGCAATGCGCAGCAGAATACAGACCTATATTGGGCGGCCCGTGGTGCAGGACCAGGTATGTCTTTCCTCTCCATGAATTCCTTACCCTTTTCCGAAGATTTCTTTAACTAAAGAGTTTGGAACATAACAGCATTTCCAGCGGTTGTTTCAAAATTTCACCTAAAATTAAGGCCATATCCAAAGAACGGATTCCGATCTTCTGGCTACATTTACCCACACGGTCTCTACAGGCAAGCATTTTCCTGGGCCCTTCGGATTACCGCGACCCTTGACAGAGACACCGAAATCACTGTATGCACCCGATACGCCGAAGCCCATAATCAAATTTGTCTATCTATACATTTTGTTTGCATGAAGGCCACGCCCGATGAGGCCGAGGCTGCTCTGTGGCCTGTGCAAGAAACCCGGCCCGCAGGGACACTCTCTGAATGGTATTGTCGGGAAGACAATTTAGGAAATCTGTACGACAAACAGGCAAAAGCAAACCCAAAGGGTCATCGGTACCACACCGATAATGCCTATGTTCAGAATGGTGCCGATGTTGTCGCTGTGCTAGAAGAAGCGTTTCTGTCTCTTCCACCGGGGAAATCGTTTGCGTTCTGGTCCGCAATGAGCCCTTGGAGTAGAGGAGATCTATCTGGCATGGCCTTAAGTATGCGGTCTGATCATTATTTTGCTATTTACGCCGTGTGGGACGATGCCAAGGATGATGAGCGGCATCATTCCTGGGTACAAAAGGTAATGAGAAAAATTGAAAATCATTCGGTAGGCACATACTTGGGTGATTCAGATCTGCAAAAAAAAGATGCGCGTTATTGGGCAAATACCAACACCGCACGCCTGGTAGAAATATGTGAAAAGTGGGATCCAGAGGGCCTTATGTGTCGGTATAAGGCTAGCTGCACTGAGCTGGAAGTGAGGAATTAGTGATGCAGTCTATTCCTGAGTCACTTACTTCGAATTTCCAAGATGATCAGACTGAGAACCTTCCTTTCCTTCACCTCTGCCCTTTCTTGCCCTTTTTCCTTGTGCTCTCTTATTCAATCTTCTTCCTCTCTTTTTTTTGGGGGGTTAGTGTGGTGGCCGATGAAGAGATGTCAAGTATTACCCGAACTCAATCAGATACCCGGATACCCGCATACCCGCATACCCGCACTTCTCACTGAGCTGCGAACCAACTATTAGCCACAAACCCGGTACACAACATGAGTCCTACATCGAGGTTGCAGAGCAGACGACCTACGCGATCTTCGCTGGCTTGTCTTCCTTGCCGTTCACGTCATTTGAAATGCGACGGCAAACGTCCGTGTTGCGCCCGCTGCACTGATGCTGGCAAGCAGTGCTGCTATGCTCCCTCACGTCGCGGTGGGCTGGACCGCGCAGCGCTGGCAGAGCGTCGCAAGAGACTCGCTGCGACAGATGGCCCTGGAGGCACTTCATCTGTCGAAGACTCAAGTCCACAACGATTCACAACGATTGGACAGGTCCACGAACGTGCTGTCCAACCCGCTGAGGTCGACTTCTCCCAGGATTCGGCCCTGCTCGATACTGCCATGAGTGGTACTGGCACATCAAACATTCCATTGATAGTAGCGAGCCCAGCTCAGATTATTAGCATCGAGGACGATGCCCTGGTCGATGCTTACTACAAGAACTTGCATAAATCTCATCCCTTCGTTTTACCGCGGAAGCACCTCGCAAAAATGTACCAAGACCTGGGCAGACAGCCCAGGTTCACGCCACTCATTGCAGTTCTACGCTTAATCGGGGATATTTATACCTCAAAAGGTTGGTCAATACCGCTGCAGGAGTACACAGAAACCTGCTTTGCACAAGTGGCCCCATCCGACCCAATCATGGTCCAATGTCGCCTCCTATATTCTATGGCTCTCTTCTGGTACGACTATAAGGCCGATGCCAAAAGGGAAATGGACAGTGCAACCAGGCTTGCCATTGATCTCCAAATGTTTCGCCAAGAGTTTGCAGAGTCGCAGGGAGCCGATGACCCCGTGCTGAAGGAAAGCTGGAGGCGAACATGGTGGATGCTGTTCATCGTAGATGCGTACTACGCCGGTACTCTGGGGACGATGAACTTGGCGATTGTGGATATCGCTGCTACTGTCGAGTTACCCTGTGAAGAGTCCGAGTACGAGTCCGGGGTTAGTATTAGCAACAGCGCGTTCTCTAACCCGGTCTCGCGTAGGTTAAAGAGCTGACTCGATTACAGAATATTCCCGAACCCAAAACCATTGAAGAGTTCAACTGCCGCGAATTCAGCCCTGAGGGCACCAAGTTTTCCTCCTTTGCGTATCTTATCGGCGCCGTACAATGCGCAGCATTCGCAATATCTGTGACGCCGAAGACAGCCGTCAAAGAAGACTCGCCGCGTGTCATCCAAGCCGCCGACTGCAGTCTAGATGGATGGCGACATCTCCTACCGACGGATTACAAGCAGGTCATGACACATACTGGGGAAATTGACGAGCTCATGTTCCAAGCTCACCTACTAATTCACGTGTAAGTACCCTCCTACCTATCCCTACTTGCACACTACACGATCTCATAAACCTTTTAGCGCAACTATCGGCCTGCACCGGCCCTTTTCAACCCTCAAATTCAATGCAATAGAGGACATTTCCAGCTGTGCCCGAGAACCACCCCTGGATACCCCTACCCCAGATCTTGTCAATGTACACACCGTCCGAGTCCTGCGGTCTGCAGAGGCACAAATCCGCCTCCTTGCCCTACCCGTGCAAGAATTCTGCCACAGCCCATTTACCACCTGCATGGTGAGCGAGGGAACACTAGCGCTGCTTTCGGCCTGCAAATTCCTATTTAAGGGGAAAGATCTGGCAATCGCAAGAGATCAGATCCGGATGACGATCGGCTGTCTCAAGGTCCTTGGCGAGGTATGGCCGAGAACAGCGAGAAATGTTCGCGAGCTACAGACAATTGGTCAGTATGTGCTTGGGGTTGGGTCTAGGGTGGAAAGCAATAGCGACGCGTCGAATTCCACCGAAGGGTTGCATGCTTTTGAAGGAGAAGGAAGTCTGAGTTCTAGTACGGATGTACTAAGCAGCGACACTGATATTCTTTCTTCTATCCGCTCTATCCAGGATCTCTGTGGATGGTATGGCCTTGGTGATCTGGCTGATCTCCCCTGGGGCATGGGCGATGGGTTGTAATATGTAATTTAATATTTACTACTTCTACCGGTTGAATGAGTATGAATGTTATGGAAATGGTTGTGTTGGGTACCGCGGATCACTGAGCGCTGCTGTCCCGCGGCATTCTCTCGTTATAGAATGATTGATAATGAGTAAATACCCTTGCAACATGCCTTTCGAAATCGAGAAGGGCAACCTGATTTGGACTACCTTAAATACCAAGACACTCTATCATTAGCACGTCTTTCTATGAGGGATCTGATTTAGCTCCCACTCATACCCGGGCCAGATGAAGGTCGTGAAATACCGAAATAACGACTTGATAGACATATTGTATGGTTCAAAGGACAAGGGGGAAATTGATATTCCCGTAGTTGGTAGTGATATTTGGCAACAGTTTTTCCGGAAGCCGTCCATATCGAGCAACGGTAGGCTATTAACAATAGGCTATTGCTATTGAGGGAGTTTCCCTAGCAGCAATTCCGGCTGGGGCCAAATAGCATTTACTCATGATCCACAATAGTGTTTATCCTGCTTAAATATTTAGTTATTCTTCACTCCGGCTCCCCTAACCTTTGTGATTCTGCTATATTTATATGCATCACGAATACTCACTTTCACTGCTACGATCTACACTCAAACGCATTACTAAATCTACGAGAGCTCTCCCATCCCCATACATTCCTTTAATTTCCCCCACCAAATCCTTCATTAACAGACTCGTCGGAAAATGCAAGCCGTCCGCCTTCATCCCGCCCCAACGGCTCAAAGCCCTACTCTCCCACCAACCCAGCTCCGCCATCTGCGTTAAAGCTAGACAAGATCCCAATCCCCAAACCTTCCCGCCAGGGAGAGATCCTAATCAGAGTGAAAGCCACAACAGCCATCCGCGATGCATTAACATGGCCCGAAACATACGCGACCGAATTTACGATCCCAGGGCACGACTTCTCCGGGATAGTAGAAGACGTCTTCGTCAACCCGGATAGCACCACCACCACCACCACCCAATTCAAACGCGGCGATGAAGTCTTCGGAATGACACATGTCGATCGAGGCTCAACATGGGCTGAATACACGATCATGCATGAGCACGAAGCCACACGGAAGCCCGAAAACCTGACGTGGGAGGAGGCTGCTTGTCTGCCGCTCAGCGGGTTGACGGCTTTTCAGGCTCTGTTTGAGCATGCGGGACTCCCCTTTCCGGATGCCGTCGGGGGAGAAGAGATGGCTGGGAAACGGGTTTTGATTACCGGGAGTTCTGGTGGTGTGGGTGTTTATCTGGTTCAGCTGGCGGCGATTGCAGGTCTGCATGTTGTGGCTGCGTCTAGCTCTACCGAGCGCAATGGAGAGTTTCTTAGGGGGCTGGGGGCTGATGAGGTGGTAGAGTACTCTGCCCTGGGGGAGAATGTGGAAGGGTCTTTTGATCTCATTGTCGATACTGTCGGGGGTGAGATTCTCCGAAGATGTTGGTCTTGGGTATCGGGGTATGGGACATTGATATCAGTTGATTCGGCAAGTTTTGATTTTGTGAATGAACATAGAAAGTGTGGGGCCAATAAGGGGAAGGAGGATGTGAGAGCTTTATTTTTTATTGTCAGGAGTGATGCTGAAGCTCTGAGGAAGTTGGCGACCTTGGCGGACTCAGGCCGGCTGAAGATGTTTGTGCTGCAAAAGTTTGATCTATCACAGGCTCAGGAAGCGTATGAACAGGCTAGTTCAAAGGCTTCTGGCTACGGGAAGGTTGTTATTCGGATATAAGGATACCTATAGCTGAATCTTTCGATATGGATCTATTGTCTTCTGGTCCCTAGATCATAGGCGGGTCAAAACAAACAAGGACAGAAATTTACATTTAAAGTCAAGGAAGATAGTTTGAGTTAAGCTCTCCACGCAAAAGCAGCTAGTCATTCTATGTTCTTGGACGTAAAAGTGGTTTTTACCTCACTGGTAGCCGTGGTAATACCATGCACATCAGCCACGTGTAAGGACATGACATGTGATCAGCTGTTGACTTCCCGAAGTACTTAACTAGTCTTTATAGGTTCTATCATTTATATGCCAGCGTCTTGATTCGCCTCTTACGGGGAGAGCAGACCCGACACTAGCAGTTGGGAAGCAGATCTATAAGGAATTGGGCACAATTACCCGAGATATTTAGTTCGGAGAGGAAGAAATGTGATTAGAAGCTTGTTCTAGGTGGACTACATCATACGGTATACCACCGGTGGGTGCCAGTATTGACATGTTTAGCAATGACAAAATCTGTAAATTTCTTCTGTAAACTTCCCCATGTCCAAGATGTGTGATAGCTCTACTTTCTCCTAGCGTACCTAGACTTTCTCGTTGTTTCAATTTACCGATACTCCACATCGATCTGGATCAGCGCTGCCACCCCATCACGGTCATACACATCCGAGTCTAGGACCATGGCCACCATCAGGGTGGCCGGCTCAGTCGCACTAGCGTTGTCACTGATGCGGTGATGGCAACCCGGAGCTTCATACCAGGTGCCTCCCGCCTCGATAACCTTCATCGGGTCGTCGTTCATTTTGTTGAGCACCGTGCCGCGGAGGACATAGGCAGAGACTGAGGCGCCGCCATGCCGGTGGGGAGGGGTCGATCCGTTTGGGGGAATTCCACACGTAACCCAACGATTGTCTTGCCGGGACAGTTGACGAGCTTGTAGGCGTAAACTATGCTCAGGGTTGACTTGGGCCGGCTGTTCGAGTTGGTTTGCGTTGGTTTGAGTTGATGAGATTGGTGTGTGGACAGATGATGCTTACCTCGGGTCATAGGTCGGTTCTTGCATTTTAATAATTGATGATTGATGGGCTTTGCAGGGTTTTTTGGATCTTGCTTTGGACTCGTTGGTTTCTCGTTCGTTATTGAGTCAAGAGACTGGTGATATTTATACTTTGCTGGCTGGCTATTCTGACTACGTCAGACTAGAATGTTTATCGGGTGCCTAAACTTAAAATTCTAAACACGGATATCCGATCATATGAGCGCGATTCATGGCCCACGCGTTTTTGTACTATGCTTACGTTCCATGGCCGAAATGTGGATCATTCAGGGATCATAGATTGCGCATGTGGGTGAAGTTCGGGTACCCGACCTGAATGGATAGCCTATCCGGGTGCTAAGTGAAGACCGAACAACCATCAATCAGCTCACTCCAGCAAACAACAGGGAAAGAGCTCTTCTTGGGCACTCTTCGGCTGCAGTCGTCAGAAGCTGGGTCTACATATAATAATTGGACTGATATGTAGGACAGTGATGGATATTCAGATTGCAAATGAAATATTCGCACAGCTTTGTAAATGATTCGCAATAATTGCATGCGTGAGTGCATGTTGAAAAGCTAGTCCATCAGGATGCTCTTCGGTAAGGGTTCTTGCTTTGGATGGGAGAGGATGGCGCCAGAGCAGAGATTGGACATTCTCGCCTTCAATCATAAATTGGTCACCACTAAAATATAGTAAGATACTAAGGCTCTATCCCTATAAGGTTTACTACGGGGAGGTGGCCTTCCTATTAAGGTATTCCTAAATCCATCTTGACTTAGTGATGAGATGTTTCTGCTGGAATCCGTAGTGGTAGTCTAAGGAGCTTATTACCAGGGCCATTGACAGTGCTGGTGATGTTCTACTAGAGCCATATTACCATCAGGTTCTGATTTTGCGTTCTGTCCTGGCGGTTGCCGCGCCCTGGCTGTTCAAGTTTGCCACTTCATATTATAAAGACAGTTATTCACTCTTTAAATAACTAGTTTGTAGAAAAGCCTCCTGATTAAAATCCCGCTCATGTCTTGAATGTCTTAAAGGCGGGGACGCACCCTCACGGAGGGCAGACTATGTCAAGGAAGCCTGCAAGGAGGATGATGAAGGCCTCAGCAGGAGAGATCCAGCAGTGTTGCAAAGTAATGTCAATCGATCCCCGATAATAGCGAATCTATGGGAATCGCTAGTAAACGGGATGTTTCGGGATTAAAGAAGGTCTGATTTCTGGCAATCTAGATGTCTAACTATCTACTTATAATCAACAAAATAAAAACTCTGTAAAATCTCCTTAATCTAGCAAGTTGAATCCATGGTAGAATCTAGCAATCTAATTAGCCCAGCCAGAATTCAGTTAAATATCAATATCCAATAGTTGCTAGATTTAATAGTGGTAAGATATAGCTAACACACCCCCCAGGTAAGTGGGCATCATAAAGCTGAATCTAATATCTATAATCTAGTGCTATAGATGTTGAATAAACTTTTAATACTTCCCTATTAGGAAGGTGAGATAGATGGTTAATGTTATAGATGTCTATCTCATTCATCTAATATTAATTTTAGATTAAATTAATTAATCTTAATCTAGAGTAACAAGGCTAATCTGCCTTATGAATTTATAGTGCTTCTAGTGTAGGAGTATCCTTATAACTATCTACAGGCATCTTACTTATCTTAATCTATTAAATAGAAATATAACTAGCTTAAACCTCCTGCTGGAGCTTAGAGTTGCATAACCGAACCGCAAAAATCGAACCCGAACCTCACCGAACTCGCAGCGGTGCGGGGTCGGGGGCAAGCCTAGGGAATTGCTTTGGGTTTGGTTTCTCTACCCTGGAACCATTTCGGGTTCGGTTAAAACCGCTGGTTATGGTTTTTGCGGTTTACCGGATTAGGTTAACCAACCTGCACCCATTTTACCTAGAAATCACTGAATTCTAGGTATTTCTAATTAATATGAGTATCACTGGATAGCCCTTGATTCAGGCTATCTAGTGATATTAATATCATTTAAAAATACCTGGTGGTTGCTGAGATATAAGGGAATTTCATCTCTGTAATAGGTTGGTATGAAAGTAGTGGTAGTCTATATATATATGCGACTGACTGTTGATAATGACCATATTTAAAAATGATTTTTTAACCGCCACCCATTCAAATCTATAGATATTGAATTCATATTTTAGATCTAGATTAATATGATGATAATTACCATATATTTTGTATAAAAATCATAATTTTATATAAGCATGCTTGATAGGGGCGTCAGAGGGGTCCCCGAAGGGGGGAATGGTAAGGGTTAAAACAGTTAAAATTAGCGGTTTAACCAACCCGAAACCGAACCAAATCTAACCATGGTTAGTTAGTATAGGCCTAGCAGCGGGTTTTGCGGTGAAAACCGCAACCGAATCGCATTGGGTCTGGGTTTGGTGCGAGTTCTAAATTTTGAACCCGAAACCGCAGTGGTTCGGTGCCAACTAGGCTTGAACCCGCCCGAACCCGCACCAAATGCAACTCTACTGGAGCTAGTACTAGTAGATATTAATATGCCTAAGCTTTATGCACACCTTTAGCTCATTACTAGACCTAGGCAGGTGTTCCGGGTAACCCAACTGAAACATGTGTCAAACCCAACTTGGGCTGGGTTTTGGGCTTAAGGGGTGTGTTGAATAGTGGTGGCTTATTATTAATGCAATGGGTAGTACCAGGCTATAGTATTAAGGGATTGTGGTGTAAATATATCAACAACTTCTACACCATGGATAAATTCTCCTTAATTACTAAGTGGAGCAGGGTCACACCATGTATGTCTGTAACATTAATATCCAAGCCCCTGGCAAGGAGCAGTTAGGCAAGGTCTTCATTGCCTTGTTGCACCATGTGCCACAGTGCTATCTGATTAGCTGGATCCAGATTATCCATGTATAGCCTTGAGTGGCCTAAGAGCAGCTTTGTCATAGCTTTCTGGCCCTTTGAAATGCTGTAAATAAGGGGTGTATGGCCACAGCCATCCTGCCAGGATAAGTCAAGTCTGTCGTCCGCAAGCAGGATTTTAAGAATAGCTGAATCCTAGCGGGCAATAGCAAGGAAAATTAGTGTATAACACCCCCAGTCTGGCGCGTTGACATTTGCTCAGCCAGTTTGAATAAGCTGCCTAATGATGGGTGCAAGCCCCTTCGCCATAGCTGCAGCCAGTGGGGTGAGACCATGTTTCCTCCTAAGTAGGTCTACTCTGATGTTAGGATGCTGTAATAGGTCCTCTATAATTCCTGTGAATCCCTGCAGTGCTGGGCACCACAAGGCGCATTGCCTTGTTTATTTTGGAAGTTGACTGAAACCTGAGACTTGGCGAGAAGGATCTTAATAATTGACTCCGATCTGTGGATTACTGCATATACAAGGGGCGTGCAGGTGTGATAGACAGTGTTGACATTAGGCTGGTAGTGGCGGAGCATAAACTCCGCGACATGTAGTTTTCTATGCTGTGCGGCCCAGTGCAATGCTGAGCTATTTTGCTCTTGAATATTTATTGAACTTGTAAAGAGATGAGAGCAACAGGTTAGATGTGGTCCGGCTGACCAGGACGAACGACAAGATATCTTTTGCGCTGGGTAGGCTCGCCACGATGCACAAGAGCAGCTTATTAGGAAGAGTTAGTAGATTCATCTAGAATAATTAGCCCAGGGGACAAGAAGACCTGAGAAAAGTTGTGGATACTGGACGTTGTATATACCTTTGATTCTGTGGGAGAGTATCTCTGTAAGCTGAAGACTTTTAGCAGTCAAGCTACTAATTTGGGTCTGCAGTCCTTGGCACCCATGGCTCTTTATACCTATCATTCACTGGCAGACTCTCATTGTTTGGAAAGTTGTGACAATGGGATAGGTATGGAAATGACCAAAATGGCCATGAATCCTCCAGGGTAGGGGGTTTCCAGCGAGATAATGCCGGATTCCTGCGAAAGCGTAGCTGCTTCGTAAGAGGGCCAAAGCTCTTGAGAGCGACGGGCTCGTTCCTAGGAGGGAAGGGACACTAGCCAGCTGCTGTCAAGAACCGCATGGCTACTCCGTCCAATCACAAGATTGCATCATCCATGCCATAAAGCCAGAGTACCTTCAAGGCAATGTCAGTCACCGCTAGTATAAAACAGATCCTTGCCAGCAACTACAAAATTTCCCGTCCTTTTCGCTACCACTGTATCTTGCTCCGGTTTGATCCGCTTATGATCCATTTCATTCTGCGAAAACAAGATGCCCCACGCCGCCGGACGCTTGCCAATATCGGCTGCGGCGTTTGACTCTCCAAGGACAACTTCCTCTACATTCATAACGGAAGCCGAAGGAAGTGGGTAGTAACCGCAAAACCTTTCAATAAGAGGACTCCCCCTCCGAGGGGCGAACATGAGGCTTCGGGTGCTACTCTCAGAGCCACTTGCAGACGTGGCATCGACGTCTTTCTGTTGTTGTGTAAATTCAACAGAACCGCCAAGTGCTTCCGTATCTATCGGACCAGTTAATAGACGAGACGAAAGCAAAACAAGTGTTGCTGTGCATATAAGGATTAGACAGAGAGCATACACCTACCAGGGTTGCTTCCGGGAAAGAGGGAGCGGTTTGGATCTAAAGCTGCCAGTTCGGGATCCTACTTCACTCAGCCCCGACCTGTTTAAATCGGAACGATCTCAAACCTTCGGCAATCTGCTTTGCCTTGGAACGGTCTGCAAGGAAATTCTTGGCCATCATGATTTCATCCTCATCTTCCTCTGGTGACGGAGCATCCCAGAGGCTCCAGACTTCCTCTGTACCTCCATTCATGGCCATAGGGATGCAAGAGCCGAAGGCAACGCGGAGCAAACAGAAATATCTTTTCGTACCTGTCTCCTTACCCCGTCATGTATCCGGAGGGTGGGACCTGGAATTACTACATGTATGGCGGACTGAATGTACAAAACCAGCTAAAATGTTTTTTTACCATTGATTACCTTCAACCACACTGTTGCCGCAGCTACCACATACACCAGCTGCCTAGGGCCTATCCAGCATGCTTATAGAAAATTAATATTTTATATGAAATATATAGTAATTATAGTTATTTCAATTTATATTTATAATATTAATTCAATATCTAGGGGGTTGAATAGGTAGTAGTTAAGAATTATTCCTGAATTATAAGTTAGTGGTTATTAAAAGGTTATTACGCATACATATATATCACTATTAGTTTTATACTGACAGAGATGATTACCTCCTTATATCTCTGCAACCATAAGATATTGAATAATCATCTAGTATTGATATTGAATGCCATCTAGGATTGATATGTCACACCCTGGGATCTGTCTCTGCTGTTCTCTGCTAGTCAACTACTTTGGGAACGGGGCGATATAGTCCCTGGACTATATCGAATACTCGCCTGAGGCCTGCCGACCAGGTAGTCCAATAATATACCGTCCGGGTATATGGGACACAGTGATACGATGATCCGGGCAGGATCAAAGACAATCCAAAGGTAACACAAGAGCAATAACAGTAGAGAAAGAAGCAAGGCCTATTGAGTACATATACTCAGTAAGAGAGTAACTGACGAATCGGACTAGTGAACTTGTACTCAAGTGAATAACTTGTTTTGAACGCGAGCAACTAAACTAAGAGTGCTAGATACATCGATAATGAGTGTTCTTATATATGCATAGTTCCTCCTATGGTAGTGGTGATAGACGGTAGGGTGGTAGGTTGGTAGATGTTCGCGATACCCTTATACCATTGATCTCGTATACCCATCTACCATTGCCAAGACTGGGTTCATGTAGGTGATCACGTGTATGCGCGGCATCATCGCAAGTTGTCCCCTAATCCCACCCCTTGGGTCCACGCCCGGGACACTACGGTGTAGGTCTGGGTGATGACGGAAAGGGCATGGTTGTGCGCAGCCTCCTGCGTTGAAAACCGTGGCCTTCACGCATCTCGATAGTCGAAGATTGGTTAGTCGTTGTTGCTTCCTCAATTCTGCCGGTCACGTCCGCCTTGCGGCGTTAGTACCGTAACATGATAGTGAATGCCATCTAGTATCGATATCAAATGCCATCTGGTAGGGAGATCAATACTCCATGGCATTCGATATCGATACTAGATGATATTCGATATTGATACTAGATGAGAACTCAAATCCCTACTATATGGTATACATGCTGTTCAGGGTTATTATGGAAATAGTTAGTGGCTGTTGAAAATAGTAATACTGTATCGATTTACGAATCGCTAGCAATTTCTATGGCCAATCGAAAATGAATGAAGGTCTGATTCTTCTAAATGAATGACTATTTAGCTCCTATTTATCCCTTCCATTAGAGGCCGGGATTTGACTGATTAAATGACGAATATTTGCTGAAATATTATCGCCAAGAAGCAGCACAGAGAAATCAAATCACTTCCCAATCGGGCAAGCAGTCATATAATTCAATACACCCCCCAGCTGGGCTAATTAGGCGAAGCTACATTATTCCATAGCTGTTAAAGCCATATCCATCTCTTAGAACGGGCAATCGTGTTGAATCAATAGCATTGGATAGGTTGAAGCTCAATCTCTCCCTCCTGATTAGTCAACGAGCCCAACCGTTCTGTAAAAATCGATATATTTATTCTTTGGCAGTCAGTGCCTTCGTCAGGCCGTTGGCCGGCATGCGATTAGTTTTAATCTAATTGACTGATATGCGGCCTGATTGGACCTCTTGCCGAAGCCAATGTTAATGTATATTGATGTGGCGTAGCTTTGTGCGAATTGTAGGCTCTTCACTGCGCAGAAGCCCTACTGTTTGGCGATTATCACACAGAATAGATATCTCATGTGTGACGATCCATCACCATGTTCCCCGCTGACGTCCTTACACGGAGCTTTCTGTCCCTCTTAACCACTTACTGCTTTGGGGTTGTTTAGCTAGTTTGCACCGCTCCGCCCTCTGTTTACAATATCTCCCCACCATGTACATACTTTCCTTCTCTCTCTTCTCTATGCTTAGTTTTCTATCGAAATACTACTATATCATTGGAATATGAGCAGTGTCATCATATAAAACTAAGCATCACTTCCTGTATCATCTCTTTCGTTAGAAGGTTCAAGATCCAGCAACAAACGCGTTCTTTTTCGCGTCAAGCACTGATCTTACCTCCTCTTGCAAAGAACCCTTCGCGTGCCAACGACGCCAATGGTTGGAGACAACGATACGATCTATCGACTGAGATCACGAAGAATAAACGATGGCCAGACCTGCGGCTTCTGCTGAGGAGCCTGAGAACCAGCAAGGAGCTGGGGACGGAACCCATAACCCCTCCACTCAGCGTACTGGACCAGGCTCAGGTTTCGCTAGAAGGCTGACTGCCCTACTCAACCAGACAGAGAACGGCGGCCTTGATGAAGACACCCACGAAGCAGGCTGCGCAGCTTAAGGTGTTGGAACGGCCCGTTGAACTCACTCCCAAATCAGAAAACGAGAATGCCTAGGAGAAGTCTCCTTCTTAGGCGAGAAATTAGTCGACTTGTGTAACTTGGATTTACGGAATCTATTAGGCGACAAAGAAGATAGTTTCAAAATGAAATCACTTATCCTCATTAATGGATTCTCAGTATCTACAAGCTCCCTAGTTGACACTGGAGCAAATGCATACGCATGCATAACCACTCCCCTAGCTATCTAGATCTCTTAATGCTTTGGAGTTCCTACTGTGCCCCTAGAGAGGGAGTATGCAGTTATGGGGTTTAATAGGAAGCAGTTAATTCCACTCACTCATGTTATTATATTAACCATGGCAATAGACAATCACATTATAAGATAGATACTGTTTCTTATACTAGAGCTGGGACGCCATAATATCATACTAGGAAGGATGTGGCTCGCGGAACACCGCGTCCTAGTAGATTGTATAGAGAAATAACTAATCTAGCCTACGCCACCCGCCTACCTAGATAAGATAGCTATACAGATGAACTAAGAGGTCCCTCGCGACTTCCTAATTAGGCAACCCATTAACCAAGATCACCAACATGACATTATGTGCTGTGCTAGGCAATGGGCAAGGTATAAAAGGGATATTTTCCCTCCCTTAGCTCTATCTTCTCTTCTCTCCCTAACCACCCCTGGCCCTGTGGTTCTTCCTGGGGCAGCAACCAAGCCTTTAAATATACATAGCTTAATGGGAGAACCACAGGGCCATGATGTAAGGTTATAGTGCCCCTTTTTCAGAATAATCTGAGGGTCCCTGGATACTTCTGAATACTTATATATTTATTCCCTAGTGCTTCCTTCCGCAGCTCCTGAGGAGGCGCCTAAGCCTTATTCCCCTAAGGAGCCTGACCTAGCAATGCTGATAACCACTACTTCACCTTTCTATAAGACTGGATAATACTGACCCACAAGAATAGAGGAAATTAATTAGTGGTATTACGCCCTCAAGATAGAATAAGCCCTATAAGGAAGAGGCACAGAACTAACATTATAACCATAACCTACCCACCCACCAAGCAAGACTGTCATTAATATTACTGCAATAGGTGCAGTAGCCTTCTACTAATATATATGTAAGAAAGATGCCACCATCTTCTTATCTTCCCTCCATGAGCTTAATAAACTAATTAATGAGAAATGGGGTGAATAACCCCTTTCCCTCCCTTAATAGCTGACCATTATAGCTCAGTCCTTAACATCTTAGTTAACTAACTATAGTCCAGTGATTGCCAAAGATAAGATAAGTGAGGTTAAGCAAGTCCTACCAGAATCTTATTAGGACCTAGCTGACATTTTCTCTAAATATAATTCTAATACTTTGCCTCCCTACCGCAGGGAATTTAACCATAAAGTTAAATTAGAATAGGAGAATGCTATTGGCTACAGGCCCCTATATAAGATGAATATAGAAGAATTAGGAGCAGTGAGGGAATACATACTAGATAACCTCTATAAGGGATTTATTATACCTAGTAATGCTCCCTTTGCTTCTCCTATTCTTATAGTAGAAAAGCTAGGTAGAGGACTATGCTTCTGCATTAATTACTATAAACTAAATACTATAATGCATAAGGACTATTACCCTCTCCCCTTAATTAATGAGATCTTAGAGCATATCTCCAGCGCAAAGATCTTCACTAAGCTAGACATCTGCTAGGGTTTTTATTAGATTTATATAGATCTAGCCTTAGAGGACCTCACTACATTCCGCTCGCGATATGGCAGCTTCAAATATAAGGTAATGCCCTTTAGTCTCACTAATAGGCTAGCCATGTTCCAGCACTTTATGAATAGTATTTTCATGGACTGCCTAGATCAATATCTAATGGCATTCATTAATAACCTACTAATCTATTCTAACAATGAATTGGACTACTAGCTCTATGTCTGCACTATTTTATAGTATTTATAGGAGCATAGCCTACAAGCCTTAATAAAGAAGTGTAAATTCCATGTAATAGAGATATAGTATCTTAGCTTCATCATCTTAACAGATAGCATTAAGGTGGACCCAGAGAAGGTCATTATAGTATAAAAATAGAAGACACCTACTACTATAAGAGGGGTCTAGTTATTCCTAGGCTTTTGCAACTTCTATCAGAGGTTTATATAGGAGTATAGTCACATTACCAAACCCCTCATTGCGCTAACAAGGAAGGATGTCCCCTTCACATGGAATGATGTTTATAAGAAGGCATTCTGCTATTTAAAGGCTGCCCTTATAGAAGCTCTACTTCTCACCTATTATAACCCATCTTTGCCTACAAAGTTAGAGACAGATGCCTCTGATGGAGTAGTCACTAGCATGCTCTCTTAGCAGTA